AAAATTTTGTACACAAATATCAAATATGTATAAGATATAGTATGCATACAATACGATAGAATGCAATGCAGTAATAAAATGTAATAATACATCATAATGTAGTACAGTTTATTAATACAATATAATAATACGATAAAATAACACAATACAATGATATATCATAATACATGTACCAATAATACTGTATTATATATTATAGTACACAAAACAATATTTAAACGCACAATAGGTACACAATATAGACAATAATAAATATGATAATGAAGTCTATAAACAACAAAACATACAGTAATATAAAATATATTAATAATTAAAACACGCGGGCCCAGATGGCCCCGCGTGGCTACCACTCGCACGCATGCTGGGATAAACTGTCATAAAACACTCCCGATAAATCTCGTGATCGGTCTTGGACCAAATTGCGGCATTATTCGGGTGCATACGAGCATCAGTGCTTGTTGCCGAAAGTGATAACTGTCAGACCCGCCGATAACGTCATATATATAATGAATGTTTGATATATATGACAATGATATATGTCATTGCATATATCATTGTTTTACCATTAAAATACCCGGCAAACCCCGTTATCGTTTGGTTATCGTACACGCGAGCAGCAGAATTAAAAGGGATTATCGGAGATAATGAATGTTAATTCTGGCGAGCGGCATGCTTTTGTCTCGCCTTTGACATTAATGTTCTGTCGCGGTTGAGATTTATTAGAGCCATCTGGGTGGTCAGATGCTGTTTTCGTGGGATCGTCCAGATTTTCATGCTGCCTTCTGCAGCTGCAAATGTTCATCGTCATTTATGAGAATTCATTGATGCAGTTCGCATCGAACGCGTTTTCCCCACCCACCCTTCCCTCTTTTCAGAGAGGAATATTGGGGGCGTTTGTTGTTTGTTTATTGTGTTTTCCTTGTTTTCATTGTGTTTTCCTTGTTGACTCATTGCATATATCATTGTTTTACCATTAAAATACCCGGTATTTAACGAATTGAATGGTATGTGCAGCGCTGAGTGAAACTGCAAACTCAGACACTCTCAAAAAACCGAAAAATGCAAAACACATTGCACACCAAAGAAGGGATTGATCATACAAAGACATCGCTGAACCGATTATTCTGGACTTTAATAGACGCATAATATCAAGCGACACTGGCCGGCGATTATCAGGCATAACAGGAGCCAAACGCTGGAATCCTTTAATTGCGTGTTGTACTTTCAAGGACAACACAGGATCAGTAGTGCCGGACTCAAGGGCATAATTGGAAATGCCGGCAAGATAGGTGCGCACAGAAGAAAATTTATGTCCGGCATGATATAAATGGGCAATGAAATTCAAAACATTGATTTCAGAAAACAATGACGGACTGCAATAGGAAACTGACAGGAATCGCAAAAACCGATGTAAGGCGGTCAAATATGTTTTCCGCGTGGAAGCGGAAATATGATGCATTCCGGAATGCATCGAACTGTCATCGACGGAATGCATCAGGCTTGAGAGGTGTCGCAGCGGTTTGTGGCGGCTTCGCCGACATTAGCGCGTCGTTTACAGGTGCGCAAACCATGGGAACCGGCGTCACAAGCTGAGCAGCGGTGCAGTTTCCCGTACTGGCATGGAGGGAGCAGTATCCCCGCTGCCATTCTGCAGAGACGGTCATCCGTCTCGTTGCGCCCGCGAAAAGCTGAGAGTCCGAAGAACGATTAGGAGGTTCTTTACGGTGATTAGGGCAGTTTCGAATCCAATGGCCAGGAATGTTACACTTGTAACAACAATATGACGAAGGTGGTACACCTGGCTGACCCGAACGCCCAAATGGCGCCGCATGGCTGCCACTCGCACGCATGCTGGGATGAACTGTCATAAAACACTCACGATAAATCTCGTGATCGGTCTTTGACCAAATTGCCGCATTATTCGGGTGCATACGAGCAAACATTCGGAAGCGTTGGTCATAACTAAACCACTGAGCTGGTTCGTAGGAGTGTGCAAAACTTGCCATAATGTCGAGGTACTTCAGCATTGGCAGGACGAATTCAGGCTTGTTGTATGTGCGATATGACATAAAATATGGAACGATCGCGCCCACATTGTAATGGTCATCGCTGTAGCTCGTTGGCCGGCCGCTGATACAACCGATAAAGGTTGTCCAGATTCGTCACGACGCACTTTGGGCAGATTAATCTCAGTTGCAAACGACAACGGGAATAATTCAGTAAAATCAATGAATGCAGAATGGTCGAACAGAACTCTAGTCAATTTATCAGAAACTATCGGTAATTCACTAATGTCGTCCGAACACTGAACATACGATTCATGCTTTGTTCCAAGCCGATTTAAAGCGCTAGGCATGACAGCTTGACGGTTTTTGTTGGAAGGCACATATACCACGCTACCGTTACCTATTCGTTCAGGAGATGGTGAAAACGAACATCACGCAACGGCGAAGGTGGCGACATCGGAGAAGCCCCGGTGAGCTGACTGATTTCTGCAGACAGTTGCCTCTTACGCGCAAGTAGATTTGACAGGCGGTCTGGTTTCGCCCGAGTCGTAGTGGTGACCTTAAGTGCGGGCGCGCGAGGCGGTCGACCACGTCTCGGTGCGGGCTTGGTGGTCCTTCCGGAGTTTTTTCCAACTGTAGCTGGCGCAGCGGCTGTTCTCCGTGGCCGTCCCATCGTTATACACAGATTTAAGAAGAAATATTTTCAACGGATAATCTCGATAAGATGGTGTGAAAAATTGATGCAAAACCGAAAGCAACAATGTTAATTGAAGTATCCGATACACCAGAATCAGAGAGTTGAAAACGCAAAAAGCGATTAAAAATCAGGTTAGTTGTTGCAAATCTTGCAGGAAAATCATACAGGTCAGATGAGTAAAGACGCAATAAATCAGTTACCACCTGATTTGCACTGAGATTCGATGAACACAAAGAGCATACACACGGATAACCACTATGCAAACAAACTGAATTAGGCATTTCAGCGCAGCCGGCAAAATGCCGGGGTTAACGAACAGGGCAACCACCCATGCGGTGGTAGTGGCAACGTCGAATATTAACAAACAGTTTACTGGTCTTCAATGAAAAAAACGTAAATAGGAATTTCCAAAAACTGATCGTAGGAAACACACGCTGCTGCATACAGATCATGAACAAAACGACGGATAAATCTTCGACAAGATTCACCACGAGTAAGCTTGCGCCATAACATACTGGATGATGTTCCAAGTTACGACCAAAACAAAATTGTTAGAAAACAGACATTCAACCAAACCACGATCTTATCTGCATGTAACGGTCTATCAATGAATGGAACAGAATTGCAACAGCGGTTTCTTAAGGTTGCTTTAGGAAGAGATGGAAGATTGCTAAAGGTCACAAAACTTAAGTTTTACCACATATATAGGCGAAAACGCGTTCGATGCGAACTGCATCAATGAATTCTCATAAATCAACAACGAAAAACACAATGATCTAACAACAAGCACCAACGCCCCCATGGGGAATATTGAACACAATGAAAGAAAACACAATGAGCCAATAACAAGCAAACACCCCTTCCACAGCCCTTCCCAGGAAAAAAGGGGCAGGGTGGGTGGGAAAATCGCGTTCGACGTGAACTACATCAAAAATCTTTGCAAATGAACACTGAGATGTAAAGCTGCTAAAGGCAGTATGAAACCAGAGCAATCAAAAGGAATACCATCTGACCACCCAGATGGCCAGCAATAAATCTTAACCGCGACAGCACATTAATGTCAAAGGCGAGACAAAATCATGCCGCTCGCCAGAATTAACATTCATTATCTCCGATAATTCCTTTTAATTCTGTTGCTGACCAATGACGGAATGCATCAGGCGGAATGGACGGCGGAATGCATCGACTGCATCGAACGCATTTCGAATGCAGGCGGAATGCATCGACTGCATCGAACGCATTTCGTCGATTCAGTTGCATTCTCAAACACTGATCATTGTGTTTTTCGTTGTTGATTCATTGTATTCATTGTGTATATCATTGTTTTCGCATTAAAATACCCGGCAAACCCCGTCGTCGATCGGTTACAGCACACGCGAGCAACAGAATTAAAAGGAATTATCGGAGATAATGAATGTTAATTCTGGCGAGCGGCATGCTTTTGTCTCGCCTTGACGTTTATGTTCTGTCGCGGTTGAGATTTATTAGTGGCCATCTGGGTGGTCAGATGCTGTTTTCGTGGGATCGTCAAGATTTTCATGCTGCCTTCTGCAGCTGCAAATGTTCATCGTCATTTATGAGAATTCATTGATGCAGTTCGCGTCGAACGCGTTTTTCCCACCCACCCTTTCCCTCTTTTCAGAGAGGAAATTGGGGGCGTTTGTTGTTTGTTCATTGTGTTTTCCTTGTTGGCTCATTGTATATATCATTGTTTACCAATAAAATACCCGGCAAACTCCGTTGTCGTCTGGTTATCGTACACGCGAGCAGCAGAATTAAGAGTTATTTGCTAAATCACTCATGCATTTTATGTCTCTACATAGTGGTCATGCAGTCAACTGCAGCATTTTGTTCAAAACCTTTGCATTAAGCTGGATTAAATAAATTACAAAATGTATCGGCAGACTTGAATCCTAACGACAAAACCAAATAAAACATAATTATGTACTCGAGCTTTATAGATATGAAAAAAAATAGTAAGAGTTAGTGATTCCATGGCCAGTGCTTATGGTATTTAGTACCATATACACATTAAGTCCGTTTGGTTCATACACTGGCGTAAATATAATCGTAAACAACGCCGGTAGCGCGTTTTCGCAACGATCACCTGACCGGGAATTTCGTTGCGTGGTTTGCATTAAAAAACAGCTGTGTAACTTACTAGCCGGATGTGCTGTTGTACGCACCACTGTAACGAAGCAGTACAATGATCTCGTTTTCCCGTAAATATGTTACATTCGCTGCGGTACTTGGAGAGTTATGCGGATAATTATTAAATACCGCAGTAAACCCAACACAATAAAAGGCTGCTCACAAGTCAGTGGCACACCGCAGTTCAGTGCTATATTTCGGTAAGCATCGGTAATTTTTTACACTGCTCAAGATGAATCAGTATCTTATTGGACTAATTGTTATTGTCGGTCTTCTGACGACAGCATTCGTGACCGAAGCAAGACGTATGTATTGCATCCACAAAAGGACTAAGGCATAACCCAAGCATATGCAAATTAAAATTGATTCGAGATAGCTTGCAATCAATGTATAGTAGCTTATTTACAACCAAAATTACTTTTCAAGGTTTTGACGATGATTTCGGCCGAGGAGGAAGCGGACGTGACCTTTGCAGAGTAGGATCCAATTAAATTTAGTTTAGCAATTAAATCCAATCAGTTACTAAATTAGTTCAGCAGTTACCGATCGATGACAGTTTTATAGCTGCTGTTTCATTTGCGCTCAGTTTATTTGTTCTGAATAGCGCATGGATCGCTTTTGTGGACGCCGGGACCGTTTTGACGAGTGCCGACGTGATCGGGATTGTAGTCGCCGCCGACAGTGTTGTTTCGATGGGTGCAAAAGGAAGTGCGAGAGGATATGATGCTCTGCCTGATTTATCGTAAGCAGGCATGTGTGAATACTCTGTACTTAAAGTCGAAAACCGCGACGCAGTGAGCATAAAAAATTAAGCAACTACTTTTTATTAAGTATGCTGTTATACTGTTTATTAGTGTGAACCTCACCAAATATAAATGACTACTTTTTGTTTGACGTTATGCTTTAAATAATATATATAAATATACCGAGTTTTGTATTATGGATTGGATCACACAATAAAATTGTGGTCGACACGCACTTTTGGTGACTGTTACTTGATTTCTTATTTCACATTGTGAGGACTTTAATGTCGGCCATGGGCAAACCCGAGTCCAACGAAATTTCACATACTACGGCGTTATGTACAATTATTTTATTGCTTTAAGTCGTGCGAACAGATAGCATTTTCGAAATGAGGAACATCGACTTCGCAGAAACAGCTAGCGCTCTAGCACATGCAGTAATTGTCCAGGGGCCAGCCAGTAAACATGAGGACGTCCATGACGATGATTAAGCTCATCCTTTTGATTTGCTCTGTAATAAAAAAACTGTTCGTTTTGCTAATCGAAAAAGAGTTTACATCAACATGTCACACTGAGTTCTCTTAAGATTGTTCGTTTTCCATTTCTGTGCGCATTAATGACATTTTGTGTTCGTGTCACCACTTCAGCAATGCTATATATGTCATTATTTAAAACTACGTATGATAACCATGTAAATATTCGGCAACATTAAAATTTCAGGAATACTGACAATATACAGATATAGTTAAATGGTTACAATTTTATCAAGTTTGCACTTAATACGTACCGGTTGACATTGGTAGGTGACCATAAGAAAACGTTTACCGCAGGGCCCAGTTTTTGTTGGATCGTTACTGACAAGTGTGCACTGTTTTTTGCCGTTGCAAAGTTTAGTCAGAGCGGCAAAGTTATCAGTCTGCGCACATGGTTTGGGAGGATGCGGGAGATTTGGAGCCGGTGGCGCAGCCGCATAGACAGCCAAAACAATATTCAGATTGGGAGCGGCTGGACTGTTACACTGGATTGTTTTCGATTTACCAAATGGCAGCATTTCTTGCATCCGTTGACCATTTACGATCATTGCCAGCGTTAAACTCTGCATCAGATGAGTAATAACAATTTATAGAAACAGTAAATCATTCCTACTGAGTAGACAAAGTTTGTCTAGATTTCATCGGAATGAATTCATTAACTTGGTTTTAATGTATCCTGAAACCTTAACACGTGGTAAAGTTATTTTGTATAAATATTCAGATGTGCCATATTAATAAAATATTCAAACTGCGGTTGCAGTATATGTTAATATTATGTTGATGCAAATTCCTTATAATCTACGCTACACAGCCATGTGTGACATATTATATTTTTTACAATTGCGACCAAGCGATTGCTGTAGAAGTATGTATAAAGAAAAATTTCAGATTGCCTGTTCGGTCGAGCAGGACATACACGAAGACCGTATTAAAAACGTTAACTCACCAGAACTGTGAGGTACACGAAGGCAGCCATTTTTATGGAACAGAACTCTACAAATACACAGTCGTGAAAACTGAATCAGTTTTTGAAATATGAATACTGTACTTATATACCGTATATTTATTAAACCGTATGTATAGGTGTTCCAAAAAAAACTTTTTAAAACGACACAAAATCGGCAATGTGTCGCTTTTTATACGTGCATGTTTCCACGTAAGAGCTTACTGCAACAAGGAGGGCAGGGTACGCGCGTGTTACTCAAATTGGAATTTTTGGCACCAAAAGCATTGTTCGAAGATGTACTTCCGCAAAGTCGCAAACTCTTCTGCGAACTAGCTGGTTAAGTTTAATAAAGATCAGTTAATTGCAGTCATTAGTCATTATGGTCTTGGTTTATCCTGGAGGCAACTACAGTATGCCATTTTAAACAGGCTGGTGTTTAAAAATATGCTGCGATGTTGCACACAGGCGAAAAGCGGAACTGCATCAGTAGCATTACAGTGATTACATCTGCAGTTATAACAATAACTGAAGTACATTATGTTCTGTTACATGTAGAGATCTTAGTACTTTGTAGTTCACATTTTTTGCTGTCGAATCGAATAGGCTCAACCAGTAAAATTCCCAAGCTCACGGAGCACTCAGACAGAAACAATTAATTTGGAATGGAATACTGCATTTACGTATCATCACCTCGTACAATCACACATCACCTCACCTCGTACAATTTTAAGTGAAAAATCACGTACAAATCGCAGTATGTAATACTTTATTTACTATTAATGACAAAATACAACGAAAGGAAATGCCCCATTAAGCTAGCACCCGCTAAACTATTTGACTTGCGCGTGTTTTAGATTATGCCGACAGAAATTCTGAAATGATGTTAAGAATAATGTCCACTCAAATCAATAAAGTTTTGCTCCTATAAACGGTCAAAAGCTTAGAAAATCTTCAACTGAGTTTTCCGGTTTCAGAGCAAACGCAGGGCGCACATAGATGCAATTAAGCAGCACTGTTTGTGTTACCACTCGCACTTCCACTACAGATACTTGGTAGTTGTCTTGGTCGTAAAAAACGTTCGGCACTGTGCACACTGCTTCCGATATTTATATACTTAAGTGCAGTCACAGACGAAAGAAAGCAGCTTGCAAAAAAAAGTAACTTCTTTAACAGTGATAAAAACAAAGCCAAGCCAATATAGTACAGCGAAAATACAATTTCGATAACACAATATAATACAGGCTACATAATACAGCAATGCAGTGCGTCCCAATAGAATTGAAAAACAATATACTTAGCTTATCACCAGCAAATGAACCCAGTTATTACAACAATACCACCACGCAGCACGCATCTCAGAGTACGGACACATGAGAAACATAACAACAGATCGTCCACTATGCAGAAACGGCGAATATATTGCCGCTGCTGATAAATTTCCTCAATAGACTTAGCACTTCTTCCGGTCGGAACACTCTCAACCGCGCTCCCGTCCGTCCATGTCCGACCTTCACAGTGTACGCCTCATCCGGCCAATCGGCAAACAGACTTTCATCCTCTTGATCATCCCCGACCACCAAGACAAAATCATAGGAATTACGCCCGACAAGCTCCTTGGCCGTGGATCCCTTACACCGTCCTTTTGGCCGGATTTCCAGTGTCATATTCCCCTGGATGAGATCGAGCTTCCACACGTTGGCCAGCGGAGTAATAACGCGTTTTATTTCCAGCAAGTGTTTCTGGGCATCGTACGCCGATGCGTTCTCATAATGCCACACCAGCGAACAATCCTTCGTCTCCACTTCGCTGCCGGGAGTCAACTCGGCAAATTTATTCAGATGCACCAGGATTTTCGGTTGCCAGTCGGCACTGCGGAAGCTGCGCCATTTCTTTTTTCCGGGCAAACGCTCAAAAATCCCGTGCTCCGCTACCAGTGTTACATCCAAATTGCCGAATTTCTCCTCCAGTGTGCTCTGTGTTTGTCCCGTTACCACCACCACATCCGTGCTGACTGACAATTCTTTCAATAAGGAATTTAATTCCGCAACAAACTTATCAATTGACTCAGCATCTTGGATTTGTATCAACGGAGAAATGACACAATCATAATCCAAAAACACCAACTGACTCTTGGCGGACTCGAAACGGCTTCGGAGTTTAGCCGCTTGTCGCTTCGTCAGTCCCACGGTGGGTGAGCCGTTCTCAGGGGAATCACTGGCTAAATTCAGTGCACTGATGAAATTCGTCGCCCAATTATGGATGTCGGATGACTCAATCTGCTTCCGCATACTATCGGCTCGACGACGGAATTCCTGTGGCGGCATACGCAACGCCTTGACCAGTCCGTTAACCAGGGTTTCCGAACGGGCCGGATCGACGATCACCGCATCGCTGAGCTCCTCGGCGGCACCCGCCGTCTTACTCAGAACCAGCACACCGTCTTTATTTGGTTTACTGGCGAGATACTCTTTGGCTACGAGATTCATGCCATCCCGCAACGGAACAATGAACGCAACATCGGCTAACTGGTACAACGCGTTCAGGCGCTCGAAGGGCAGAGATTTATACATGTAATGGACTGGAATCCAGTTCTTGGTGCCATATTCTCTGTTGATCTCCCCTACGAGGGCTTCTAAGCGGATTTTCAGATTCTTGTAGGCTTCGATTTCCGTGCGGGATGGAACAACCAGCATCACCAGGACAATCTTTCCGCGAAACGATGGGTTGTCCTATTAAAATGAGGTTTGATTAGACGGTGGAGTTAAACTGAAGGTCATTCGCAACAAACAGGAGAACATCAATCAAGCCGACAAACACGTAATCAAATCTAGTCGAACGTGCGGTTACGGTAGGCAGCTCTTATTCAAGTTCAGCGTAATGCTGCTGTCGTGCATATTCAAATAGATCCTACCAGCGCTTCTGCTGACGTGCGCAGGATGTTTTTCAGGAATATTAAAAACCCCACCCAGGAAACATTTTATGTAAAATCGATTTTTACAAAACAATCATGTATAGCATACCGCAAGCAGTGTTGCAAATTTTGATAACAAAGTATGGTATTTTTATAATATAATTAATACTTAACGGAAGATAATAAGTTTATTCATATAAATTTCAGAAATTTCTTTATGTAAATTTTGTTTGTATAGATTTTATTCTGCTGGCCTTCGGTTAATCCCATGAATTGCTATTACTCATCAATTATGACAAAAAACCTGTTAAAAATTATTCCTAGAGTATTTACCCTAGATGTGTAATAAGTAACTGAAATTATTCATACGCCGAAAGCAAAATTGGTAAGCCAAATCTGTGCACGGAAAAACCTGGTATAAACTGGTAATATCAAATACACCATGCGATCAACGCAGAAAACCATTAGAAATAAAAAGAGTACTGTGTTTTACGTCTATACTCATTCTATACCCAACAATTAATAAACCAGGCTTCATTATTCTTTGGGGGACACACAGATGGGAAGAGAATACGACAAATTATTTCACTTTTTCAAGGTACTAGTAGTTGAAATGCTACATGCGTAGGTGCATTCTGCAACTTTCAAACGCGGTCTAACCAACATGGTGGTAATAACCAGCTGCAATTGTTGCACCAATGGAACATTTATAAACTCTGTCTTGCCCAAGAAAAATCCAGGGTTCGCACGCTATTTTACGCACGCTACTGATATTATGGAAGCTAACACAAAATGCGCATATGCACAATACTCGGGAAGTAGCCTTGTTGATTGTAGCCCAGATAATTGTAACAATCCATTAACCCGTCTCCACGGGAGTCAAGTTTAAAATCAGCGTATTCATTATGCAGGCAAAGCTCTTAGGTAAACGACGTAATCAGAACTGAAATAGATGCTAACAGGAAACCATCCATCAAGTGTCCAGTCGCAGATAATTTCAATATTTAATGAAATCTCTGGCGGCTTTGGGGTTTCTAATGCGTTGGCTGATAGTCTGGTACTGTGATAGTCTGGTACTGTGACCAGGAGTTTACCGACAACAACCGGAAACAAGGCACAGCAACGAAGGTCACAGGATCAATAAATTGGTTAACAAAAAGAGGAGATTGATGGCAGCTGTCAGAAACTTGACGTGCACAGCACCAGTTACTTTTGCAAAAGGGAATTCAGTCAAGTGTAGTAAAATTCGAAGTAAATGGAAGCACAACGTTGAATGTTCCCATTAACACGCAAAAAAGTCATAAACACTTTGTTTTAAACTGAAATCCTACTTCTACGCATAATCTCAACAAAAAACTGCTGACGACAAGCGACAAACTAAACCCGAAGCGCTGCAAATTCAAAAACAATTTTAAATTTCGGATAACCGTACCATAAATAAGAGACCCATTGCACAATTTTTCGCAACGCATTGCGTACAAGTGTTGATCGGACAACTTCAATATCGTACCTTCAGTAAGGTCTGGTAAGCCGCGGCCCGTTCCACTAGACCTTTGGACGGATCCAGCCGATCGACGGTCAGTATAACCTTTCGGCCTTGATATTTGTTGCGCAACTTAAACAGTTCATGTTGCACCGCCGGGTCCTTGGAGGCCTGAAAGTAGCGCTTGTAATCGATACCGATGGGAAAATCCGCCACCTGCACCATCCGATCCACCAGATTGATCCGCGTATTCTCCCGATCCACACTGCCCATGCCGTATTGCTCCACCACATCCAGGAAATTGGTCAGGTATGACTGCACATGAAACCCGACCAAGTCAGCGCCCAACAAACCCGCCACCAGATCACTGCCCCATTTCAAATTGGTCGCAAAGTTCTCCGCCGCCGGAAAGGGAATATGCAGGAAGAACCCAATATTCTCCAGCGGCCGCGCGCTGCGCAGCATGGCCGGCAACATCATCAGCTGGTAATCATGGACCCATACGGAGCTATCGGTTCCCGACAGCGCCAGGATCACCTCGAGAAACAGATGATTGACCTGCTGGTAGGCATTCCAGTAGCGATCCCGCAGATCATCCGCCTCCTGGGTGACCGGCAGATCGTGGAATAGTGGCCATAAAATACTGTTACTGTATCCATTGTAGAAGTCGTTCAGCTGATCTTGGGATAGGAACACCGGATAGCAGTTGTATTTCTGCAGTTCATCGCTGATGTGGCGTCTCTCTTCCTCCGACAGATCATTACTGGGAATGCCCGGCCAGCCAATCCATTTGTTTTCGGCATTTTTCGTGTAGGACGATAATCCCGTGGCCAGGCCGCCCACACTCGGGTAAATGTCCAATTTACCGCTTTCGGCTTTCTTCACACTAACAGGCAGTCGGTTAGAGACGATAATGAGGCTCTGTTCCAAAAGACTGCCCACCTAAACACGACGGTCAAACGTTTTACTAAGCAAATCGTGCCGCAGTTAGCAATAAGGAAGAAGCCCATGCAGAAGTGCAAAATAACAGAATTAAAGACATCCACCAAGTGCCGACTGCAAACCGCAAAGCGAAAGCAAATCACAGCACTTGACTTAATGAGCCATAAGCTGTAAACTCACTGATTTTATGCCACGTTCACCAAGGGAATGGAAGCGAAAATCTTGCTGCAATTTAGCGCCACGAATGTTATAATGGTTTTTTTTGTTAAGACAATAGATATACAAAATAAAAATCAAAAAGACAAAAAGCCAACAGCCAGAACCGGCAATCCAAGCCACAAGCAAAAGCAGCCCTAATTACCACCATGATGGCACCATCCAATATATTTAACGAATTCGTACATAGATAGTTGAGAAAAGATTATCAGAATTCAGAAGATTCAGAATGCAGAAATAAATTCAATGAGGACGAGCACAAATTTGAGAGGAGGCCCAAGGGCCCGTGGCCTTTCGAAGCAGATAATAGTTTGCGTAAATTACGCGACGTCATTCAAATTAATTTACAATCACCGGTCACTGCACCACGTTATGACATTCACAGTTACGAATACAGAAATTAATGAAGTATGCAGAGCAGGTACAGTGTAAGAGAAAATCAGTGTAAATTGCACTGAATATATTCTATATAACTGACAGAATTATTAAAAGTGAACGAAGAAAGTTCAAGCTCATGCCAGAAAAAAAAACTTGAAAAAATAAAACACTAAGCGTAAACCAAAACCAAGGACAATTCCACAGCTTCCGATCATCTGCTGAAAAACAAAATGTCACCGCTTTTACAAACCGTGTTCGAGTGTGTGGTATGACCATTCTCGTGAACGGTATGACCGTTCTGGTAAACACCGTTCTCCGTCGCCTAGGCCAAAAAATATAACGCTGAATTATTTGCTTTCCTTCTGAGCGCATCATCGTTCCTCTCTCTCCGCATCCCAATGATAGTGCGGGCGTATCATGAATAATTCATATATATCTATATGTCTGTTTGTTGTAAAACTGAGTTATCACCTACATTAAGAAAAGTATTAAGACTGATTACGGATCACGCTGTGATTTATTAGATTTCCGACGAGAAAATAACATTTTCTTGCATCTATCAGTTCAGGCTGACTGTACTATTCAAACCCAAAAAATTGCTTTGTTTGGAAGACCATCAGACAGATTAAAGTATTCTCTAATGCGAGTATCGTACCAGTCATAATCAGATTCGTTAATTTTCACATATTTTTGTGAAATTTTTGTACTATAGATATATAACTATACGTCAACACAAAATTTCATAAAATTTTTCGATAATATTATTGTTTTAATCAATATTTTCATTTTGTAGTTGCAAGATAACTTTGGTAGCTGCTGCGTTGTGAATAACTCTGTAAAAACAATTCGCACTACGGTTTTCAAAAATATCCATCTAACAGCCCTACTTCAACATAAGTATCTCTGTTACGACAGAAAATGCAAACCGTAATACCAAATAAATATTATAAAAGCTTCAAAAAATAATGTATTCCTTGAATTCTAATTTCTCCAACCAAGAAATACGTATTACGCTACAGCGAACAATTCCACTTATTCCAATAATCCGTTATCTGCAGTAACTGCTAAATAATTCTAGCAAACTGTTTTAAAAAAAGAGGCACCGCGTTACTACTTCGAAGTTAGATTGTCTGAAGTCTAAACTTCGAGCCAGCATTTCTTTACACGCAAATTGTAGATGTTTTGCTGTCAGCTGTTTACACTACTCTATGGCCATGTGTACTACATGCTTACAACTTTCACTCGGTAAACACCATCTACTAGTAAAATTATGAATCAGCGACTACTTTTGCTGAGATTACAGTGTCATCGGCATCCAACAGTTTAAGAAACGCACGTGCTCGACACGCCGAGCAGGCTGTCTGAAACTGAGACACACATCAAGTCATCACAACAAATTATTATCGGTAAAGATTTCACAAACTCTAAAAACCCTTTAGGACAAAAACCTTTGTTGTTAGTTGCTTGGCAATGCCATTTAACAAGAAAGTGCTCAAAAGTTCGGTTTTCCTTATCGAAACCCTGGAAAAAACAGGCTCAGATCCATCGCGCCTCACATCTTGCACTCAAAAATGGAGCAAAGGATTTATGAATGACTTACCGCAGATCCGTTTCTATCCAGAGGCATTTTTCGTAAGATACCGAATATCGACAGAAATCAAGCAAAAATAGGTGCCAAATTGGAGTAACTGGACTACCGAAGCGACGTCCTCGCTATAATAAAACAAATTATTGCAGAATCGCCAACAATATCATGAACTGTAAAAAAGGCGAAGACCATCAAGAGACCATGCGAGCGAGCAGTTTTAATACCAGCAAAAGACCACTGGCGTAGCTAGATGCATATTGCATACGTACAGTTGGGACAGTAAAAATGTGTCCGCTAAAGGCTGAACTGCTTTCAGATCTCAAATTGTGACGAATAGGCCTAGCAGACAGACCGCAGATTATTGACTTGTCAATCCCATCAACGGATGCTGCGTACAGTACTAACCCAAAACGTGCTAGATAGCAAGCAAAAGAAATTGGCGACTGCCGAAGCGATTGTAAATATTTATGACAATTTTCAGGAAACACTACCGTCCTGTGCAAAACACCTGCGAAACGTTACATAATCCAGATAATCTCTAATTTTACTGTTCTAAATAATACATAAAATCTCCATACAATCTACTCCAACGTACAAAAACCGAAAAACGAGACCCATTATTTATGTACGGACTACGGACGCAGTTTCGCTCCAATACCAGAACAGAGGAAGCGGTATTTCCATTAGTAGGCGTGGCTTGCTACCGCCAGCCGGCTAGGGGAACCAGTGATAAGCGGCAGGCGGATCGTTGCCTTTACGCGTACATGAATCATGCCGCCCTAGAGGAGCTTACTAACGATTTCCTAAAATTTACTTACTGTACTTACTTCTTTCTGTAAATTTACTGCTATGATAGTATGATTATCATCAGTTTTCTAGTAGTTCTAGGACTTACTACTATTTTTCATCATCTACGCCCGGTGATTGTGGACTCGGCTGCTTTTTCCGGGTTTAATAAAATAAGAGCAAACTGCAAACCTTATCAGTTACAGTGAGTTACTTCTTAATTTTCTAAAAGACGGTTTGTCACCCACTTCAACTTGTAATTAGTTTTAGAGTTTAAGACTAACAATAAAATAATGCTGTCATTGAATATTCTTATGTTTTTTGTTATTGTAAGTTGTTTTCTTTTCCCGCTCTGCCTAGTGCCTACTGACCAAAAAATTACAAGCAGGAGCCTTTTACATATAATTTTTTGGTGTACCTAGTCCTACTACCTAGTACAGTAACTACAGTTTGCCGACTTCTTGAGACTGTTCTGTCACTATGCTAAAGTGCCAGCTGTGCTGTGACAGTGTGCTCCAGCTCCAGCCTGAGTCGAGTGTCTGACCACCGCCCGCTGCCGTTTAATAGAAGTCGGTCAAGGCAGTTCTTATCAGGTCAATAAACCCTGCAGTAAAAGTAAGTATCGCGCGTAGGGGGCTGCGGCGTTTGTTTGTGTTTATACTGTAATCCAGTAAATGAGTCTGTAAAGTGTAAATCCAGTTTATACAGTTTAAGACTGTATAAAATATAAAGTTTATACAGTAAATCCAAATCAAATCTCTTGTTATCTGTTGTCAGTGTTGTGAGTTGTTTGAGACAATTTATGCCAGATCTTGTTGCAACAATCGCATGATGTGTCTTGCGTTTTGGATCTAATTCGGGTTCCTACGATTCTTGTAAATGTTGTTGTTCTTGTAATGCTGCAGCGTTTATCGTTCTCCCTCATCTTGGGCAGTGTTCTGCCTTTAAATATTTATCGCAGCATCATGAACGGCAGCATCGCTCGCGCGACAACCGCCGTCACGATCCTACCAGATATTCCTGGATCACCGTCTCGATGCAATGATCTTATAATTTCGGGTCGTTTGAATTCTGGCAAGGCCGTCGTCTACTTCGGAGGGGACATTCAAGATTTGGAACCTGCGATGGTCTCGAGTGGCTGCTCGGCGTACCTTGCATGGAGTTTAGAGAATACTGCGACGCTGCTATCTAGCAAGTTCCCCGACCATCTGATTGTGGCCGTACGACCCGCTCGAAAACAGGACCTCGTGTTCAGCTGTTTTGACAATTTTGTGCAGAGCACCGCGGAGATTTCTCCGTCGGAATATGATCCGCAGTACGGAGCGTCGCAGCACCTAGACAGACTGCTTTCCTCCTTGCAGAATCTGCTACGCAGTACTTTCCAGGAATTGTACATTGTTGGATTCAGTAAGGGATGTGTGATCCTGAATCAGCTTTTACACGAAGCACCGCACATACTGGATAAGGATGGAAGTGCTGGGCTACCTGTTTTATCGAAAGTTAAAAAGCTGTATTATCTGGACAGTGGACATGCTTCGACGGTTGATTTCTGGGTGACAGATGATCAGGCCGTTCATGCTTTCGTTAATTTGACTTCGCTGGACGCGGTGCATATTTGCAATACGCCGTACCAAACGGAAAGGCCCGGAAGACCATATTATAAACTTCAGCTAAACTTATTTGCTGACATATGCCGTAATTTGAAAGTACTAAAACAGCAAATTCTTCTTTTCGGCAGCAAACCATTTGATCAAGTAACTCTGGAGGATCATTTTCAAGTTTTGAAATTGTTTCCGGTGTGATTTTACGCTCACCTGTTGCGATATCAAGACGGCATATTTTTGTTTGTACATAGTTTTATTCTCTTATAAAGATTCGTCTTTGTGTTAACTATATGCATTGTGATTAATTTGTGATAGAAATATGCACTTGCAACTAATAACAAACGGCACCAGTCGCTCGATGCGATCATGTGTGTAATGTTTGATTATGCTTCCGCGGGCTGGAAGTTGGAGCCTGGAACTCATAAATCCACCGGCATTTAATTGCTATTTGTTTTTTTTACTGTAGGTTAACAAAGCTTCCTGTGTTCACAAACTAGAGTATTTCTTAATACGCAGTACGATATAAAATATTAATGTGCTACACGCAGTACTATAAATGCGTTACATGTATACTGTCAATCAATATATGTCGACAAAAAATTTATTGTGCAACAGTCGTAACACCAGGATGCTCTACAAGATGTACTACGAGTAGAGTAGTTGTTTAAGTGCAATATGCAGATATCCCGTACAATAATCGTATTAATGTATCAATAATAATTTATTCAATTACAAATTCATAATAATGTACTTATTTCTGCCAAATGTTTTTTTTCGGTTTGCGGATACAGAATGACCGCAAGTCATTTGCGGCTATCGTTTCACTTCACTTAATTCGCACTTCACCTTCGTCGAGCTCTGGTGGTGGTGGTTGTTTGGCGACGCGAATTCGCGATCGAAGGCAGTAAGCCATTGTTCACTAACACCTGATTGACCAAAAGCTGAACCTCTGCATTACTGACACAATTGGGTCCGGTGCCGACACCGCCTTTCGTTCCGCATCCGACATCTCCATCCGTCGGTGGAATTGGAAGCGGAGGAAGTTCAGTTACACTCCGAGTTATTGTCGGCGGCCTGGGCATGCCTGGAGGATTCGCTGGTTCAACCACCGGCGGTCTTGGGCGGTGTGGATGCCGAGGTCGATGTTTATCCGCGGTCGCCTCCTTCCCCGGCTTGTCTATTTCTCGTCCGGTGTCCGGCTTTTCTTGATGACCCTTATCGGACGGTTTTCCTAATAACGCGTCCGCGGTGGGTAAAGGACGATCCGGGCGCACATTCGGCTTTGCCAATGGCTCAGCGGGACGGATTTGCCCTCCTTTAGAAACTTCGCCGGTGGTCCCCGGGAGTGGACCAGCCGGTCGGCTGCCGCTTGCTGCATGTGGAGCAGGCGGTGCACTGGCTGGTGGGCCAAAAGATGGAACATTCGGTGCCGGTATACCGAGAGACGGTCGACTTTGCGCGGGCGCGCCACCTTGGGGATCAGCTGCTGGTTGTGATTGTTGCGGTGCGCTTGGGGCAGGTGCCGCTTGTTGTGGCGCACTGGGTGCAGGAGCCGAAGAAGCGGGTGCTGATGGAGCTGATTGCGCAGGCGCGGCCCCGGAAGCTCCACCGGCAGGCGCACTGGGTGCTCCACCAGCAGAAGCGATGGCTCCGCCCCCGCCAGCTGCGGCGACACCTCCGCCACTCCCACCACTGCCTCCTACAGACCCACCACCTCCTCCATGCCCTCCACCACCTCCTCCTCCACCACCACCTCCTCCATGACCTCCACCACCGCCTCCCCCTCGCTGAGCCGATACGTAACCTGAAAATATCCTTATCAGTTTCACCTCTGCGGATTGACTGGTATCGTTCAGAAAAAATAATATTATAACACGATCAACATCCACTTGCCGGGCGTAATCTCTTTACCTGCATTTTTGTTGAACACCACCAGAATTACGATGGAAATACGAATTCCCGACAAGAACATTATGGATAGCATCATAATAAATCAGACGTCGTGTTGCATGCGATAAATATCACTCATACTGTACAAGTGTCGCCTATATCGACGGTCCGGTGCGGCCGTTCGTTCCAGGTTTTCCGGAACGTTTTTATAAAAATATGTTTATGCACAAGGCTAGCACAGGCTACAAAGCTCTAAAGCTTAATTATCGGCCAAATAACAATTGTAAATTCCGTTTGCTTTGCAATGAAACTCGCGTATTCGTTAATCAGAATTTTATATTTGAATATGATTAGGTAATATACATATAGACACGAGACTTGAGAATTAAAACGAGTACGAGTACTTCATTTAAAAATTGCATGCGTAAGTGCAGACTAATGATTATGAGCGAGCAGAGAATTCTATGCGTGTTGAAGAAATTACGCATAATAATGCTGGTAGACATTGGAAGTTTTATGTATTTGTGGATTATGCCGACGCTTAGTGATGAACAAATAGGTATCTAACGATATTTAAAGTATCATTGCTCGATCATGGTTCCGTTTGTGGTGGAAAGAAACAACCTCAGGGCTCTAAGAAGAAACCTGCATAATAATTATTCGCAATCTGTTATACGTATGATGTTATTGCGCTCATACTTATGGTTGGTTAACCCTCCAACGCTCACTACCCGAACGTTGGATCGGAAAAATTACGCTGGATTATAAAGCCTGCACAGAAGCGTATACAGGTTTGTGAAGTTGTAAACAACATCCTGTCCAGTGACAAATTGTGACGTTTTGCTTCCGCATACATTTCTGAAAAGATTGAGCGGGAAATGCCTGAATTAATCGATTTTGAGAGGTAAATGCATGTGCAAGCACAAGGTACAACAGGCGCTCAAGTGACCACATGCATGAGGTAACATACTCGTATTTACATACAGTCTGCAAAATTAGTGCCTACCCTGGTGTGTGAAGCAGCGACTTTTTAATCTTTTTTTTAGTTTAGTTCTTCTTCACTTACATTGTGCAAAATATAATTACATTTCCTCAACGTTTTGGCGTGTAAAGTCGTCATCGTGGTGCTGTAAATATTATTCGTACCGTAATTGTGCAAAAGCCCTCAAAATTTTCTTGAAGGACTTTATGTTACGCGTATTTTTGGTACCAACTTATATTGAATTAATTAAATCTTCCCTTCTGTAGTACTAGAAGAATTTCATTTAAGACAAAAAAGGGTTAACAATTTCCTCGTCGTAAGTACACCTGTTAAAAACGCGCTCAAAACCAAAAAAGCCATTGCATCCTGGCCGTGATCCTATCATTCGGTTTTCCCGGCCGCACTTTTGAGGTAGAAGTATCAATAAGTTGAACAATACGATCATAAATTAATAATATGCCATTAATCGTTAGGACATAGCGGACTCTAGATTTGGCAGATCTGTTAAAATAATTCACAGAGTATACACTCTACATAGATCGACATAATTTCCGAAATGATAAGCTTCTGTTTGATCGTTTATAAAATGTTTGATCGTTTATAATTTATAGCTAAAAAACAGCAGGTGAGTCAAATGTATACCGTATACATACACAGATATACTGTATATCAGTCGTAGTAGTAGCTCGTCATGTCTAAATTTGTGCTGAATAATATCACATCTACCTAGACATAGAAGTATATATTAAATAGATATTTATATCGGCAAAGTGTTTTGACACCATTCACGAAGAATCATTCCTCCTTTAGTCTGCCTTTCGGGCCAGTTCGTTATCTCTTGTAGCATTTACAAATTGTAGGTGTAATTATGTAATATAGCTCATGTAATGATAATAGTGACGTTTAGCTTTATTGTTATTTAAATCTTGTGTATTGCGCTTTTTAACATTTATGCGGAGAAGATGACTCGTTTATGTAAGGGCAGTTTTTATATCATATAATATTAATGTTGTATGACAAAGGCCAGAATGCTGTATGTGTGGGACAGGAAACCATAATCGCCGTGATACTTAATAATACTCATATTTATCTATGCATCTGACAAAATGACCTTCATCTTTTCCTCGGAAAATGCTCATATTGACACATAACGCATATAAGTAATCATTATTCCAGCAGAGTTGTTACGCATACATGACCCGCTACGAGCATATAGCAGCGAGTTGCTTTCCCAGTTGACAGTGTTCTATAGCCAAAAGGGAATCGCCGGCATCAGGATTGTCGACAAATTCCGTCAGCGCAGAGTACATACAGCCGAATAGATCGATAATTTCCGCTTGAGCTATCCCAAAATAATTTCAACTCTACAATAGCCAACAAGTTTCTGTACGTGCCTACTCTAACCTGATGTGGCTGTGCCAGCTAACAAATTACTGGGCTATATCCTGTGCTTATCAATCTAAACGACTTGTGGCTGGCGGAAGTTGAAAAAGGCTCCTGTTGGCAACTGGCGGGAACAAGGCTGCGCTGGCGCTTAACACTCAGGCTATATGTTGCGTGCCTATATAAACACCAGCATATATACACATGCTGCAAGTTAGGCTATTGGTTTCCCTTTTCCTCTTCCGCTGCTGCTGCTGGGCTACTGTTGGTGTCGTTCCCCGTTTTATATTTTCAGTAGTTAGCCCAAGCAGCTTACCTCTTCCTGCTTATTTTTTCTCAAAGTTTATACTTGTAATTCGATACATTGTCAACCCACTCGTCCAATTTACTGGATCATAATGGATAGGATAATGCTTGATTATGCAGCTGGCTCTTGTGTTGACAAAGTGTGCATCCAATCATGACGCACTATGTTTGTCGTTTCGATTTTGCGCACATATGGCTTGGAGAGTTTTCTTAAAGGCCGGATTAAGGCTATATGCTCTCGACAATATCAGCAGTCGTTTTTTAATCCTGTGATTCTGCTGTCATTTTTTTTCCAAATCTAGAGTTTTTTTTATTTTGGCTATGGACCACTTCCGATTAAAGCGCTACAACATCCAAGCTCTTCCCAAAGCGTTACGCCGGCAGTTGGCGCCGCGCCCCGGCCACATCGAGCCGGGATTGCCCTCGAAGACGAAATTGGTGCGAGTCCGTGTGGATCGCGCCTGCTTGTGGTCGGCATGCAAAAGCACATCGTTAGCCATCGTGCTGATACTAATTGGCGCTACGATGGCGGTAATTGGCTTCTATGCACCGGCACTGTCTTCCCGTGATCTTGTAATTGGCAATAGCACCGTCACCACGGTGGATGCCGCCATGCACTGGCATCTCAAAAATCTCACCTACGTTGGACCGGCTTTCATGGGGCTGGGCTGTGTGATAATTGTGGCGATCTGTGTGATGACATTTGAAGCGCGCGATAAAGCCGCGAAAATCTGTCCGGAAGATCCGCTGAAGCCGGTCAAGGATGATTTATATGTCAACGTAATCAAGAATATTGTTAGGAAATACAGCGCGCTGCCTAAAGGTGAGGACAGGGATTTTTCTTCAGTCGTCATTTGGGGTAGCCAACATGCGCGTACTAAGTTTCCCAAAAAGAACGCATTTTCGTGTCGTACTCCGTGTATTCGTGACAAACAGAATTTTGTGCTATTCCATGATAAATAATTACGAACGTAACATTCATATACAATTACAAATAATTAATCGGTACTAAAAATACATACAAGAAATACATACGTCAAAACGTTACATAGAACAACACACCCAACAAGTTTCCAACAGACACCGCCTCTAGGTAATCCCTCTTATAATATTCTAGCGGGTTTGCCATAAACAATTACACACGTGCGTGTGCCGCCTTACACCCACGGGTGTGATATCCCAGGCAATGACGCATTAGACTGTACTACGAGCCGTTAAAATAAAATCAAAGCAAAGCAGTATTAATAATCCTTTAGCACTCCTAACCCGAATATGCTTTATACCTGCGCGCATTATTGTCGCCATAATATAATAACAATGTAATATATAATTCGTGACCTTATTCTGAAACCGCCAGTTTCGCAGTTTGCACTTAACAAAAACGTTACATTTGGTTCAATGCGCTTAAATTTGATGATAACTGCAAATTATCATAAATTTAAGACTTAATACTTACTCAGTTTTCAAAAATCTGGTTTTTTTTACAATATATCTGTACATGTTCGTGCGCATCATAAAAACGACGTGGAAGCAAAAACAGTAACGCAACAAAACAAAAACCGTTCAGTATGGACAAACACTCTAACATAGTTGAACACAGTTTTATATATAAAAGTTTTATTATATATATATATAATTATGGGAATCAGTGAGCAGCACTCCATGGATGAAGTAGATTGTAGTCATAATCAGAAACAAATTCAAACAACATACAGAAATATAGATGTAACCATTTGAATATTAATGACAAATTGCCATAGCATTAAATTATTAATGCTTGCATAACATAAAAGTGCCAATGCGGACTAAACCAGTAATCAAAGCAAAATGTACGTTGGCCTCTAAGTACCTAACTCGCTCTGTACAGTACAATTCGGCTAAATTGCAGGTTTCGTTGATTCTGTTCCCAATCTGAAATCTGCACTGTGTGGTCTAGTAATATCGTCGCGCACTTACAGATTACATAACAAAATAGCGCGTCCTGTAGTGACGTATAGTGAGTTCGATCATTTGCAAAGACATTTTTTATCTGTAAATGCGCAACGGCGCAGCTACTTGCATGTTGATTACGACTTATGCACATACAAATACGAACCGAAATTAAATAGTACTCGTATACAAAGCAACAGAAATATTAGGAATAAAATTCGATTCTCTTTTTTAGTATCGGTGCAGTTCAATGAATCGAACCTTCCCTACGAAGACACGAAACTTTTACCCTCTCCCCCAGGCGCTCAACCCGAGATCAACACCCCACCAGGTCACCTTCTGGAAAAACCTGTCGATTCGCCATTAGGCGTGCGCAGTCTATCCGAGCCATGCTTTCCTCAGAGCTTCCTGGCCGATGCCCGCACGCAACTTCCTCTTGTACAGATTGCTCCTCTGGGTGGCACAGCACGCAGTCCGCCGGAGTCGGCAGCAGCCGTCGTGGTGGAAGCCGGTGCACCCGCTGTGCCGCCGTTCAAGGCCAATAACAGCGCCGCTTCCGACAGCAGTTCAGCTGTTTCCGTGTCGCAGCATCCTGTCGGAACGTCATTAGCATTTACCGCCAGCATTAGTAATCTGTCCTTACATAATCTCCGGAGGGGTTCCCTGTTGACGACGTACGGCATCAGTCCGCAGAGGCCGGCGGTTGCGGGGGAAACCGTGGCTGACGTGCATCCCTTTCCGCAAATGTACAGTCATCTCCCACTACGCTCCGACTCCCCGGCGGGATTCTAATACTCTGTAGTGTGCAGATCTTTGTACATGGCCAGGAGCAATACAATCAAAATGTGTTTAAGTTTTGTTACAAAACAGTGCGAACATAGACTGACTTAATACTATGCGCACGCTGATCGATGTCGAAATTGCAGTATATTAGAGCTTTAATTTGACATTTTATTTATACGTTCAAGTATGTATGAGTGAAGTATTGAAACGGTGTAATATTAAAAGGAACTACGAAGATGCTGCGGAGCGGAGCTCACGTAACCATATGTCTAACTTTCCGTTTATTCACTGACGCATCCTGGATTCAAAGTTTCCGCTTTATCGTTTGTACATAGGCATACGCATTCAAAATCACTGTAATACAAAGGTCACCGTTAACGAGCTTAAAATCCGAAGAACGGCGTATTGACCAATCACGTCTGTATGAATTTACATTCATATTCAAATTAAGTTGCGTGTCTCCAAAAGACGCATGATGACTGTAAATCGATTTGAGCAAAAAAATAAATTGCAAAATCAAGATAGATGGCTCTTAACCGTCTTTGGAGCGCATTAAAGGCATACTAGTACTTGCTACAGGGTGATACCACGGCACAATACTACACTACGTAGTGTAGTGTAATGCCTTGGTGATACGAATAGCGTCGCCGCCGGCCCGGAATGTGTGTTTACAGGCACATTGGATTTGTGACCTTAGTGGCTTGTATTTGCGTGGGAAATTGATGAAAGAGCCTGGGGATATATGAGATCTAAATTTAGGGAGAACTGTACGTAGAGCGCCGATCGATGGAAGATCAAGTTCAGCAGCTGTTAGCGACACACACCAGTTTCCACCCGGTCGGACCCAGGTCCCGGCTGCGTTGCCGGGAACGCGCATTCTTGCGTCTCCAATAAAACTTTACAACTGCAGTGATGCGAAAAACCATTAACGCAGGAATAAAATCGACTAAACAGTGGTTTTACATTGACTAGTCGCGATAAGTGCATATTGAAATGGCGTACACTGACCTCGTCCATTAATCGATAATTAAGAGCCAGGAATTCCTTCATATATCATAATTCTAGTCAATAATTTCCAAGTTTTATCACTTGCTCGCATTAAATATTCATTTGCATCGCCTAAATATGCGTTCTATTCCCGATAGCTAATTTTTGATAAACGCTGAATAAAAAACATACAAGTACAGATAGGAAGTGGATAGACCGTATAATATTGTCTACTGTAGCTTGTGCATAAATTCAACATTCTAATCATCTGCAATAGAAGATTGACCTTTGTCCGTAGTTTCTTGAGATTCTTTATAAGATTGCAATAAAAACAAGATGCAAGTGCTGATAAATTTACCGTCATGATAGAGAAGGCAGTTAAAGAACTACCAGGAATTAAGGCTTGCCATGGTGGTTGTCGATTAAATTAGTGAATGCAGCTGACAAATGAAATCTCCAAGCCATATAATTATACCATTTACCTATCTTTATTTCGTTGATGCTGTGTATTAGGCATTATGCATTAAGGTACACTGCATAGTTTTTAAATGTAATCATTTTTTACGTTAAATATTTTAAGCGTTTTTGCTGGATTTGTCTTGGCCGATTAAATTTGGGCTGGGCAGTAAGACTGTAACCGCTGTGAGTTTTGGGTAGTCGCGTTCGACTAGTTTAAGTACAATTGCTGATTGTATTTCTTTTCTTAATGAGATCAGTACATTAAGGTCAATTACCATGCGCTTTCGCTGGACTGCTGTTGTAAAGTGTGCACTTCCTGTTATTGCCATCATTCTGTTATACCATGCTTCTCCAGCGGAGGGGAGATCGCTTCGTCGAGAAGAACGAGGAATAACCGAAGCTTTCCAAAAGGTACATAAAGCAGAATCAATTACCTTACTTAAATCACATAGTCCTTAAGTTGCACGAGAGGAAAAGAATTGTTGAAGTTTTTGTTGACAGGCTAAAGGTTTTTTGCAAGACTATGGGTGGTTACCAAAATGGAATCCAGAAAATTTTCGCGAGGCCACTGGCCGCGTACTGCGAAAAGTGATAAAAAAATTTCAGAGATTCTTCGGCCTTCGAGAAACAGGTAGGTAGGTGGTCATGGGCTTACCATGATTTATCCGATATCATGAGAACATATCTTTGCATAGCATTTGTACTATCATTTCTCACTAATTTTTGCGCTTTTCTTTGTTATAACTGAACTGCGCGCGTTACATTATCATAGATGCTTTCGGTTAATTTTGCAATCATACATGAAATTTTATTGCTTTCTTGTGACATACGTATATTGGCATGCGGCAATTCTACATCAATACAATACAAATACAATCAGCCATCAGGAATAACTACGCTCTTCCATTAATTTTGCAAACCGATTGCGCACAACTGATATGCCGACTGCATGGTGCGATTACTGGTGCGCAAGAGCTATACATGTCCAGCCTGGAAAATTAACTTTGGAATACGCTGCGTTGTCAATCTCAACAGCCGGTGACAAGCTGCAATTTGATTTTTCCCGTCACAGCCATCCGTTATTAATAATTATTAATAAGATTTCGTCTGTATATTTTGTAACGCTGTCCTGACAATCAAGCTCACGGCATCCGCTTCTTTGCACATCTGGTTATTTCAGTACTTCTATGCAAAAATTGAATATCGCACTGCATACTGTCGCATATACGGATGAGTGCTTATTACAGGCGAATTGGACATTCCAACTGTGACTCTCATGAATTCGCCGCGTTGCGGAGTGGAAGACAATATGCAGGTGGTGGACGCGCAGATTGAAGCGGAAGAAGGCCCGGATCCGGAATCGAATAATCCCAACGATAACAGTGCTACCATGGCGCGTCGAAAGCGATATATTATTCAGGATTCCGTGCTGCAGGGCCAGAAATGGCAACGGCGCGATCTAAAATACCGTGTCACGCAGTACAGTAGCAAGATTGACCGGGCGACCGTCGATGGGGTTTTTCGCAAAGCGTTTTTTGTACGTTTTACCGACCGGTAATTTTTTTCTCACCTAAAGATTTCCCTATTCACATTACCCTAGTCAGAAGAATTTTTATATTTCCACATCTGTAATTACATAAGGTTGATTACAACTTCGACTCCGGTAGGAATGGGAAAAAGCCGGTCCGTTCAACATCACTCTGAAACCGGATGGGCCGGTGCACATCGATATTAAATTCGCACCGGGTGATGGTCCAGGCAAAGCTCTGGCCTACGCATACGGACCTGGTCCAGGGTGAGTGTGGTAGTACTAACCGTACTAAATGCAATTTTTTATTACGGATATTGTTTTTTATCTCGATCTTTTTTCTACAGCAAGTATATTTCATGTGTTATACTTATATTATCCAACAGCAGACTGTTACAGCAGCATATATAAACTGTATTCTGCAGTAGCTCAGTTCAGTTTTCCTGGATTATAAAGCATTATTGCATTGTAATTTATGCATTTATCTGCAGTATCGGAGGAGATATGAGATTTGATGAGTACGAGGACTGGACAGTGCGCAGTGCGAGCGGTAATTTCTTCCTTCGGTTAGATGACGGAAATATTTCTTGGGATAATTCTTAATTCTATCTTTAGGACAAAATCTGTATATGGTGGCATTACATGAAATCGGGCATACATTTGGATTAGACCACTCAAACGTTAAGGGAGCTATCATGAATCCGTATTATTCCGGTTATGTGCAAGGAAAGTCCCTGCAGCCGGATGACATTGCCGGGATTCAAGCAATTTATGGTGCGTAAAATCTGCGTGCATTGAGCATTCATCAAGCCTTAAATTTATATAGATACCCCGGTATATACGTATACGCGTTATGCATAATTACAAAGGCATGATCAGTTACGAGATTGTACAGTAGACATACCTGTATGTGCGGTTGATCAAACTTTTGACAATCGCAAATTATACATAACTTAACATAAGGTATTAATGTATTTATAAAGGTCCTCGAACGCAAAGGCCGGCGCCACCCGCAGCACCGACAGCTGCAAAAATGATAGCCGAGCAGACCGGAAGAGAACGACGCGGAAAGCTATCGGCACTATACCGCGATGTGTGCAACATGGGAGAAAATGAAAAGGTCATCGACGGAGTGACAATTACCGAAGACAGACGCGTATATGCCTTCAAGGGGAAATACTTCTTTGAGTTATCCCAAGATAGTTCTCGCTCACAGCCAGAGCCAATTTCGCAAGGTTGGGTGGGGCTACCGGAAACGATTGACACCGTGTTCACTGGACCGGAAGGATATACATTCTTTTTCAAGGTAAACTCCAGAGTTCTTGAAGTCAAAAACACTGTCATTGCCATATGCAATATTTTGAATAACAAATAATTAAACTTTCGCTATTTTGTTCTTGGCTCAGGGTGATCAAGTATACAGGTTCAAAAACCGGCAAATGCAATCCGGCTATCCACGGCCAATAAGCCAAGCATTCCCCGGCGTTCCCAGTAATCTGGATGCCGTATTCTTTTATTTACCAAACAGAAAGATCTACTTTATCAAAGGTACTAATATCGTTACGTAAATTTGCTTTATTAGCGTCAGTGTTATCGATTCCCGAAATATTTACTGCTCAGTTTATCAATAATTTATTTCCATCGTTGGTTATCAGGCGGCCAGTATTATCGATTCGAAGCGGGAACGGAAAGAAGAGTGGCAGACGGCTATCCGAAAAATCTATCCGAGTGGAAGAAGCTACCCGGCCACATCGATGCTGCGGTTATGTGGCGTGATGGTCGAACATATTTCTTCGCCGGGAAGAACTATTATAAATTCAATGACGCAAAATTCGCCGTGGAAGATGGATATCCCAAGCCGACCGCCTCGTGGTGGTTTTCCTGTCCTGAAGAAACTTCTGAAGTGGAAGCGGCTACAGAATCGCCAGTCTGACTGTAGCATTCAGCACAACATTCTTCAATTATAAAAATATTCAACTACAAAACTTAACCGTGAAACCGGTATAATTGTAGCTGGGTCTGTCGGCAAAAGCAAGAGTGCTCAAGTTAGACAATGTCTGAAAACAAAATGTTCTTTCACAAAAAGGTAACGCCGTTGATGATTCAGAGCAAATACTGAAAAGAGCAGCCTGAAACCATTTTGAACAAAAATAAAAACAGGAACTGGAACCAAGCACCGATGTTCAATTTCGTGTGGAAGCTACAGAAACCGTGGATATCCAAAAACAGCTCAGGGAACATGTCGTTGCGATCATCGAGTAGCGCGGGTTAAATTTTGTATATAAAATGGGCCCAGTGTGGTCGGATTTCAAAATTCCAATCCTTGCCTTTGTGTTAATATTGTACAAATGCAGTCGCTGATCCGTCGAGCCAAGGAACACAAACTGAGCATCAGGAGAAAAGCAGGGCTCAATGGAGACACTTTTTCCATTAGATGTGTTTTGATAACCCTGTAAAAAAAATGAAATTATAAGAAAATCAACATGAGCGAAAACGAAGCTTGCCCATGGGACGAGCAGCAACGGATAAATTTTAGGAGAAATAAAGCAAAATAATTGCGAAGTATTTCCTTCGTACCCCAAATGTCGTAACAAGAGATCCAAGAAAAGCATCAACAACATAACAAGCACTTCCGTTCGTTCCAATCAACATGTACGTGCCGTTAGGACTGAACTTCAGAGAGGTCCATTGAGCAGCATTCTGTACCCTGGGTTTAAGCGTGTTGAACGGCTATAAAGCAACAAAATAATTCACAAAACTGTAGGACAGAAATCCTATTCCAAAACCTACCGCGCCAATTTTCCTGATATCAAACAGTTTGATCTCCTCGGATCCCACACCAATCGCCATAACTAGACCTTCGGGATCATAATTAGCCACCGGTCGACCCGTGCCGAAGGGGATGCTGGCCCACGAATTGGACATGTTGAAATCCCAGAGACGCACCGTGCCGTCCATTGATCCGGATAAAAACTGGTCTTCGGTCGGATGTGTCGCAATTGTCGTTACCCTGGAAAAGCCGTCATGTACAGGATACTCAACCGAACATCAGTCTGCACCGTCATAACCAAAAAGTAAAAGTCATCACGTAATTTCGTAAAAATAATAACAGAGTATCGGTGTTGCAATTCCCTAAAAAAATTATACACAGAGTTTCTGTTTCAAAGTGGTTAGGGTTAGCAAATAATTTTTTATTCTTGTGATTATTTTTGATTTATTCACAAGTCGTATTCCCATGCCTCGATGCAAAACAACAAAGTATTTTCTCATCAAGCCATGAACACACTTGATACGACTATCAAACAAATACTACACACAATGCAAGAAATAATACGTGCTACACGAAATAAAACGTGCTTACGTTTCGGTATGTCCCGGGAAATATCGCAGATACTTGTTGTCTTTGAGGGATAACAATCGGATAGCGTCTATAAATTATAAAAACTATCAAAAAACCAGTCAACGGCTAATTACTTCAGTAATCACTGTAAACTCCAAAAAATACCGCATCCAAACTGAACAGTTATGTGCCGTGCTAACGAGAAATAATAACAGAATACTCACTGTCAACCTTGGTGGATCCATGCACCACGAGATTGTTATTGCGAGTAAACGTAACATTCTCCACGCCATATTTTTTACTGTTGACGGTGGCTTTTATTCTGCAAAAGCAAATATTGAGTACGGACGAAATACATTCATGACGAACTGGAGAGCTTCCAGAGCTCTAATCATTACTGACTGAAAACTGGTGTTTTTACCCTGGCTTCTCGACATCGTATACGGTGAGAGATTCATCCACGGAGCTCGTTACAAATACATCACCATGTGGCGAAAAATCCATTCCATTAATCGAGTCCGTATTGTCGCGAAAAACTTTGGCGACGCGATAACTTCGCGCCATCTCATCGGTCATGTGGGAAACATCTCCGGATCTCGCCATTCTGGTTCGTTGAGAGTCGCAAACTGCCAATTGGTACTGTATTAGATCATTTAGAATTTAGAAACAAGTTTGGCAGTGCTTCCGCAGTGCATATCAACACAGGAAATTGTCAGGAATCAATCAACAATTAATATGACCGCGGCACTCATTAATAGTATTAATTTTTACATATAACAGCCTGAAAGTTGAAACTTGAAACTAAGCTAGCAAAATTGGAAACCAGAGCAATCCGGAACAATTCGAAAAAGATGAAAAATTTTACGTTTGACGGTTTGAGAGAGCAGAAAGTCCGTCGTTACTGTAAGCTGATATATCACAAATGAACAGTGCTTCCGCCCGTGGGAGGTGTCCCAAGACTACCAACCGTTCACAATAGTGACAATACGTAAGTAATTGTATCAAATTATCAATTTTAGTCTACTAAAACTTTATTGAGTATGTTTACGAAAAAGGCAACGCCTTGCATTCACATCATCTAAATAAAGAATCCCTTCCAATTAACATGAGACGGGACGGTTGGAATTTTAGTTGGTTAAAACTAATACTGTGACTATTGTCTCATCCACCACGCTAGATACCCGTTATATTCCAGCCAGCTCCAGAATTTTAAGTTCAATGTATTGGAATTGATGAAATCGTTTAATAAGTGCCGGTAGGTCGGCTACAGTCTGTGGTCGGCCGCAGACTACTGCTGCCTTTTTTCGGCACTGTTCCAGTAGAATTTGCACACCATGGTTTATTACACTGAAGAGAAATCTTCCCACTGTCCAGTTCCTCTTTGAACAGTCTGTCAAGCATCGGCTTGACAGGTTGAGCAAAGCTGAACAGTAATTGGGACAGTCTGATGGCGGTATAGTGTTATTAAGTAATCTCATCAAGAATGCAAAAGCCAGTCGTTATACCAGCTAATATAAATTAGCTATCTGGCGAAATTAATAGTTATTGATTCTTTCTGCCAGCTGTGAATGCGCCAAAGCGCATCGAGACCGGAGATCGGAATCAACAACTACGTATGTTAGATAAAGAGCGAGAACAAAGATGAGAACCGCTTTCTCTGCGCAGTCACGGCGTCGTATTGACAAAAACTTTAGATACTCAAGGTATTCTTAGAATGACTTGACTGTTGGTACTTGCCGCATTCAGTAGAGCTAATTTGACCGCGGTACGAACACTACTCGTACAGAACACAAACTCATCAAGGTATAAATCGATAGCAGTTGGTCGGTTCCGTTTACCGTTAAGCAAGCAGCAAAGTGACCTTTGGTCACTTTGCTTAACAATCGAGAAAAAGGAGAATTTTTGCTATCTGTTGACTCACAGGAATTCGTACTGGTTGACTGTTGGTGGCCGTAGTAAGGATGCGAGCGGTTTACTGAGCTGCCACGAGAGCGAGCCCCTTTACGGTAGCCGACTGCCGCTATGATCGACGGAATTGGTTGCGGGTGGTTGATGGTCCTCCGTCCGTTGTTTTCGCTGCCGCTATTACCCGAACGCAGTAACTGGCGAGGATCGCAGACGGCGGAAGGCGCTCGTTGATTAATGAAAACTTCGATTTCGTTGCGATCGCCGGCAATCTTGATAAAGTCGAGATTCTTCGGGTACGTAAAGCTTTGACGAAGACGGAGAAGTTTGTCCATGTTAGTGAAGCCGGCTTCCTTCAGACTCAGCAACGTAGTGGGCGCAAGACTGCAGACGGAAGCTAAGTCGGCAAAAGGTCCAGTAAGATGATCGTTCTGTGCGACCATGCCGTCAGCTTTCACAACCCCTGCTGCGCGTGATGGTGCAGGAAGATTGTTGTGAGCATACAGGCGAGTCAGCAGAACTTTCCTGACGCCGGTATCATCCAAGCCAGCGTCGCGACAGGCTGCCTTGAGCTCCGGAACTCTCAGTTTCTTCAGTTCATTTTTGGAAACCATTGTAGGAATGATTGTTTACTTAATTTGTTGTTGCGGAAGCAAACAAGTTATTACAACGTATAATGACGCGTTGGAAAGGGAAATCTTTTATCTATCTGGAATAGTTAGAAGGCTGCAAAGGACTATCTGCAATAAGCTGGCCAAAAAGAATTTTCTTAGCTAACTGGGAATGTACTTATGAGCAACGAGCTCAGCCGTTGTATATATTTCTCGTCCAGAAGCTGACCGCTGGCCGATCTCCAAGGGGGTGCACGTGGAGTTAGATGCGCCGCCGGCCAATAATGGACAGATTCCTTCGTGGGGATGTTTTGCAACTTGCAAGAGCATCGGGGGAAGCGTTCAACTCTCATGATCAGCCCAGATTCAGCTGTACAATATTATGATAAAAACAAGTTCATGATAATGCTTACCGAATCCACCCGGCTGAACAAACGAAATCGTAGACACCAAAACGATAAAAACTCGCTGTGTGAACCTACGATTACAACTATCGCCACATTCCTTATGCGCGCCAAGGTGACAGAATTCATCAAGAATTATGCAAACATGAGCTCGCATACGCAGCTGTGACCAGGTTAATCTAGAGGCAGTCGGAATCAGGTTTCCAGTGTCCAGTAATACTATCCACACGACTGATCCACAGTTCCACGGTGTATGGCAAGCACGCACACGGTTGACCGGAAGCATGTTGGCGGCTTGCAGACCATTATCATAACAAAACGAGTTTCTGAGTCGAAAGGCTGTCAACGAAGGGGTTGCGTTCTAAATGCATACAGAATAAATAGTACAGTGAGAAGTATGTAGGACCCGACGGGGCACTCGGTGGCCGTCGCTCACGACTCCCGTGAATGACTTCCAGGGCACAGGAAAGCAGTACCCAAACTAAGGAGCGCATGGCCATGCACCATTGAACTGGTACATACAGCGGTGCAGATCTTAGATCTAATTATTTCGAATGTATAGCTAAAAGTAAAAATCACGAAAAGCTCTAGTATGTATTTAAAATTTACTAGTGCACACTTCAGCCACCGGAAGCAGCTTCTGTTTTCCGCTTCTGTACGTAACCACCAGTGCGGTTGAAAAACAGCAAAAACCCCAAACCCGATTAAGAAATACGATTTTGAACAACAACTGCATCTTGGCATTCCAGCAAGATATGAAACTCCCATTTTGAAACCAACCGTGAGCAAAACAAGTTTCTACGATATCACATTCTCGGGATTCTCCTCTATAACATCGACAGCCACCGTCTTTTGATCATTCATTAGATGATAGCAATGGTCGTGATCCACAACCAGAAGCTCAGCTGGCGCATGCATTTGAGTTATTCCATTATGATCGGCAGCCACTTGCGAAGCGGCTTTGTTCAGGTGGGTTTCAGCGGCAGAAAGTCTGTGCGCCCATGTATCTCGACGCTTCTCAGCTGCATTCAGTTCTTGGTGAATCTTCTGCGCTAACTCTTCCGTGCCAGTTAAACTGACAAATTCCGAATAATCTTTCAAGAGATCATACAGACTTTGATGGAACAGGAAAGGAATCCGCACGTTTCTGATCAGAGGATAGCTAGAAATTACGCGCTCCACAAACCCTTTCAAGCATTTGAAATCATCTTTGGGATACTTCGTTACAGGGCCTTTATTGTGCACGGCATAATCTTCTATTAAAAGTCTGATGACTTTCATAAGGTCATTCCCCATTTCGCTTTCCTGAAACCACAAAAAGTTCAAGACTGCAGGTTTTATACATCCGAATAGGTTTTATATAATGAACTCCGTGCTACTGATATAATCTGGAATACCCACCATGATAAGCTCTTCGCAGCGATGTAAATTGATCAACTTGCGCACAATCGCTAGCACAATATCAATGCAGCATCGTCTTCCGGCCAAATCATTAAAGGATGATTTCTTATCACATTCATCTACGATTACAAAAACATGTAGGTAGTTATAACTCCAATACGAAAATATAATTGTCCCAATGCAATTTTCAATAACAAATGTAATTTTTAATTGGAAATTATTTGTAATTGTAATTATTTCATTCAGTCACGGCAAAAAGCGCAACTAACCGTCTTCGACGCGCTCTGCCACCGTCGGCCAGTAGATTCGCACAAGATTAATCAACCTTCGCATGATCAGAATAATGTTCTCCTCTCGTTCAGCTCCATTTTGCCTAGTTCGAACAAGAAACCATCAATAAAAAAATTAATCGCAAATAGATTAACGCAAAAATGGACGCAAACCGTGGTCGTTTACTTCATTATGTAATTGTAGCGATTTTATATTATTATATTAAATCTGCTCTCTCTTATCGCAACTTTTCAACTTACCCAGAATTTTCAACGGTGAATGACAGTGCGACGGCACGTGGGGCCAGATCAATCACCAAAGGATGCCGGAAAAAGAAATGGGTTGGTTTTCGAATGTCCCAGCTAATTATTTCTGCCGTTTTTTCTTTTTCCTCCGAAGCACAGATCCCTTCCAGTACGTGCAAAATCCTGATACAGACCAGCACCCTCGAATTTGCTGTCGCAAAAAATCCGACAGAATTCAGCTGAACATTCTGATGTCGTTGATTTTGGACGGTAACGATCATGGAAATTAAGGCATTCAACAATTTCCCCGAATCTTCCCGCGCCGCCCGTAGGTCTAAATAATTGGGGAGGATATCCACCACGGTCAGCGCATTGCAGGCCACACCGTTATTAATGTGCGTCAGCCCGCAGATCACGTAGCTGATGATGAGCGTGGCGAAGGGTTCGAGTAAATTCAGCGAGGGTTCGCCGAGCGCGTCAAAGATACTCTGCAGCACCGTACGCATGCGGGTATGAATTCGCGGTTCATCATCCATTAACCGCGGGAGGACGGCGTTCAGGATGTCGGATAGATATGTGCGGATGGAGGACGGGTACTGGAGAACATAGTCGGACAGTTCTGCGATGGCGAAGACGCGTTTGGTCGTCGTGTGGTGGGACAGGAGCGAGCAGATTTGCTGTTGGAGGGAGAGCACAACTGGCAGTTAAGCTGTTAATGTTGTGATTTTGTAAAATTATTACAGTACCTTTATATCGCGTCCGCGACTGGATGTCTCATTTTCGGTTTGACACTGAAACTGCTCGACGATGTTGATGGCACGGCTCTTGAAGGTAGTGTCAGTCACGTTGAGTCCCTTCGGCTTCTGTTTCCCTACTTTGAATTTGATCTTCTGGAAATCCTTTCGCTCCGAAGTCTTCTTGCGGGACCGTTTCGCCATTTCTATTACACGGTAATGTCAGGTGATCTTTAGAACAATACGGGGAGGCTGTCAGGCTGAGTAGATCAAAAAAGAAAACAAAATGTATAGATTTATATCACAGAGACGACAAATTAGCTGCAGTAGGGCAAGCACATGTAACTCACTAATTTTTAACCACTGCCCGTTGGTGGCTTTCAAGATGCAAATCAACGAAATTGCCATCCGCTCACAACACAAATGTACGTACAATGTACATATTGGTAGCATCCACCGCGTTTGCTTTGCTCCAGCAGCTCCACGCGCCTGCCGAGGCCAAATCAGAAGAAGCAACTATTTTATTTAACATCAGTTATAATATTGTACTTTAATTTATGATTTTTGTGATAAACCGTACTATATGGTTTGTCAGAGTTCGGGATATGGTGTGCCCTACATGGTTCAGGAAATTAAAGGGTCGAAAGGACCTAATACTGGGCTCTGTAAATGCATATTTCGCTTGTACGCTGTCATTCCAGTTTCTGACGATCGTAGCGAAAGTTCGAAAAATTCTGTATGTAGTATGTACCGGAAATTAAATATACTATTGTGCGAGAGTATTTAATAGTGCTACAGTGCAGCGCCTGAGTTGCGTGGCTAATTACCTCTGAGCAAAAGTTATGTAAAAAAATTTTGAACTGTTAGTAGTTTTATGCAGGCAAATCCTTTACAGGCGCAAGCGTGGGCCGTGGTTCATTGCTTTTGCGCTACAAATCGTAAGAAATCATTAAAAAATCCCGGTCTCAAATAGTTCTGTGATTTCTGCCTTCCTGCTAGTGTCTTTTGAACTTGGTCGAAGTATGTCGCAGCATGAATCATTATTGGTAACGTATTTATAGTCTATACTTGTTAGTACCCCGCTGTGGGGTTATCGTTAACCATTGTCAAACCAACTAAAAGGCACGGGGTCATTGCTATATACCGCAACGGACTGGATTTTTATTTCATTTGCGTAGTGTCCCTGCTTTCAAATCTTTCAAATGTTTCGAGTACAATATATATATAATTTAAGCAGGTTACAGGTGCGCATCCGGAATTCGAATGCCATTATAATGTCAAAATTATTGTGGCCAAAATTAAATTGTATAATCTCTCTGCCTCTGGGAGGACATAAATGGCATAAACTCTTCAGATAAGTACTATACTTCTTACAAAATGTATACGTATACCAAATATATGAACACATGATAAGTGTTTGTCAGCTCAGTGCAACTAAAAGTATCGTTGTCTTTTTGAACGTGCTCGGCGCCCGGCTTTGAGTTTTTACTATGCTGCATCTCGCGATATGAATGATCATCTACCATTTCCGGAATGAAAGAAAACCCACTGCGACATCGCGACAGTAACAGTCAAGTTTCACAAAGCCGCGCGTCATTCACGTGAGCGCCGGGCGACATTCCACATAGGAGACCCTTCCAGACTTTCGTGATTCCGAGTAACACGTAAATAACACCTGTAGTATCCCCAGATGTACCATATGAATCGCCCTCTAACCTACTGCACGTTGATTGTTCAGTTGACGTCAATTGTTTACAGAATTACTTCCACCGCGGATTTTTCTCTGCTACGAGTCTACGTGGACAGCGGCATATCACGATTACAGTGGCTAATGGCACGGCACAGCTTGGCGTCAGCGTAGAGGCAGTAAAGGTCAACTTCCTGTAGGCTAAACAAGTAACCTTTTCCGCCTAATAGCGGTTTGGTTCTATTGTAGTCACATAAGAGTTTTATTTGGCTTTGAATATAGGTTCTATGCCATCTCTATCCGACCATATAGCTGCGCGCCTTCATTTGCGTTCGAAATTAGAATTAAATTACTTAAATATCACAGGCTTTATAATTTGTACAGACTAAAACTAAATTGCTTAATCAAGCGGAGAGGACAAGTTCGGCATCCACTCATGTGTAAGTAATTCCTGTGGAGTGTTTGCTTAGAGGAGTTTCTGTGAGTTACGTTTGAAGATTTCCCTCCACCCTAGCTTATAAGTATTACAACCAGTTTTAGACTAAATAGCGTACGTATAAGTTTTAGATAAAGACATACTGTATATTCATATATCTATATAATTATATAGTTCCATCGACCATGTGGCCCTTTCATAAACTGCATATAAAAAGGGCTCAAAAGTACTTACAGACACGGTGGGACTACGAAAACTTTTTCTATGTTTGCATTTTCACGTCCGAAGACTTGCGAACGAATTGTTCATTAATATTGCCACGCTCGCAGGTGGAAACAGCCTGACATTTTTTATTCCGACCTCAAACGACCTGTAAGAATCCTGAGCTCTTTTCCGCGAAGAAACCAATCATATTCATATTCTGTGAGATTTATGTGCTCATCTTTCATTCTTACTCAACTACATGTTACTTTATTAACTGTGCCGACAAGAGATGCCGCAAATTTAGTATAAACTGCCACCATGGTATCGAACAAAATACTCACAGTATCTGCGATAGCAAAAAGGCTAGAAATAATTATAGAGTAATTAAACATATTTGTACACCACGTTCGAGAGTCTAAAAACAGCAGCAAATTGGTGTAATGACCACCAGCAGGCAGCGGAACGGACAGGAGGTACAATATCCAGGAATTGCGTAAGTATTGATTGGCAATATCACAGTCGATGCGTGGCGGGTCTTGCCGACACTGTCTTTATATTATTATCTCTTTTGCTGTGCGGATTCTGGCACTTGGGCGTGCATCATCACAATAAGGCGCTTCGTCATTCAGTTCAAGCTCCTTAGCGCAAAATTCACCGGTATGGTAGAAAATCATCAACCGCAATTTTGCTGAATAGATACAACAAAATATCCAAAAACGAGGATAATACTAGAGGCTGGGGAGCGAGTGTTACATGGCCCCTTCGAAGGGACTATTGGCATCCATGTTTTCTAATGATTCCAACGAATATTTCTCGATTAGCGATGATAGAACACTTCGCTCTAAATAAAAAGCAGACAAACGTTAAACAAAATAAAATACTTAACATGCTAATTAAGGCTATATATAGATTTAGAATTTTCTGCACTAAGTATGACAACTTATGATTCGCGCTTAACTAGCTTGAACTTATACCGAACTTATCAACCGGAACGCAGTAAAAGTTCTCTGATTAAAAACAAGGTAAAAGTTTCCGCATGCCCGTCTTTTATTTATTTGTTAATATAAAAGTAAACAATTACATATAAATAAATTAATTAGCATAAATCATACTTTTATAAAAAATAAGTAGCACACCGTTCACGCAAAATTAATATGGACTACAGCTAACTAGCAATTAGTTAGTCTGCATAATACAGAAGTCTGCCATTCTGCATCATACAGTCCGCGGTAGAGTACACCTGTGTATAAGGGTTCTGTTGACCAGTAGCTGCGTTCCGGTCTACCAGTGCACGCAAAGTGCGTTTCCTTATTAATTAATTACACATAAATTACTAATTAAAAAGTAACACTGTCCATATATGTAGGATCACTCAACTGGTTAAAGGGCTTATGCAGCATTTGAAGTAATCCCGGTGGCCACATTTCGGTTGACAGGATTTGTGACAGTTGCACAGCGGATGGGTTTTACCGGTAGTACTCGTGCCGGTTGGTGTCTTTGTATCGACACGACTCGGAATAACCATAAAAAGTGCTAAGAGAAAAGCCAAGGAAATTCGCCGAGATGCAGGTGAACAGATAATTTCAATCACCATCATCGTGGATGCATCGGTTCTCTGTGGACAATAGGTAATTAGGATTTACTTTACAATTAGTTAAAAATTAATCCTTGTATGTTAATAGAATGTAAACGATAACAAAAACGCTTCACACATTAAGACGATTGGAGAGCAATAATAAAAATTAGCCTGCTTTGCAGGATGTTAATCCCAGTAGTTATTAGCCAGATCATAATCCTCTTATCCAAGCCAATTAAAATATGGAACTCATTGAAGTAATATCGCAGTTTTATAACGCCGCAAATTGAATAATAGGTAATGCCGGAGCACCCAGAGAGACGCCATTATATAGCGTTCTAGCTATGCCTAAGGTGATGCATTATTAAATTAGCAATGTACAGTAGGAGCATCGCGTGGGAAGCGGTACAGAGGAAGCGTCATGTATTCCTTAAAGAAAAGCGCCTCCTAGTGCGGTTCACTTTTTTAACATATTCCGGTCAGCATGTAACTTTTAGGATAAAACATTGTTGCAGAAAACGGTGTATAGATAGACCAGAAACAGTAATATTTGGGATTTGCCGAGTGAAATGCAATCTTTAAACACAAGAGCGTAGGTTTAAAGTAAAGCAAGATAAAAGCAGAAGACACAACTTCCGGATGCTTATGTATAGCACTGAAATATGATCACGATACAGAGTTAGGCGTTAATTTAATTGTTGATAAGTGGATGAATATATCCCAATAATGTGGAGCGCCAACAGGATCCGGATGTAGCTTCTCATAATTATAGCCGAGGCATCCCTCTTGTATAGACCACCCGTGTACCGTGTACCACACACATCCGGTAGTATGACGGCGTGTATGGCGCATATCCGTACTGCACTAACAGACACGGAATCGGGACGTAAGACCTAAGAACTTCTTTTTATACTAAACTGTCGAAACCTCATAAATAACCTTATATAGACATCGCATAGTTGCATTCCTGTCTTTAGTGCAGGACGTATGCACATCAATTATGCAGTTAGCTCCGTCCCGCTCCAGCTAAATACTGGTCTGGTCACGACCTTATTGTAAACTATCCCGGTATAATTATACAAGTATGCAAATATTTTATTAACGTTTTACGTATACTTCTATATTAAAGCGGATGAACGTTGACAACCGCTTTAATATCTTTCTTTGTTGTTTGATCGTGATAACCGGTACGCTCCTGTTTCCAAAAATATTGATTCGAACTTGCAGAAGCAGTCGTACGTTTTTAATCCATTATAATTAAAGGTAGCGTTTGCGGTTGTAATACATGGTAATTTGCTGAAAATAAGGCCAGGAAGGTGTTTAACGTCAGAATAATTTAGATTTCTTTGGATAAGTATTTTCTCGTGCCTGTAGCCAAATTGCCTAGCCGCTGACGTAGGCATTTCAGACACAAAATGTTGAATATAGAAGTATTGTTTTCCGTATAATTGCCCATAATAGTAGTGAAACTGCCTCCCCATGCTACCCAGTAGTCGGCACGGTAACGTGCGAATGCTACAACAGACACCAAGCATTATTAGTCTTGATGTTTACGTTTACAAAAAAATGCAGGTACCTTCCATGATGTTTATGAGACAGCGCTTAATTATTATTATTATTATTACGGCACAAAAGCAGACAACCCCAAGGGGACTTCAAGTCTGGTTGCAAATTGCAAACCTTAATTGCCTAATTGTGCCATTTTATTCTTTATTCAAAATAAATCACGATAAGCGGCAGTCAAGGCGGTCACTGCCAAAAATATGCATAGGTTTATTATGTTACTCCCTGCTTATTTGCATTTTCTTGGGCCATATCAGTACTGGCGTCAGGAAGAGCATCGTAAGCCCGTAAACACAATATCATCTGTTTGCTGTCTTCTAGGTATTCTTTTGCAGTACTTGGAAGCAAACCTATTCGACTCATTTATTCGACAAAATAATTCCATGAAGTGGCATATCAATGTGTAGGCAGTGTATAAAGGTCATTTTCTGCTACATTAGCCGAAAGGCGTCCTTCGACGGCGGAAAACAAAGTCATCGAAATGTCTGCTAAGCGTTTCCTATGAATCTTTTGAGAAATGATGCATGACGACCTTTTTACTTATTAATTTAAATGCGTAATTCCGTATATGCCAGCTTTTTTTCCATAATTGGGAAATGAATAACGGTAAAATTTATAATCCTTGGATTAATATTAATACAGTGACCAGCGCGGTCTACCAGTTTTATCGGATAGACGTATTTCATGCAAGACGATAGGTTAAACGTTGTTTGTGCGTCCTAATTAAATGAGAAATTAATAAGTGTTATTACGTCGATGATTTTGCATAAAGGACCGAACGTAATAATAATGCATATGGTTGGCGAAAATGTCACTGGTCCGTTGCGCAATTCTGGATTATCCTTACCACTATAACGCTCTCAACATTAACTGTAAATCGAATAAATTCGTTGACCTTTAAAATACCTGCTTTGTATTAAGAGGCAGACCAGTCTCTGCTTTAGGGGACCAGCAAAAATGCCATCATTTGCTGATCGAACCGATTCAAAAGCTAAAAGACCACCCAACAACCATGTACTTATGAAAGGTCATGGTATTTAATTTATTAATTAACTGCCAGTCTTTGACTCTGCGTGCTTCGAAAAAATTCATTATACGTATATGGCAGATGGTTTATTGAGAGTGTTTTACCTTGTGATCGCCTGCACCGTAAACGGCCATAAAGACATGCAGCTTGGGAAAATGCCTAGAATGTCATTCCCTGCGAATCGCTGCGATATTTCTGGTTTAGAAATCTCACAATATAAGTATTTTGTCATTATTAAGAAGGGCTTAACACATTAACTATCGTGGCTTATACGTTGTAGTATTACGTACTCTTATATATGTATATAAGGATGACCAACCGTAGAGTACAATACATGTAAGTCGTAATTACCTATAAATATATAGTCACGGTACCCATTGCAAATTTATCAGCATATACCTATAATACAAAGTATTGTATATTAGAGTACTACAAACATTAGTACAACTGCACTCGTTCTGTCTACTCAAGTCGGTATTAAAACAATTGATTATGTGGATGGGTCGCGTGACTTGGGTTGTTCCACCGGGACTTGTGTATTACGTTCACCTGCGCCAGGGAAGCCGCACCCCAGTAGTCGCCTACTTCCAGGCGTGTATCACGGTGCGCTGCAAGCCTGCAACCAACGGTGGCGCCAAAATCAATATCCGTGATAAATTTTTTATACTCGGTTCCAGGTACGCAGACTAGGTAGTCGCGAACTAACAGCTACCCCGACCAAACAGAACGGACGTCGACGGTTAACGTTACGGTCCTTAATAATGCAGTTTCCATGTCCTTTTTATACTGTATTTCGCTGTCTTGTCAGTTATACTTGTCGTACAATAGTACAACTGAGGCTGACAAACGCTACGGATATTTGGTTGAATCGGATATTTAATTGACGGCTTCATGGCAAATTTCTTATATTACTGGAAGGTTATTTCGAAAAAGTATGTTTTCCATCTCTGCAAAAATCATATGCCGGCTTGGTACATCGTTCTCCATGCGTTTGCACAATTGCCATTCGACACATTCCCGTGAAAACAGAGAACGTATAATTTAAAAGCCTGAGCTACGATTTGTACTGCTATAACAATAGCCGATACTGGGAGGCACGATATTGTACAATTTTACTACCAATAATCCTAATCATAAACAAATTTACTCGACGTAGTTGATCGATACGACTACGAGTACTATCATAATTATGCCACTTCCAGCAGTTCCAGGTGCCGAAATGTTCGATCGCCAACGATATTAAATCATGTTGTCGTTAATATTCTTACGCTGCGTGCATAGCAAATCAGATTTTCAGAAGTTATCGGCTTGCAGTTAGAATTATTCCTATGCGAGCTTTCAGAGTTGTTCCTGCAACTGACCACATTAGCACTTACAATTAATGGAAGTTTCGAATAAAAATCCCCATCTTGCATCTCTAAACATATTTCCGCCACTTGACCACAATGTCATCGAATTCTGGTGAAACAGTCAAACTTGCGCCTGAAAGTGAATCTCTGCGGAATAAGCTCGAGCCCGCTGCTGGCAGTGTGGGGATTGAGCAGCACCCAGCTTATAAATTTTGTTGCTGTTTTAATTTTTTCCAAATATTTATACGAGATCCTAACCAAATCAGCTGTTCGAGAAATTAAAAATCGCTCTTCATGGCGATTTGCTAGATGTCTAAGGCTTTAATGATATTGTATGGACTTCAACAGCAAGATTATTTCGCATTTTGTTATTGAAATCTTAGCCCTGAGTGATAACCAGTGAAATGATTAACGGGAACCACGATCTGCAGCCTGTGACTGCAGGCGTAGGCCAACCGGCCCAGGTAAAATCACGTAACGAGCGCTCAATCACATCTGTGATCTGCATGTGATCTTCTGTCTGGATCTCCCTCACTGTTCTAATTAGATGATCAACGGAATGCTGCCGGACTTCCCCATCATCACCATGGCCCCAAACGGTCCTTTCCTCATCCCCGGCGGTATTCCCGTCAGCCTGCATCCTCCTCCCGTGGACTTCTCCTGTACACCCTCCTCCGAATCCGCCATTCAGAAGCGCATCAATCTCCTGGTCAACGAGGGCCAGACCGACCCGACCGACTGGCATACACCGCTGGCCTTCACTCAACTGCGCCATACGGAGCCCATCGAGGGTTACGAGAATTCGGTAGAGTCGTGGCGCGTCAAAGATCGGGTAGGGTTCTCTGACTTCTCTCTGCTCGCACTGTGATGGGGAGCGGGGGATGCACAATTCTGTTCGCCTACTAGATGAAAACCGTCAGTGTGGCGCTGGTGCTGTGCCTGAATGTTGGTGTTGATCCACCCGATGTCTTCAAACCAAATCCCTGTGCCCGACAAGAATGCTGGCTAGGTAAGTGCGTTTACTGAATCCTCGCGGTCGCTTTTCTTCAGTTTTTTACATGCTCGTCAGTGCCTTTAATATCCTGTGATTATACTGATCTGCTTTTTATCTTTTGCTGTTCTATAATTTTGAAATATGTACCGAAAAGTTATTAGGTATTTTGTTTCTTTTATCGGCGCCTACCAGATTTGGATTTATTTTGATTTTGTGGTGCTAATGTTGGATTATTTTTTTGTTTAGTCGAGTTTTGTGTTAATATCATTACTGCACAAACTTGATTGTTTTCTATTACTATTCATATAAATTGCCTCGATCGACTTTGAATATTTTATTTTCCCTAAGCTTACAAAATGTCTTTCGATTTATTTTGTTGCATACATTTTGCATTATACATATTTTTTTTATATTTTTAATTTTATTTTGATTTTGCGTAATGGGGTTGTGTTATGCGAACGGCTACAAAATGCCTTGATTTATTTTTATGTAAATGTTGCTGGTTTTCGTAAAGAAGAATAATTATTAAATATGTTATCACTGTTATGGTATATCTCAGATCCATCGGCGTTGGGATCGCAGAAAGCTGTGGAAACCATAGGGAATGCTCTTCAGAAGCAGTACGAACGCTGGCAGCCTCGGGCACGGTACAAGCAGTCCCTGGATCCGACCATTGAAGATGTCAAGAAGCTCTGTATCTCCTCACGTAAAAGTTCAAAGGTATACCTTAAGGGTTATTTCTGGAGAACTGGCATTTATGTTGTTGCTGTTATTGCAATAGGATGAACGGATACTGTTCCATTACAACGGCCACGGAGTGCCGAAACCAACCGCCAATGGAGAAATTTGGGTGTTCAATAAGAATTACACCCAGTATCTCCCTCTTTCCGTTTTTGACCTGCAAACTTGGATGGGTGTTCCTTCCATCTACGTGTACGATTGCTGTAATGCGGGGACCATTGTGCAGAGTTTTTTGACGTTCGCCGATTCTCAAGAAGAAGAATACGAGGTAAACATTTTTTGCTACAGTAGTATAAATTAATTTCTTTTTAAATTTAGCAGTAATTACTTATTCTAATATGGCGTGAATTCGTTCTGCTAAAATAGGTAAGCGGAAACTGATACATGTTATGTGTTTGTTGTGTCACTTGTGTGTATCACATATCGTCTACCAGTACATCTTTTATTAGTTTCAACGGAAAAGCTATCCCGACAGCGACGAGATGAGGGAAACACCCCCGCAGTATCGACAGTGCATCCACCTTGCGGCATGTGCGGGTGGAGAGGAGCTGCCGACCAACCCAGACCTTCCGGCTGATCTGTTCACTGCATGCCTAACGACGCCGATCAAAATGGCGCTGCGCTGGTACACCCTGCAAAATAAAACCCGACTCCTCCCTGAGATTACGTTGGACATGATTGACAAGTACGATCATATCATTTTACCTGCACTAATTTCCAAATTGCAAATGTTCCTGTTGCAGAATTCCGGGCCAGATGAATGATCGGCGAACCATGTTAGGTGAACTAAACTGGATTTTCACTGCCGTGACCGACACAATCGCCTGGAATTCTGTTTCAAGAGGTAGCTTGCACTTGTTGCGACTTGCGTAACGTTGCGTGACCGTGAATTTTGGGTTATGCAGATTTATTCCACCGACTTTTCCGGCAAGATTTACTCGTAGCCAGTTTATTTCGAAATTTCCTCTTGGCTGAGCGAGTCATGCGAAGTTATAACTGCTCGCCGATATCGTTTCCAAATATGCCACACTCCACGGCGCAACATTCGATGTGGTACGGTAAAATTTTCGTTGTTTACGCGAGAGTAAATTAGGAATTTTGATGGAACTGTCTGACAAATAGTTGACAATAATCTTCGATGTCTAATGCGCAGTGGCATGTGCAGTTGGCTGTTAGTTCTCATTTTGTTTAGGGAGACCTGGGATTTTGCGCTGGATGCCTGTCTCTGCCAACTTCCAGCGGTGCTGGAAGGCGGCCAGTATATGCCGTCAGCTTTCTTTACTGAGCAGCTGACTGCTTTTCAAGTGTGGTTGACGTACGGCAGCGAAGAGCGGTCTCCTCCTGAACAGTTACCGATAGTTTTACAAGTGCGTTGATTTGCAGTGCAACATGATGTATTTCTTAAAATATATTCCGTTTTGATTTCGCAGATAAATATTTTAAAATGAGAGGTGTTTACAAGGCAAAAACAAGTTTATGTTAACAATCATAAACTTTTATTAGAGCGTTACATGTAATTCTCGGACCGCAGGTTTTATTGAGTCAAAGCCATCGATTGCGAGCTCTCGATTTGTTGGGCCGCTTCGTCGATCTTGGACCGTGGGCTGTAAACCAAGCGCTTTCCGTTGGAATATTTCCGTATGTGTTAAAGCTCCTGCAAAGTTCTGCGAGAGAGCTTCGGCCTTTACTGGTTTTTATCTGGGCCAAAATCCTCGCTGTGGATGATGTAAGTTTGTCATAGTGGCTGTGCGCAGTGTGTTTAGTGGTTGTTTACCGACCTGGAATTTTCTTTTATAGACTTGCCAAGGCGAAGTGATACGCGAGGGTGCTCATAAGTATTTTTTCGATATTCTATCGGATTCCTACTTACCCGTGGAACACCGTACAATGGCGGCCTTCGTCATATCCCGAACTGTCTCGGACAACATCCCCGGTAAAGAGATTGCTCTCAAGGATAATCTGATTCCCATCTGTGAAGAACAGATCCTGGAGTCGCGCGGGAACCTCCGCCAATGGGTGGCCATCTGTCTGGGAATATTTTGGACAAAACATGCGAATTCCCGGTGGGCGGGTGTCCGCTACGTTGTGTACGATAAACTTTTCCCGCTGCTGCATGATCCCGTCCCGGAAGTCCGAATAGCGGCTGTGTTTGCCTTGGGAACTTTCATGGGCAACGATGAAGATAGGAGTGAGCACGCTAACGCCATCGATTCGGCCATTGGAATGCAGTTAGTCAATGCCTGCGCCAGTGATGCCAGTCCACTTGTCCGCATGGAACTGGTAGGAGCGCTGCAGTGGTTGGTGCTGCATTTTGAGGCACAGTTCACATCCATTGCCGCCCAGATGGAAGAAGAGGAGCGATCTGTGGAGCAGAGTGGCATCAATATCGCTGCACAAAAAGGTGAATTAAGTGACTGAGTGAAGTAAACGTGTTTACTCAATTTTTGCAAAGTTTTGCATTCAAGTCGAAGACCCAGTTTCTTGCCAGTTAACTGCAGCACATTTTTCTGTTGTTAGACCGACAGTTTCTTCTTTTCATTTCGGCTTTACTTATTTCATGTTTTTTTAAACTATATTTAACCGCCTTTTTTCTTCACGGTGTATTTTGAAAACAGAAAGCGGTTAAATTTAATGCTGAAAACGTAAGATATCGCTTTTTTTATCGCGGAGCGAGTGGACATAAACGAGCAGTGTGTAATTGCGTGTCGTATTGTTTTGTATTATAGACGCAGACACAACCGATAAACGCTCTCCTGAGAATCACCTAACCACATCCCAGCAGATGCGCAAAGCAGCTCCGAATGTCGGAATGCATTCGTTTGGTGGCCCGGTGTTCCATGGAAATCTCTTTCGCAACGTCGTTAAAGTGTTAATGAATTACGCTCGGGATCCGTTTCCTGACGTCACCCACGCAGCGATCGCTGTCCTGCAAGTGATTAGTGACCGGTATCGACAGCCCTCACTCCTGGCTTCTATCAGCCGGTTGGATTCCCACGACCATTCCCAACATTCTAGTCCAAAAAGCTCGTCAGACCTCCTGGATTCTGTCCCGAGGGAACTGGAAACCAGCCTAAGGATAAATACAGTACGGCAAGTTTCCATCGAATCGAAGAAATCATCGCATGAACCCACACAACTGACCTATTCGCAAAAGTATACGCGAAAACGGGGAATGTTCGACCCTGGTCCCAGTGAAGATGAGGAGCTGGATGAGGATCATAAAGTGAAGACCGAAGCGATTTTCACCACCAGTTTTGTGTCGTGGTGCGGGAAGGCTTTTGCTTTGCCGTTGATGAAGCCCAGGGAGGATCAGGATCCGGCAGCGGCACGCCACTTCCAGAAAGAATGGAAGTACATCAGAAACAAAGTGCTTAGAGCAAACTGTGCCAGCGAAATACAAACTGCCGGTAATTCCGCTCCTATACAAAGAATTTTCAGCTCTTTTAATTGCCTGATGATGTTGTATTATAAGAACGATGTGTTAAATAGTATTATTTTGCAGGAGTGGCTCGCTACGACGTCCAGGCGTTTATGAACAGAAACCACGAAATACCCATTCGAGTGCAATTCGATTTATGTGAACCGTTGCTTTACGTGGCTGGCCGCAGTCACATAAGGTATGTTGATCTTTTTTATACGGTACTGTTTGTTGAAATTTAATGGGGAAAAGTTGTTTCGTTTCAGCACATGGAATTACGAAAAAAACTTCCGCGTTGCGAGTTTTCCTAACGGCCACAGCAGGCATAACAGGATATCGGATGTGGCTCTTTTGAACAGACACTACAGCCCGTTTATTCTGGTTGCCGTGGGTTCGTTTAAAATTTTCTTTAGTAATTAAACTAAAGCTTTTTCTGATTAAACAGTCGCATATCGTACAACCTACATAAATTACTATAACGGGGTTTCAGATTGAGGAAAAAATTTATGTCAAATTACGCCAAAAAAACTGGATGTTTTGCGGCAAAACTGAAACCACATGTTGCACATAAGATTTCATGTTTACAGATGACGGAACGGTAAAAGTCTGGAAGAACATTGCATTTCCTGGTGAACGGAAGCAGGAAGATCTCGTTACCGCCTGGCAGGCGCTGCCTGAGATTATTTCTTCACACCGAGCAGTGGGTACCGTGATTGACTGGGAGCCCATGAGTCAGCATTTGATCGTGGGTGGCGATGCGAAATTACTCCGCGTCTGGAACCTGGAAAGCGAGACCAGGATTGTCGACATTCCCACCCGGTTGGACAGCAGTGCCAGTAGTATCTGCAGCGATTCGACTTCTACGGGGATATTCGCGGCGGGTTACCAAGACGGTTCGGTGCGGTTATACGATCGCCGGTGCCCTGCATACGACGCACAGGTTATGATCTTCGATGGACATGCGTCGTCGGTTGTATCTACGAAGATGCCGGAGAATGTACTGTTCCACAAGATTTATTCGGGCAGTGCTGATGGGGATGTGAAAGTGTGGGATGCCCGTGTACCGAATCAGGTGTCGTCCAATAAGACAATACCGGGAATGACAGCCATGGATGTGCACGAGAAGGCCGAAGTGTTTGCCTGGTGAGGACAAAAGTTTTCGTTTAAATTTAATATGTACGCTGAACCTTCTTTGAGTGACCTTTATTTTTTTAGCGGATCGAACGGTCAGAGTTTAAATGTGTACAATTTCTTGGGATCACAGCTGTCCTCGGTGAAGTATTACGAAGGCTTCATGGGGCAGCGCATTGGACCAGTCAGCGCTGTTGCTTTTCATCCTTTAAGGGTAGGTCGAGATTTATTGTGTCTTGCTTATTTATTTACCATTACTTATATAAATTACCATTAACGTTATTATTTTTTCCACATATTTTTGTTTAATTTTCTGGTTACCGATTTGAGTTCTAAGGTTAGAGCTTGTTTGTAATTATTTTGCGGCACAGCAGATACTTATTAATTTTTCTTAAGCAGGCAACCGTTAATCAGTTGAAATTCACACAGTTCTTTTGCAGACCACGTTGGCTGTCGGCTGTACCGACTCATTTGTTTCCGTGTACACCAGCGCCCTGGATAAGAAACCCGTCCGTCAGTGAGAGGCTGTACAAAATATTTTACTTTTATCTCTCATCATTTTATTATCGTATTGTGCGGTTGTTTGTTGATGAACTGGTGATAAATATGGCTACTTTGCTCATATATTGGATATAATTTTATATAGAAAGATATTTTCGCAATCCGGAATGTTACGTACTTGTTTCGTGGTGTTGTTTTGCCTGTACCATAGCTGTTAAGTTTTATACGTTTTGTGATCATGTGGGGAAGAATTAACCAATGCTGGAAATAATTAAATCTGTGCGGTTTGTTTGTCGCTGTTCCTTCTTCAGGTTTCGTGCTGCAGCTTATTGTTAGCAATGTAGGATCCGAGTTCGACGATGATGTCTTCTACTTCCCGTATCCGTAAATGTGTGCAGTAAATTGGCTCCTGGTAGCAGCACGATTTCTTACGCGCATTGTACGCGTACTAAAATTTGTAGGATAGGAACGGTCACAAGTACTTACGAAATAACCGTGAACGGTGAAACACTAAATAGCAAAAGAAACGGTGAAATGCGAAGCTGGACATCGCAGATAGTAAAATGCAATTGCTATCCGGAAAATAAGGGGCCAAAAAAGGCAAAAATCAAGATAGACCGACTGTTGACTGTTATAATTAAATTTTCTTGCGATCCTGCTCTGCATACTTAATGTGATAAACATTTTACGGATTTATCTCATAAAATTAAACCAATAAAATTTTTTGAAGATTTTTATCACAAAGAGTCACCGGATGACGGCGCCGGTGGCGGTCTACGAGTAAGTACAATGCTGCCAACCTCGGGTGGTCGCCCGCCTCTACTTGGATTTTTGCATTTGTCTGTGTTCGCACATCGCAGCAAGTTCGCTGCAGTCACACTGTCAGCTGTTGAAACTCTTTGTTGTGTATGTAGTAATATGTTTTCTGTTTGCTTATAGTTACCATGAGTTTTTTCATGAAATTTTTCAGTTGTCTTAGGTTATTCTGGCCCTTTGATCGGGAGACTCGAGCCGACTGAAGGTGTGAAAATTTCAAGGTTCAAGAAACTGTCAGATGTCGATTTGGCTTGCAGGTCCGCGCGCTTGCTCTTATCCAACGATTCCACAAAACGCTGCTGTTCTTTCAGTTTGCAGCAGTTCGAAAGGAATCTACGTAGTGGTGCTACTTTGATACATTTGGAAAATCGGAGGACATGGGAAAGAAAGAATACCTCTGCAAAGTCGAGGGTAAGGATGGAACTGCTGACGAATTCTTGTTATCATATGCCAGCATTACAAATATTCCATTGTGGGCCTTTCTCGCGTACTTTTTACATCCGTCTTAGTTTGCTACGATATAGAGGCTTGCCGTCAAAGAACGAAGCGTATTAGGAAAGTTTTCTTCCGGCGTTGGTGATTAGTATTTTGGTTTTGCTGTCTCGGTGAAGTGTTGAAATTGGTTTAATAGAGTAATACACTGATACTCCCGTTAGTACGATGGTATTACATTAGATATTTTGTTACAGGATGTGGGAAGGTGTTCAGTTCCTGCGGCGGTCTATCACAGCACCGGAAAACACATGAAGGTAATGTTGCACGGCGAGCTTTTGGCAATGCTTACATGATGTGCGCTGCTGTCTAATAATTTTCTGACCGATGTCCGCCCGGAATTTGCGCAGGTAGTTACAGCAGATTGCTCGATTTATGTAGGAGTACTTTGTGATTGAGAAGGTCTGATTTATTTCCTTTGCCTGCAGATCGTCGTCGTTTCAAATGTGAACACGAAGGCTGTGAATTCTCGTCTCATCAGAAAATCAACCTGAAGACGCATTACCGCATCCATACGGGTAAATTGTTATTGCTTTTAATCGTTGGCTGTTATTTCACAATCGTAGAATATTTTTCGACAGCGTAATTTTCTAGCGGTAGACTATATTCTGTCTATGCAGTATAGTTCTGCTGATGGTGTTTTGTATGATGCCAGGGGAAAAGCCGTACCAGTGTTCGATATGCAACAAATCATTCTCGCAGCAGGCAAATCTGAATCATCACCAGTTGATTCATACTAGTAAGTCAGAAACTAACAATTAGAGGTTCATATTTTAACATTCGCGTTTTATGAATAATTGTATACTTTGTATAACATGTGAAGTTGTCTTCTAAATATAATATTGTTCTAATCGTTTGTAAATCCAGCTTAACGAAAAACGACGTATTTTGTTACCTGCAGAGGAAAAAGAATTTCTTTGTCCGGTCGAGGGATGCAAGTTTCGGGCGTTCCAGTCCATCAACTGCCAAACCCATATCTCTCGCTGTCATCCCGGTAATCTTTTTGTTGGACCGATATTTTTAATTGATTGAAAGTAAAGAACTTTTCAGTTTCAACACCTGAAAATTCAGTAGCGGCGCAGTTTAGCGAAATTAATCCATGTGCCTGTGGGGCTGCATAAACAATTAGTTTGCACTTTCGTTTTGCAGATAGCAAAGATTGCGTTCCATTACCCTCCTATCAGAACCAAAGTCCTCCTGAATGCAAGCGGAAGAAAAGATCGAGAGAGCCTGGTACGTTAACGATTTGTGTACTGAAGATTAAAAGTAATTTATTTTTTCTTTTTTAGAAAATGTTATCAAAAAGTTGTCACCCAATCCGCAACCTACCCGCAGTTCGTGGAGACTGGTGAAGCGGCGGGAACACGCTGCACTTGCGGAAAATTGTGTGCAGCCGAAGACTAGCGAGGATTGCGGCTTACCAAGTTCGAGTCCCTCTCATTCACCGGAAATTCCTAGCTTTTCCAGTATTGACGACGAAGAAAGTACTTATTCTTGCGTGCCGGAATTCCCTCAAGTGGATGTTGCTTCTCCGCAAGTTGATGTGGAGGAGGACGAGATTTGTGGCATCGCTTACCTCACACCAGAAGGGTTACAAGGCGAATGCCGTTATTATGTTGCCTGTAAAAACGAATCGTAAGCACAGTAATTATGATAAACCTGTATGAGTGACTGTTGATTTTGCAGCCTTTCGTTTGCCGCCTGTATTAAAATTAATTTAGTTGTTTTCTGTTTGATTTATGTAGCGAAACTATAGAGACCGTATGCAGCTTATGTTGCGAATCATTTTTGGTATTTTCCAAGATAAAGGGTGCATTCGAAGCTTTATAATTGCATGGTAATGTAAATCGAAAGCCTGTCTTGCCTACGCACTGATCAGTTGGTAGTTTCGAAAGACACAGAATATCTGGTAGTTGTTGCAGATGTAATGCAGACGAGGACGAGATTTGTGGCATCGCCTATCTCACACCGGATGGGTTACAAGGCGAATGCCGTTATTATGTTGCCTGTAAAAACGAATCGTAAGCACAGTAATTATGATAAACCTGTATGAGTGACTGTTGATTTTGCAGCCTTTCGTTTGCCGCCTGTATTAAAATTAATTTAGTTGTTTTCTGTTTGATTTATGTAGCGAAACTATAGAGACCGTATGCAGCTTATGTTGCGAATCATTTTTGGTATTTTCCAAGATAAAGGGTGCATTCGAAGCTTTATAATTGCATGGTAATGTAAATCGAAAGCCGTCTTGCCTACGCACTGATCAGTTGGTTGTTTCGAAAGACACAGAATATCTGGTAGTTGTTGCAGATGTAACCATGCGTAAAGGAACTTCTCTGCTACATATATTTGTTGTGCATTGTAGGGGAGTCGATTACGTGTGGATGTCTAAAGATATGGTTACGGACCAACAGAAGCGGAAAATCCTGGACGTTGTGTTCCTTCAAATGCCCAAATGAAATATGTCAGTGCTGCTCAAAGCAAGTGCAACGAGGTTGTATGATTCTCGACAGTATGATTTTTATTGTTTTTGCAATTTCTTTTACAAAAAGGTTCCTTTTATTGCGCGTTTGTACATGATATCTGCACAGATTTATTTTTTCCTTTGACATTTGATTTCTTTCTTAGAGATTGTGATTCGTGAAAAATCACTGCGAAAAATATTGGGAAATAGTAAAAGATCCCAAGAATGGAAGCTTTTCAGGAAATTTTTTAGCCTGCGCTACTTGCCCTAACGATTGCCCTAACGATAGGCGACACTAGTAAAATACTGAAGCTTTAAAGTGAAGGAGAAACGAACATCCACCGGCGTAGTCTTTACCACCACAGCGTCCGGTCAACAATCTACTACTCGTAAATAACAGCAAAAGTATACTCGTATTGTAAATTCAAGAGCAGTAATACTGCCTATTCCAAAAATTCTTAAATTATAAAATGATGTTTATGTTACTAAAGCGTTACAAAAATTTCGTATGGACAGCAAGAAAATTATCAAGCATTTCGACATAAAGGCACAGCCGGCGCTGCGGCCATTTTCATTAGATAGTCCTGTACGCAGTACGGCAAAAACGGTAGAATAAACCCACGCAATCTGGCTCCCGTACTCCCCGGTACATAGCGCAGTTTAGGATGCTCCGATATCACCGCATCCTCCATACAGTCGACCGGCTCCGATAAGCGTGCGCAGGAACTAGCTGAAACCTTTTCCAGGTGTTTCTTGAAGGCCGCGTAATAAGCTTCACCGTAAAATGTCCGCATTTCCTCTGAAGAGTTCTGCCAGTGTTTGTCAACGGCGGAAAGGCCCACTGCGGCATCGTTCATGGTTGTTTTGTATGCACCGGGCTCAACAAGGGATACTAAAAATCATACATAGATTGTTACGTAACGTATTTCGGTTGTCCAAGCCGACATTCTGTACGCTGACCTTTAATTCCAAATTTTTTCAGTTCGCGGCGTAATCCGTCAGCCAAGGCAATCTGAGCGTGTTTGGTCATACTGTATCCCACCATACCGGGAATCGCATAGCGTCCTGTAAAAGCACCACAACATGTACAAAGCCTTTTGGCGGTTAAGCTACCCATAGTCATTCAAGGGAATTAACTTGCTAACCGGAAAGACTAGCCACAATCACAATGCGGCCAGCTGATTCGCGTAAAAGTGGCAAAAAGGCCTTCATCACGCGGACAGTGCCCAAAGTGTTCACATCCATCAATTTCTGCAAATTAGTTGTGTATAGACTTCCTATATTTTACAGGACATGCGCACAGTACTGGTCAATGTGCGCAAGCAGATAAGAAGTAAGTAGCTTTAATTTTTAACTTTTTTTTATATTTGCACCTCGTAATCCTCCACTGGCACCCATTCGAACTCACAATAACTCACAATTCCGGCATTGTTTACCAGAGCAAATAACTCTGCAAAACAAAAATGGCATAAAAACAAAAACTGGAGATTGTAATTTTCGCACTGTTCTGAACAAATGACTTGCATATTAAAATAATACTCGTATCATACGAGCCGCCAGCATAATCACTTGTATATATGTACAAAGTATATGCTTCTACAATAAAAGCAATAATCGAAGAGTATTAATTTAGATTAAGATGGCTGGTATAGGGTATAGTACTCGTACACACACATGTATACGATAATATTTGACCAGTATTAAATTTAATTTGCCGCTAAAGTACATTTATTGCATAGTTCATATTGGCATCATTACTTGCCAAGCTTTTTCGCGCGCAACTGTTCCTTGATTTTTGCCGCACAGTCGATAACCTGCTGATTTTTTGTCACATCACATTCCACAACCTCGATGCGATCTTCCGCTTTGCCTTTGGCCCGCAGCGTCTCAGCACCTGGAGATGACTCCGATAAGCACCCGGCAAATACATAAAACCCCAGTTTGTGCAAACGGTGAGCTAATTCCTGGCTGCAAAATTGCAAGAATAATTACAATCCTCACATTCTAATTTAAAATGGTGCTCCAATCATTTTCAGAAAAGATAAACTACCGGACAGATAAACTACCGGACAAAATGCTTACTTAAAAAAAGGAGTAAGCCAAATTTTCTGTACCATACTGAAGATTTGCGTATACCTATACGATACAGCAAGCAGAATTGTGCATCGTATCACCTTATTTTATGCAATATTTTTTTAGTAGATCCAACATATGTAAATTTGCAGCAACTCCAAAATTAATGTTTCGTAAAAATAAGTTTTCGGCAGATGGAAAAATTCTGAGAGAGCAGATGAGCAGGAAAAATGCATCGCCACGATACTTACGCACCCAAATCCCGTATCACATCCCGTTACGAATACTGCTCGTCCCTGTGGATCAACGGTCTTCCCCTTGGCACTGCCAAATAATTTCTCCAGATAGCTGTTGAAGACAATGCTGATGAAGGCGCCCAGACTCAGCGCCACCACCGACTTGCCAACGTACGCTACAATGCAGGATATCAGTGGCGAGTACACAGTGCATAATGTTACGCAGAGAAACAATGCGACAAACACCGCAGGACCCCGCAAAGTTGGCGAAAAGGCGTCCATACTGCTGCTGATGCTCATCGTCGAGTGAGCGAAGGAGTGCAATTAATTCCGAACTAACAACACTTCATCCGCAAACCGAACGACGTAGAATTGTTCCGCTGATGATAGGGTGTTGCGTGCTACACTTTGTCTTCCGGTTCGATCAGTGATAGCATAATGTGGTTGACTCGTATAAGGGCATCGGTTGCCGGCATACGCGCAGCAGTGATAATCGGCTGATAGTGAAAAAGATTAAGACGGCAAAGTCCTGATAATACCGCAATTATTTTGATGATTATCCGGCGACGTCACATTGCCAGTGTACTGTTTTGACGACGTTGGCGCATTTCTCGCATAAAAACTGATGATGGTCACTTTTAGACAAATATATAAAGATAAAAAGTATGATACGACTTCACCGCATATGTACGAGAATAGTTTCACAGCATGACCTCTGGTCACCGGCTGGGGATCGCAGCAATACTTCCGGTATAAGGATAATAAAACGCTGGTCATTAGCAACCGGAATATTTCAGTACTTTTTGAGTATAATGCGATCATTAATCCTTTGATTTACACACATATGGTGTGGCACACATATGGTTATGTTCCTCATGATGATTATCTGTATCCAGAAAAATAGTTCATCAAAAAACCAAGAAAATGTATCGTCGACGAAGGCGAAAACTATCGAACTAACTCGATGTTGAAAACTGAAACCATACGGCAGATGTATTGTTTGGAGCAAATAAAAATTATGCCTAAAAAGCTACTGTAGGCAGTTCACAAGCATTAAGTCACAAGTCAGTAGATAAATAAACACTTTTCTCAACCACATGACGTCCTCAGTGGACGACGTGGATAACTTGTTTGGGCAACAATGGTAAGTAATCGCATAATTAGGATTTCGTTCATTAATCAAGAAAAGAACCGAACAGTACAAGTCGAGGAATTACCAAACCTGTTGGCGCCGCCCTGCAGCCATTGGTGTTCTACCGTGCAATTGCACTGCACAATCCGTTCACAAAAATTAAGCATTAGTAACAATCTTTTCAAAAAAACTTTCAATAATACAGTTTAAGAACACTTTTCAACATCCCTTTATTAAAGCTAACTTTTTGTCACTTTCAGCATAAGAGCAGCTGGAGCATATAACAATGGGTGATGCTAAAGTTTTTAATTTCTTTCTGAATAAAAGACGCACTAAATATCATATCATCTGTTTCTCAACACTGCCACGGTCAACTCGATAGGCGTTCCATAAAACAGCACACTAAAGCAAATAAAAAAACCAAGTCTGTCAAGTTTCACCTCCGACGAAACCAAAAAAGAATGCGGAAAGAATTCAAGAAAATTATTTTTGGAATGTATTAAAAATTAACACTGGGTAGCAATTCATAGTTGTATTCTTGAACGATTTATAAAAACCGGGAAAACGAATCATTATACGCACACACCGGGACGTGTAGTGACGACGCTAAAAAAATAATGCCAGATCCAACGTAAGCATCGGCAGCCATTCAGCTTCGGTATCGCACAGCCATGTAGTTCTGTCCTGGCTCCACTTTATACCCAAACTTTTCGTAGAACTTGATAATATTGTCCTCCGATTCCAGGGAAATTTTATAGCAGCCCAACACTTTCCCCATAGTGGTTACCACATCCATAATCACCGCAGCCAAATTTCCCTGAGAATAGCGATAATCTTTGATGCTGGCTTCCCGATCCACTACCACATCCTCAATACGTCCACGCAGCGCTGCGGAATGGATGAATTTATGCTCAATCTCCAGCGTGCCCGTAGCGACAATCTTGTGCGCTGCCAGATCTTCGATGACGACAATGTAGTAGATATCCTTGTAGGCTTGCATCGTTTGGAACTGCTCGGCGAATTTGGCTGCGGATACGTCGCCCACCTTCGTGTGCTGGGCCAGCAGATCCAGGTAGCCTTTGCTGAAGTCCTCCTTGTGCAGGGGTCGCAGACGGAGATTGCGCGATAAGAGATCCGATTCGTGAATATCGTACTTGCTGTTATTGCTGTTAAGGAGATCCTTCAGCTTGTCCAAAGGGAATAGGAATTCTGCTGATTCGGCCATTTTTGCTGCGATTCTGAAAGCAATAAAACCTGTTGCATAAATGATAAATGCAGCTGGCGCGACAAATGTCACAGTGTTTCCCGAGTCGCGACACTACCAGATATCACGCCAGAACCTTCGGAATGGTCTGTTATAAAATTATTCTACCGTACAAGAGGAAGAAGAGAGAGGCTAAAACCTTATTTGTTCTTCTCAAATTAGTTCAAAACATAAAAAAAGGGACAACTACAAAGTAGACTGACACTGGCACTGCTTGTAGATTTCAAGATTTGTTGCTGGTGGCAGCTGGCAGCGGCAGGCCAAAATTAAAACAGTTGATAGCTTGCAGCCCGTGGTCGGTAGCCGCTTTCGCATATTTTCACGAGTCAGCCGCCTCATACGCTGTTTTTTAGCCGTTCACCGTGGCGGCCTTCATTTTGCAGTTTGTTCGTTATATTGTGCTTGATTCTGTTGCCACAAATGGAAGGGCAACATAAAGGTCAAGAACATATTTCCTGGTGTACATGTAGTGTCCTGTGTTTTAAGAACTTGCAATATGTACACTGTCACTGGATGGTAGCCAAAATTCAGCAAGGAAGGCGATGGTGGTCGTTACTTGATAATGGAGTGAATATTAATAGTAACGGAAGTTCCATAACGAGAACGGTGAGAGGTTAGTTTGCACTGCACTGCTTCGCAAAATCGGTTCACTGTTTAGTTAATCGGTCCACTCTTGTAAATTTTCATATTTTTGTGCAGTTTTGTAATTTTAATAACATTTAATACCGTCGACATCCACCTGATGCTCCTTGTATCGGTAGATGCAAATATCGTTTTTAAATTTCGACAGTTTTTTCTTCGGCACTCTATCCGGTCACTCTATTCATACTGTACATGAAGGGTGAATGTTGCAAAAGCTGTCGACTGTAGCATATTGCCGATACAGTATATAAATAGCTGTGGCGTTTGACGTTTAGTTTAGGAATGGCGGGTTGTTTGCATAACACTAATTACCGAGGGGACAAAACAGCTGCTTGTTTGTCGTTAATTTCCGTCGCCAATAACACACGCCGTTCGTGAAAGTAACCTTAAAACAGCCCGTTTCAGCTACATCATTTTCACTCAGAACGACACGCCTGCGCTTTCACGTTCGACAGAAAGATTCCATGGCGCCGGTCTGCGCCGGATGTGTGCTTTTTTAACCTTTTCCGTAAATCGAGATCGCTGATTGTGAGACTGAAATCCACGAAAAGCAATATCAATAATAACCAATATTTTCCTAGCTACTAAATAATAATTGAAATAGAGTGGGGAAACAGATAAGGCTGTATGGTATAACAGACAGACAATACTGCATGACCAACCAGCACAGAACACCATTCATATTAAAATTATTGCTCGAGTTTATTGGTTTCTTAATTACGTAAAGGTCTGGATCTAGGGAAAACGTCATATCCGTGAAAGAAGGACACGTGTAAATGAAAATTTACTGACGGGATAAGCAATGTGAATTGTTCTTATATCTTCAATCTGTTTGTGTCACATTTGTACGATAAAAAGTGCGCATCGTATCATAGCGCTATTCCGGCAGCTTGTAATCAAATCACTGCAGCGACGTCAACTGCGAACGGACGTCGTATATACTCGTACTAATTACGTAGCTGTGGTTTTCTGACGCACTGGGTCAGAGATCAAATTATTATATCCATTTCGTAAAGTAACTATGTATTAGAAAAAATTGCTGATATGACCTGAATCTTTTGTAACCATGTCCGAAAAAAATGCTGATGTAACGTTACTAGTCTGGGACTAATTAAATAGAATCTCATTTAACACAGTGGATTTCGTGTACGTTACTGACAGTTCTGGTATCAGTTAATTTGTTGTGAACTGAACATAGTGCTTCTTACCCCGTATGTAGTACAGTACTGTTGCTTTTGGTTAGCTCTATATAAAAGCCATAAATAATTGTTGTACCTTTTTCACAGTTTATGGCAAAGGTTTTACTGTAAAAATTTTCCAAAAGTGCATGAAGTAAGATTACCACATATTTGATATCTACCTATTTATATGTGCGTACCCTTAATGTATCAGGACACTTACCATATACGCTTTACTGTATATAGAATAATAATAATTTTTCTGAGCCTTGTTTGTTCAGCCCTCCGTGTAAAATATTCAGAAGGCTTTAAACAAATGCTTTCTGAGTTTTTGGTTTAACAGAACGTTTCTTAGGTTCTGTTTTAAGGTTCCTTGATGGTGTTGCAGCTGATTGTTAATTTTAATTAGGAATAGCGGGGTTCGGTGTAAAAATTCTGATGATGGACGGATGGTTAAAGTTACAGCCGCAAACACTTAAATTTGAAACAAGAAACTTAAGCCAAATCAATACAAGCACTTCGCGATCGGTATTTTACTCCCAAAGTGATTCATGCCGGCCTTTACGATTAGCGTAAATTTTCCGGCCATGTCAACAAACTACGCAGTCGTCGTTACTGACATATGTGCAAACGTAGCAGGCAACGGAAGTTTGCATCATAACTTAAAGATAGTTCTAGTTTGTCAATCAATGCAAACCCAGAAGCATTAATGTGTGTAGTGTTTGTACAATACTTCTGCTGGCAAAACTAACCTATATGTATACAGTATCTCACAGGATAAACCGTTACGCCCCTTTTGTTGCACGAGAGTGCTGTTTTTCATTCGTTCCACAAAAACGGCAGGTCAATAGCATGTACAGTACCAGTCGGTGTTGTGCCCATAAATACATATTATATTCACATGAAACTTTTCTGACATAATTTATCACAACACTTTTCGTGACGTAATAGTAGTCGTTAAGAGCATCAGCGATTGTGGGATTTTCTGAGCCTGCATCTGCATATATAAAAATGTTTCCATTCTGCCATTCCACGTATTGTCCTTACATTTATCCCTATTCGTAACAATTATCGCCCAAATGCAACCAATGCGAAACAGTATTGTTAAGGTCATCTGCGGCTGGTTGACGTTATACTTCGCCTATAAACTGCTGGCCGTTATTATGCGAGTGGAAATTTTTGAATACGTTATCTTAACACTGGGTCGATGTTTCTTTACCTTTGTGTTTACAGTAGCGGTATTGAAATACATTGATTATTTTTATGAGCGGTCACAAAAATCGAAAACAGTGCATCCTCAAGGAAAAGCCGTTCTTATCACCGGATGTGACACGGGATTTGGGTAAGCTGCTCATACACTACCAATGTCTTTGTCAGGTTTTCTTGGGAATGCAGATTTTCAATTCCATTAATAAATGGTTGAGATGTAATACAAGCTAAAGTTAAAATGTTTTTGGAACATTGGTGACCTAAATTGCAAGCTTCAAAAACAGAAATAAAAAATTAAACAAAAAGTTTGATACTTATAGTTTTAAGAAAAATTTCTCCTAATATGCGCGCTGGGCAGTAACTGTAAAAAGTGCGTAATAGTTATAAAAACTACATTTTAAGAATAAGGATTACACCTAACAAAATAACTGCAGTTTACCTTTTTACCAGCAAAGCATTATTATTATAAGCATTGTTGTACTACCGTAATGCAAAACCTTTGTGTTTCTTTATACGAAAATAGCATAAAACTGCGCAAGCCTGACGTTTCTCTCAATGTTACAGTTTGGATGAATTTCTTCGGGTTAATGCAAACAGTGCGCATGCGTCAACATAGGGCATATTTTTAGGGTGGTATTTATGGTATACTACCTTGTTGCGTATTTTAGTTTTATGCTAAAAACTGTATCAGACAAATGATATAAGTATCTATATTTCTTGACTACAGCTTGTAATTACGGAATTAATTACACAGTAAAACTGATTATCGAAACTAGCACTCGTATTGCGCTAATGCATTAACTGACTCGTCCGTACAATATGCCAAACCGCAACCATTAACTTGTAATAACTAATTAGGTTCGAGACAGCCTTGAGACTTTACTGCATGGGATTCCAAGTATACGCAGGCTGCTTGGACCCAAAAATTAACGGCGGTCTCACATTGTCCTCTGTGGACAAGAACAACCGGCTGGTAACTTTGACGATGGATGTGACCAACGCGGAACAAGTGGACAACGCCTACCAGTTCATCTCCAGCCATCTAGAAGCCAAAAATCTCAGTGTGTATATTGAAATTCTTATAAAAATGACTTCTGTATGATACGTATGATTATGTGGATCCATCGCCAGCATTTTTGACTATACAGGTTTATGGGCTATCGTCAATAATGCCGGGGTGTGCTCGTGGAGCGAGCTGGAGTTTTGTTCGACGGAGACTTACCAGGTTGTTTAGAAGAACAACCTTAATCATCTCTTTTAAAAATTGGCAATTATACTTATATAATTTTGTTTTCGCTTTCAGAAAGTGTTAAATACAAATACCCTTGGAGCAGTGCGCGTTACAAAAACATTTTTGCCGCTACTGAAACAATTTCAAGGTCGTCTGATTATGGTTTCCAGTCTCGCAGGTAGGTTGCAGCAAAATATAAATGCATAGTGTAGCAGCTGCTATTATAGCAGTTATATCAAACCTTGTACCTAATATAAATGTAGTAAAAGCAGAAGAAGTCTTCTACTGATTGTGAATTTGTGAGTATCAGTTGTGTATTTTACCATTCAGTCATATTACGGTTTAAAATAACCGACATACTGATAATGCTTGTCATTATTTTATCCCGCCTAAACAGGTCTCCTTAGTTATCCGGGATTGACTGCATATTGTATGAGTAAACACGCGATTGCTGCATTGGCGGATGGTTTACGTAAAGAATTTTCCAAATGGAATATTTCAGGTACGCTTTATTACGCACAGCGTAGCGTACGGGGCGGTAATTATCGGCAATAATCACCATGTATAAAAAATTTTAACATGTCAACAAATGTTGGACATCTAATTAATAACAATTAAAATCATTAGGACTGATTGTGTCATGACATTTTCGTGATCACGATCACGCTTCCCTGCATGACAAATGTAGTCCTATTTTAATCGGCGCCTATCAAAATTTAATGGTATAGAACTGCTTTGCAATAGCCCGTAATCGAATCCGGTTGAACATTTTCGCCGGTGCAGAGCGTGTCGCGGCAAAATAGCCGGAGTGGATTATTAACACCGACAGTCTGTAATTAACCAACCGGAAATGGTTTAAGTATCGGACTAGTCCGTTTTACAATTTTTTTACTTCCGGAAGCGGAAGTGAATAATGCCGTAAGCCGATGCGTTGCTTTAAGGAAACCAGATTTAAATTCTATTCTGCCCTTAGTGGCGCTTAGATACGTCTTACATTCAGCGACACAAAAAATCGATGTCCAGGATATGTATCGGACCCGTCATCCCACAATTTAATATTTTGACTACCGCATTTGTATGAAAACGCATACCAAAATAATAAAATACATTTTAACATACAATATACAGCCCTGCTCCGCCACACGCGGGCAGTAATAAAAACCTCCTGACTTCGAATGTTGAAGTGTACCATTTATACTTTATTTTTGCATGATAGTCCTTGGTCTATAGCAACTTTCTAAAATATGTTTCTAGGCAAGAAGCGAAAGAGCAGGGAATGAGAGCAAAAGTTTTACTTTAACTTTTTTCGAAAAAATCAGGTTGCTTATCAAGAAATAACTGTGTCTGATCAATAATATTTTAAAAATCCTAGACGAATGAAAGCGATCAAATGGCAACGTAGCTTTCTATTGGTCCCTTCCCAAGTTCCGTTTAATCCTTAACATTATCTCTACAACTCTTAGTTCTCTTGGCATCCTCATTCTTCGGAAGGTACCGTTAACCATACAAGTCTATGGGAAATAGATCTTGTTTTAGGTTCACCTCGAGCGCTGATAGCGCAAGGTGCTTTTGTTAACCAGTAGCAGATACCTTTTGGGTGTGTCAATAATTTACAAAAAGGTCAACTCAAAAAAATCGGTTGTTGAAATTGCTATGAAGGCTAGTATAAACATCTAAAAAATAACCGCTACCTTCTCCCCTTAAATACGGCTTGGCTCGCTACTGACACTTCAAAAGATCTCAGTTTTAGTATTTCTGAATCCGCAACAAAAAGTTACACCAGAAAAGTGCAAAGAAGAAAACGAAACGGCGCACAGAAGTATTTTTAAATTTATTTTGTGCAACTGCCCGCGTGTGGCGGAGCAGGGCTGTACAATAAGCATTCCTCTGCGATGCAAAACATTTACTTTTATCAAGGATGTTTTCCCGGACGGACAATATTATCAGTAAATAACTTAACTATCCTCTGCAGCCTTTTTGGTAACTATTTATTCAGCAGAAGTGATTAATTTGCTAACGTGTACCCACCACTAGTATACATTATTATACACAACAATGGCTGTTTCAGTGACAACGATCGAATCTGCCGGCTACCGTACTGCAATGGTCAATTCACAAAAAGTAAAGCACGATATGGACAATAACTGGAAGATGGCATCCAAATGCGTACAGGAAGAGTACGGCGAAGAATATTTTACCGCTTTCCGTAATGCTCACATCAAAAGATTATCGTCCCTTAGCGATAATATTGGTCAAGCCGTGGACACTATCGTAACGGCTGTGGAATCCGAGTATATTCGTGATCGGTACTATACGTCGTTAAAAGCTGAAATGCGTGCTTTTGGGAGGTTTTTGCCGCAAGAATGGCAAGATATTTTTATGTTAACGTTTGAATCATTTGATTCTGTTTTGTGTCGTTTTAAATTTGGATTCCAACCAGAACCCGATGCAAGAAATGTTCTACTCGCTAAGGCAAATGAAATGTCAGAGTTTAATAGTTTATCAGCAGACAGCGACTTTACTGTACAAAAAGATCACGAAATTTTGTTGGAGGCAACCGATGCCTTAATAAAATCACAGAAATGCATTCAGGAGAGCTGCCTATGGTACATACCGTAAACATTTATCGGTTGCATTGCACTTATACCGTACAACAGATATTTTATTATTAGCTCGTAACCCTTTAGGTTATCTTGCTTATCAGCTGCTTAAAAACCGAATAATCATCTACTGTGTAGTACGATAAAGAGCTACTACGATTTGTATACTGGTTTATTGGCACGAGATGTTTGTTTATTTGTATGTCAAAAAATGGGGTACACCAATAGGTGTGCTTATCACTGTACTGACAGGCCGATATGCATGTGCAACTGCAAGATTAAAACATACTGTATTTAGGATTACTCATCCTTTCTAGCTTCTATACGATACTAATTTATAGCACAATAATTTTGTAAAATGCACAAGATTTTTGTGCCACACAAAATTAACCTTATCCCACTGGACAGTGAGTTAGTATACAATATTTTCGTACGGCAGTGTGGTTGATTAATCTAATAATTATGGTTTTCTTTACGATGTTACGCGAGAGCATAGTGATACTGTGCTCTCGTTACGCATAATGTTCTGATAGTCAAATACCGATATATGTATAATGTAGTAGTGTGGAAGGAAATACTGTACTACTACTACTCGAGTATAGGTATATTAAAAGATGCACGGTACTGCACTGTAGCAGTTCCAAAGTTCGCTATCAAGAAGCGTACGAAAATCAGGTTCGTCATAGATGAAGTTTGCACAAGTTGCGCCTGTAGCAAACATGTTGTACGGTGCTTAGCAGTCCCATATTATGCTGCCAGTTCTGCTTTGCCCATATGTTTTCAAATCCCTAATTGACTATTGAAAATCAGGTTGTAAAAAGCATTTATCAAGGAAGGTTTTACATTAAATTTTAGATTCAGAAGTTCAGCGGAATGAATCAATCGCTCGCTAAGTGTTAGCTTCATCTTTCCTTGGAAACTTGGATATCCTTTGTGCATCTCGCTCACGTTTGTTTAGTCGATGTTTCCAGCATAGTTTGTGAGCCGTGGAACATGGGTACTGCAATTAGTAAAATTAGTCTTGAAATTTGTACGACCTCAGATTTTGTTGCAAGTAACAACCTGACATAATTCAAACATAGATACCGTTAGTTTTTTATTTAATAGCTGAGATTTAAGAGAAAACGATAAATCTCTCGTAAACACCAGCAGACACCAATAGTATACAGAGTTACAGACGTCTGAAAGCAATGATGTCATGAAATATTACTCACAGCGGAAGCAGCGACTGTAATCAAGATCGCCTATACATCCATGCCGGCTGACAGGACCCTAAAAACATCTCCACTCCAAAACACAGAATCTCTACGAGTAGTTTCCATGGCCGTGCCCGGGGAAAGCCTGCGAGGAGCAAAGCGAAAATCCAGTGTGGAGCGGGATGAAGCCGATCGCTTACAAGCAGCCGCTCGCAGCAGCGTCATCAAAGAAACAAGAAAAGTAGTCGTACAGCAGCAAGTAACCCATACGGATACCGCTGCTGTTCTTCCCGTGGACAATCATCCACGAATAGGTAGAAACGTGATTTTTGAGAAACAAAATTAAAATTTTTATATCTATAGGACTTCTTTACTTTTTTGTGATAACCATGATCATGAGAATTTGTTTACGACAGCGATAGCATTGTTGCACCAGTTAAAACACGACCGAACGAACAGCGCTTAATTAGACGTTTGTATTTGTAAAAGTATGCTTACCATTAATACAATTCGGCTGACCAAACGAATTGGTCAGAATCTAGTGCACTCCGCTTTTATCTTTTTTGTAACGCTGTGTATGGTCTTCACCATTTTTTAGCGTTAGGTTGTCACGAATTTATAAAAAATGCGCTGTTGGCAGATTTTTCCAAATTTCAACGCAATTCTCGAGCAGAAAAAGATGCTTTCGTCGCGTTCACAACCAAAAGAGATCATGTTACTTGGTGTTTACCGGAGCGGTATCAGTTCATCGAAACAATTGGACATGGCTCCTTCGGATTCGTTATGTATGTTAAGGTTATTCTAGTTTGCCACGTAGAAAAAAGTAAAAGGTACAGCATTTTGAATGCCGGTAAAATTTATACCCGTAAGCGCCAGGAAATCTTTGTATACAAAGCATAAAGCGTAAAGCATAAAGCACGTCACAATCGCCATGGTGCAAAATTTGTGTTGGTACATTGACTTTATATGAGGCGAAGCGTTTTCGGTTTAAGTGCAGGATTATTAGATTTTAAAAATATAATTTGATTTTCGACGGCGTATCCAAGTCAAGTTTAAATTTTGTTTTGCTGCCTTATAATTACACTAAATTTATTTGTTAAAAATTGCAGAAAGGCGCGGGATAATATCACGAACCAGTTGGTTGCAATCAAGAAGCTAGGACGCCCTTTCCAGACCGAAATAGATGCTCAACGCGCGTTACGAGAGATGCGTCTTCTGGATGTTCTGAAGCATAAGGGTCTGAAGCATGACAATGTAAATGGGAAAAACTTGAATTTTTCAGATTATTTACCCTTGCAACTCAACAACTGAAGTGGAATTCTGTTAATAGATAATTTCTTTACTCGACGTGTTTACCCCGCAACGGACGTACAAAGATTTCCAAGATATCTACATGGTTTGTTAACCAAAACAGTGACAAAACACTACTAATAATGCTCTTAAGTTTAAACTGCACGAATCCCGTACTGTCTGATTTCGTTTCAGTTTTCGGATATCTGTTAATTATTTACCTGTGTTCGGTTAAGGTCATGCCTTACGCCGGACATAATCTAATGGATATTATTCACTTGGATGTTTCGAAGCAGCGACCTTTAGACAATGCTGACATTCAGTTTATAATCTACCAAATCCTGCGCGGATTAAAAGTGAGCTACCACATACCTCGCATGGAAAATCATGTTTTGTATGAATCAAGTATTGTTTCTACGTGCGGTCTTTAGCTTCCTTATTCGCACATAGGAACGTAACTGCATGACAGCCCTTTACCAAATAAATTTTTAATTTGTCGCTGACTGTTGAAATTTTTTCGTTTCAGTATATCCATTCGGCTGGCGTGATTCATCGGGTACGCTAAACCAACTTCGTAGTTGGGATTTTATTGATAATCAGCGCTGATTTCTGAAAATATTTTTTTAAATTAAAACAGGATTTGAAGCCACAAAATATCTCCGTAACAGAGGACAACGAAGTATGCATTCTGGATTTTGGTTTGGCAAGGAAGACCAGCTGCGAAATGACTGGTAATCCTTAACTTGTAATGAATCAAAATGCGTGTTGAGCTTCCCAGCTAATAACAGTTATTGCTGGTTGCAGGATATGTGATGACCAAATGGTAATGGAGCATGTTTTGTATAATATCTTGTTGGTCGCTTGCAAACCAAAACGAAAATTAACGACTAAACGAGTGTTTTCATTAACGCTCGGCTGTGTACTCGCTTTAGGTGGCGCGCACCGGAAGTGATCTACAAGTGGACTCATTATACGCAAACTGGTAAGTGTTAATGCAAGTTTAAGTTTTTTTTTCAATGAATGGTCTGCTCGGTTGGGTAATTTGAACACTACAGAATAATATTGCACATTATACACTACCTATGCTAGGTTGCTAGCTATGTTTTTTAAACAACTGCAAACACGTAAAAATTGAAAAATGGCTTAGAGACCTGTCCAGAGAGTAATTGATAGTGCAAACCCGTTCTTGTATTACGGAATACTAATTACGATATTAATTTTTGTAGTGGATGTATGGTCAGTTGGATGCATAATGGGTGAAATGGTAAACAAAGAGCCATTGTTCAAAAGTGATAATGGTATGTAACACATGCAAAGTCCAGACGTGGTGCTTTACGAAGTTGTTCTAATTACTCGAAATATTTGTTGTTCAGCTTTGAATCATCTTCGAAAAATTCTCCAGTTACTCGGCAGCCCAAATCAAGAGTTTTTGGAAAAAGTCGAATGCCCAGATGTAGGTGAAATTAATTATTGTTATTACTAGAGGTATAGTAACTTCAATGTACTTGTGTTAATACTGCGTTACCTGTAACTGCACCACGTTTGCAACTATTATTCAGTTTGTAATACAGTATATCTGTAAATACTTGCTGGAGAAGTTTTACTGGATTGACCAGGGATGGAAAATCAAGTATTCTGACCTGACCTTTGCAGACTCGAGACCATCTGGTCTCCCACAAGTACGAAGCGAAAGATTTTCGCCAGACATTTCCCACTTTAAGCGAGAAAGGTAGACAATTCATATACGAAGTACTTACTGTTTTATGTTGTAGATATTTTGTCGTTAGTGTGTAACAACTTCACAATTTAAGGCGTTGATTTGCTCAAACGGATGCTGGATATTGATCCCGACAGGCGTATTACGGCTACCGAGGCGCTGAGCCACGAGTATTTCGCCGACTATCACGATCCAGACGACGAGCCAGAGTTTGGCCACATTGTGGATGAGCCGTACGAAGGTCTAGTTTTACCTATGGAGGCATGGAAAAGTACGTGTGCTTTTCTCAATGCGTATAAATATGCTTATTATTTGCTAGTAAAATATGGTGTTGCGCGCTGACCTAATTAATCCTGATTAAATAAAGGTCATGCGGTGTTTGTTGTATAGGCATGATCTGGATGGAAATCATGAATTTTGAAACGAATCGGATTGAGAAATAACATATAGCCATGCTGCACAGCGTGTTGTGTATTTACCTGCCAAATATGCTGACAACACAAGTACTTCTGCTCGATCACTTCTAATACATACTTCAAGTAGGATTTGGATTTTTGGATGGCCAACAGAATGATAAGTTTTGCGACTAGTACTGTATTAGCCGTGCAGACTTGATAAATTTGATACACTTATTGTTAGTCATTGTCCTTCAATAGAAGTATGTGTTTTTATGGTTAACGCTGTTGAAATGATAATGATGTTATCTCATTCGCAGAAGTGAAATAGTGTTTTACACTAAACCAAAAATGTGAAGTTTATGCCTATCTGCAGTATATGACAATAAAATGTAAACCGACAAGAGCAACCAAACGGTCCAAACCGTAAATGCTGTTGGATGCGGTTGGTACTTGATACTGACTGAGTAACTGGACATTTTTTGCTGTCTTTTTAGTTTTGCAAACTGGCATTAGTATTGTTGGTACTTGCAAATAAAGCTCGATCTGCTGCGACGATTAATTTTCACTTACGGTTAGTGATACCGTTAGTTTAAGGTTGTGTTCGCTCCGTTTTGTTTTGAAGCAAGTGACCGGTAGTCCTTCACTTTTTAATCAAAGACTGGGAGTGTAAAGAAGTAAGTAATCAGGGTAGTAAGTAAGGGTAACGGGTAAGGGTACGTAATTAATTAAGTACAGCAATTTGAGCATTGTTGATGACATTAAGGGAAATGTCAAATCCACAAGGTCAAGTAAAACACAGACGAAGATGCAAAACGATATTGATCGTATAAATTAATCTGCACTAAAAATTAGTCAGTAATCATCTACACCGAGCACGATGCAATCGAATAACGGCCCCGAAAGCGATCCCCCGGAAGAAGGCCTACCCCTTGTTCCGCAGCATGATTTTATACCATCATACTTGTCAAAGGTTACTGGCATTCAGCGCTCTCATTATTACACAAAAGACGAAGTTGCTCGGCACCGCACCACTGTCGATGCGTGGCTGTCCGTTCAGGATCGCGTCCTCAACGTCAGCGATCTGACCGCCCGTTCGCACGGCATTACGCCGGCGGAACGACGGGCGCGTGCCACCTTAGCACGCTATGCGGGCACCAACGTCACGCACTGGTTTAAAGCCAACAGGTTCCCCTTGGAGTTGAGAGAATTCAGCAATTGGAAGCATAATGGAATGCAGGAGTATTTCTTGCCACAGGGACCGATTCCCGATGTGTTGCCCTTCGCGCCGGTGACTAATTATTCGGTGCCGCGGCCCGGTCGAAGGAAAACCTTCTGGTGGAATGAAGCCAGGCGAGAGATTGGTAAACTCACGAAGAAGACCAGGAAAATATGGGTTGTCAACATGCTTTTTTGCGTCCGAGCCACATAATGCGGCGCCACAGCAACTAAAGGTCATCAGTGCACTGTAGTATTTAATTGCACAATATACTGACATAATACACGCATTGCATGTACTACTACCAACCTGACCGCAGTCAGCAGAGAAGGAACTCTACAAATACTCGTATACCAGATTATGTCAATACGTATATACATAAATATTCGAATATAGAATTTTTCAGTGCAAATTTGTGAATTCGTATAAAATATTGTGTGTAACATACAGATCTAGAAAAAATTATACCCACATTAAATTTACACTACTAGATTAAAAATTAGTGTAAAGCAGACTTTCACTCTTACTACTCTAGTAATTTAAGTTTGGTTTCATGCCAAGCGCGCTTCCGTCGCAGACTGTCTAGTGTATTGTCTAATCTACAATTACCGGCATTATTCGGTATACATATATTTTACGTAAATACATATGGCACAGTACCGCTAGTGTATTGTAATTGAAATTCAGTTTACACGGAATCAGTATTGCAAGTCACAATCACAAAGTGTTTTTAAACTTCGTTTGCATATTATTTCTTATTTAAATTGCTTACAGTACAATGATCGACCAGTGTCTGAATTAACAAACTTGACACAGGTTTGCTCGGAGGAGACACTGAAAGAAATACTTTACCGATATCTCCACTACAATCGTCACGCGGGAAGCTACACGTGGAAATACGAAGGTCGCGTTCTAGATATGGATAAAACTTTGGAAGATAACGGTATTGACGATGATGAGGAAGAACTAAAAGCGCTCGATATAAATGCCGACGAATACATACCAGTCTTGCACGTTTACTTTAATGACGACCTCACATCTGCTTGATAGATGCCTCTTTTGTTTCATTATTTATTCCGGCAGAAGACGCAAAAGACTAGTACCCCGTTCTAGCTTTATATATTGAACTAGCCTAATTGCGAGCCGGTGCTTAAATACGTAAAATAGGTAATTGTTTATTCAATTCTGTACTTTTATTGTGATAAATTAATTACTAGTTTTGCACATGCATACGAGTACTGAAGTATAGATATGTGATGACAGGCTTAGAAGTTGGCTTTTCTGGGAAATCTAATTAAAAAGGAAGGAACTGCGCATGCTTTCACACAGTACTGGTAGTAAACCTCGTTTTGATTCAGTAACGAAAAGTAAAGAATTATCAAAGATTCTGCGACATTAATCACTCATATCAGTCCTCAATAAAATTCTAGGTTCAAAATTTTTCGTAGTCCGATGATCCAGAGGCGCAAAGTGTGTTTACTGCCTACGTATAAAGTAGTGCTCAAAGTTGTGTGTATTCGCTACCCGCCCGCTGCGCGCAGCCAAACTCTTCCGATAGGAAATGTTTGGATTTGGAAGGAAGTCAAGTTAGTCAACTGTTGTTAGTCCAGCATTTGCACAAGGCGTTTTTTTAGTGAGTGTTTTGATTTCCTGGTGTTCGAAGTCCTTGTTTTGGCTGCTGTTCTTTCGGTAATCTGTTTTCTGATGGCTAGCAGAAAAGCTAAAGGACCGATTGATTGGGAAGAATATAACGACAACGATGAAAGCGATGAAAGTGAAAGCGAATCCGATGACGAGGAAGATGATTTTGAAGGTTTCTGGTTTTATGTAACGCGCTCGTTGAACATTCTTCTTTTCTGAGTTTTCTCCAGTGTTAAGCTGTCGTTTGGTGCTTACTGATTCCAAATCTTGAAGTTCGTAATCCTGGCGAGCTTAATCCCAGAATTTCACGATTTTGCAGAGCCTGACGAAGAAGACATCGCGTTGATGTTGAAGAATTACTCGTTGAAGAACGGACTGGTGGAGGATTTGCAGACAGTGGCAGTTCCCAGTACCAGTCATGGGTCTCACGGCTCGCACTCGTCCGCGGGACCATCGCATGGGCGTGCGCATGCCAGTGGTGCATTAAACCTGCAACCCGCTAAGCATTTACGAGGGAAAGCACTCCAAGAGTTCCTGCGCACCCAGTCGAGACTGAAGAAGACCTTACAGAAAACGCCAGAAGAACGCGAGAAACGCAAAGACCGGAAAGAACGGAAACGCCAGGAAAAAGCTGTTAAGAAAGATCCAAAGGATGTGAGTTGTTAAGGTTAAATAAACAGTAATAATAAAGTATTAAGATGTATCAGTGAAAAGGTTCGTTAAAGTTAACGGTTCGGTGAACAAGTTCGAATCACAAAGGACTGAAAACGATTACCTAAATTCACTATAATTTACATTTTTTTTATCTCGTTTTTGGAGTAAATTTCTTTCTTGTAACATTCGAAAAAAAAATTTGTACTAAATCGCGTTTTGATGTTTGTCTGTTTAAAAATTTCGCCGTTAAAGGTTGGTCGTGTGATTTAAAATCTGTAGATGCTGGTTTTTTTTTGTTTCATTTCGAATCAGTCAAAACGAACTGAAACACTTACCTACTTAAATTTTACTACAATTTATAGTTAGTTATGACCTCGTTTTTGGAGTATTTGTTTTCTTACATGATTTCAAGGGAAAAATTTCGATTTGTTCTTTGTCCTTATTCTTCATGAGCTTTTTCTTTTTTTTCTGTTTGTAATTGGGATTTGTGACTACACTTTGCGTGGTCTCGACTGGTGTTTATTTTTTATTTCAGTATCCATCGGTATATGTGAAGCCGAGTGAGCAGAGTGCATTGGAGCGCCTTATAGCTGACTACAGAAACTCCCGAAATCGCGCTGGCAACGGCCACGAAACATCCGTCCCTGCTGCGATGCCTACTGCCAGTGAAAACAGTGTCACTGAAAATACGGCGGGTGTGACGGAGGCCGACGGAAGCGAGATGTTAGACAGGGGTGATCATGAAACGGAGGAATGGCAAGAAATAGTGGAAACGGATACCGCTTCTGCGCCGGCGTTGAACTTGGATCCCGGCGTGCAGATTCGCCTGGATAGTCTGAGTCTGCAGTTCGTCGACGAATTCTCCCAAAAACGACAAAAACCGCTGTACAAAGAAATGCTGGCGTTCAGGCAGAAGTTACCAGCGTGGGCCGCTAGAAAGGTAAGTTTTATGCGTAACGCAGTTCGGAAAGATAATACTCGTAACTGTTTCATTTATCACGAGATTTTGTGGAAAGTGAAATTGTTTTTTGACATCTTCTTCTGTTAAAGTTTTGTGCGGTGCAGTTCATTAGTTTTAATAAACAAACATTCTAGGTAAAAATGTGGAACTGGTTTATTTCAACAGTTGACATCAGAGTTTTTGTAACCTTTATTTATTTTTGCGGTGCGACTGCGGGTACACTTAAACTATTCTTTTTACGTCTTATATAGGATCTGTTGGAAATGGTTAACAGTAGCCAGGTTTGCGTGGTGAGTGGTGAGACCGGTTGCGGAAAAACAACTCAGGTAACTGAGGAAAACAACTTAAATATCCTTCACGAACAGCAGTTGAAAGGTTTGTTCGTTCTCAGTTGCCTCAGTTCATTCTGGATGACTGGATAGAACGAGGCGAAGGAGCGCGGTGCAGTATTATTGTTACCCAGCCGCGTCGAATTAGCGCTATATCGGTAAGCCTGCATGTGTTATGAATACAAACTCTTCTAATGGATTAATTGCTTTTAATTTTAATAGGTGTCTGAAAGAATTGCCAGAGAGCGTGCTGAGGAATTGGGCATTTCCGTGGGATACCAAATTCGATTAGAAAAGTGTGTTTCAGGGACAATAAATTATCATATCTTGTTTGTACCGAAAAAGCTCCTCTTTTTCAGGAAACTGCCCAGGTCGCATTGCTCTATCTTGATGTGCACAACGGGAGTGTTGTTGCAGTGGCTGAATTCTAACCGGTAATAAATCTCATCTTTTCAAGTACCTCATTTAGGCCTTGGTTACATTAATATGAAAACCGGGCCGTTTGACTTAATGTTTCTCGGTTTGTTGAATGAAAATCTTCTTGTCTTGATGCAGCTTAACATTCTCTTCCACCCACTCGTGATTTTAATTCCAGATGTTTGGAAGGGGTTTCCCATGTTATCGTGGACGAAATCCACGAGCAGGACATTCTCTCTGACTTTCTTTTGATTATTCTGAAGGACTTGCTTAACGTCCGTCCCGATTTACGAGTGATCTTGATGTCCGCCACTATCAATGCTGAGAAATTTAGCTGGTATTTTGGTGCGTCAGTATATGGAATATCAATAATTGCTGTTTGCAGTTACTTAGTTGCATAATTCATGTTGAATCGGTTGTAGGTGGTTGCCCTTTGATGACTATACCGGGTTTCACATTTCCGGTGCGAGAAATGTTTTTGGAAGACATTTTGTCCGTAACTCAGTAAGTAGAACTGAAAGGTTCTAGTTTCATAAATGCGATTCGCTTTTGATGCGTTGTATCAAACAGCTATAAGCCACGACCGCCAAAAACGCCGTCAAAGAAATCTTTTCGTGACAAAGAAGCGGGATTTGAATGGGAAAAATACTGTACGAAATTAAGGTAAAGTTCAGTATGGTGCTACGTTTGATTTGCTGATTTTGTTTATGTATCTGATAATTCTGATGTGTATCTGACTGTTTTGTTGTGATATATCCATGATTTTGATTTGATCTGATATCACCCCACAGGTAATCGTTGCTGACTTTGAGGTGATGTTTGTAATTTGTCTTCAAACTAACTATTTATTTTTCGTTATATTTATATCCTTGACATCTCTGTTTGCTTTATCTCGGTCTGAGCCTGCTTGCAGTTATTGATAATGCGTACGAAATTTTTAGGACGAAGCAATATTGATTTTTCTGCCGGGATGGGATGATATTAAGAAACTCAACAATTTGCTGAGCTCGGGATTTCGAAGAGATGATATAAATCTCATCCCGCTGCATTCGATGATGCCGACGATTAATCAGCGACAAGTATTTGAGCGTTCTCCTAATAAGCGGAAGATCGTTATTGCAACATCGATTGCCGAGACAAGGTGGGCTTTTTGTCTTCGCTAGTGTTATCCTGTACCCGCAGACCGCAGTGATAGCACCGAATCCATTCCAATTTTTTATTTTTTTGATAGTATAACCATCGACGATATCGTGCACGTGATCGATTCGGGAAAGATCAAAATGAAAGACTTCGATGTCAAGCGTAACTTAAGTACCCTCACAGCGCAGTGGGTATCCGTGTCCAACGCCCGGCAGCGCAGAGGAAGAGCTGGCCGGTACGTAATTCTACATACTATAGTATTTAAAACATATCCACCTCTAGTTAAATAGCAAGCGCCGTACGAGGTTTTTGAGTTATATTACTTCTTGTTTTTCATGATCATGAAAATGATTTTGTTCTGCAAATGACATGAGTCACCTTATCGTTCGCTGGAACTTTGCTTGAAATCAGTTAACTCTAACTTTTGAATTCTCCTCTCGGGTTAACTCATCGATGATTTCGTTTTGTTATGTTCAGCGTAAATTAAAGAGTGTCAGTGTGATTGTAGGGTAAAGAGCGGAGTGTGCTATTATCTGTACACATCCTTCCAGTTCAGTAAGCTGCAAATGTATCCGCTTCCGGAAATGCAACGTACGCGCTTGGATGAGCTTTGTCTGCAAGTGAAAGTATGTCCTTGTTTTGTAATCCTACGACAAATTTTTCAGATAAAACATTGCTGTTTTTAATTTAGCTGCTGAAACTTGGCTTGGTTGCTCCGTTCGTGGAAAAGGCTATGGAACCACCCAGTCCAGAAGCGGTGGATCAGGCCATTGGGTTACTCAATATGATTGTTAGTGCCAGTTAAAATTTTATTGCTTGCTGTTCAAGAAACACCGAATAAACTTTTTTCCTGCATATTTATGATTACATATCCTGATATCCTTGATTTTCTATAGTGCCATTACAACATAAACTGCAGTATATGTTATTTATTGTTGTGTTATCGCAGGGTGCGTTAGATGATAAAGAAGAGTTAACTCCGCTTGGTCACCTGCTGGCGCGCACTCCCGTCCCTCCACAGCTAGGAAAAATGCTGTATTTGGGTTGCATTTTCAAATGTATCCAGCCTATCCTCAACATCGTGGCGATGCTGAGCTACCGTGATCCGTTCTGCACGCCGCTGGGGAAGGAAAACGAGGCCCGAGCTCAGCGTCTTAATTTTGCTGTACGATCGAAGAGCGACCATATTCTGTGCCATGATGCTATAGAGGTCAGCTTGGTAGCAAGATTATTTTCTTTACCTTTGATATCCTGTACATTTTACAGAAATATTCTTGTGTCTTAGGATTACATGAAGGCAACGGATAGGCTTCAGTTTTGTTGGGATCATTACATGTCGAACAACACGTGCATCGTAGGTTCAACGCTCATCGTATATATTTAGTACAATATTTAACCGCACTTGACGCGGCACTTGCTATATCTGCAGCAAATTTCCAAAATGAAGAAACAGTTTGTCCAAATCCTTCATAGCACCGGCTTTCTCAAGACGTTTGATTATATGCATGGTGATGCAAATAAAAACAAAGGTGTGCATTATTTGTTTTGTTCGCAGTCGTGTTACTCGTACACGTGGTTTGCAGAACCGTTCTCCCGCACGCAGTATAATAGTTAGCAGTCTGTTTTAAAAAAAAAGTTATGCTGATTTAGATGACGTTGACCTCATCAAAGCGGTCATTTGCGGAGGTCTTTATCCCAGTTTGGGAGTAATGGGACGATCCAAAGGAAAATTAGGGTAAATAGCCAATTCTTCATTGATTTGAGATATGTAGTATGAAGTAATTACTAGTTCTGATTTTGATTTTTGGTACTTGCTGTTTTTCAGAGCAAACGTACAAAGTGAAAACGAGAAGTTGGCGGTGCACCCGAAAAGTTACTTTGGACGAGGGTGTACCGAAAGAGGCATTGTGGCATTTTTTACTGTCGTGAAAACCAGCCAAGTCTTCGTTCACGACATCACACTGATGAACAATAACCTGCCAGTTGTATTGTTCTGCAAAAGTCTTCGCAAGTTTGAAGTAAGAAGTGGTCGTCGCATTTACAGAACGTGTTCAGAACTAATTATGTGCACTAAGCGACCACGACAAGTGAAAAATCGAGTGAGGGAATTTGTCGTTATTGTTAATTAGTCGTTCTCCCTTTTTGCGATAGTTTTCTTTATATTTGGATGTTCAAACTAAATTGCTGTATCGTTAAGATTTGTTGAAAAAGTCACGTCGTTACCAGCGAACCACTGATAAATCATCAGTTCTTTAGCTTTGAAGTGCAGTGAGTTACGTTACTAGTCACGACATATCTTTTAAAATGGGAACTTTTAAGTTTTATGTCTAAATTTGCCGTTTTTAGAGGGATCACGTGCAGTGCGTTGCGGTTGACAAATGGCTCAATCTGAAATGTCCGGATAAATCCTATGAAATCATTAAAGAGTTGCGGAATGTTTTGGAAGAAATGCTCAGTGGTATTTACATTCACGGCCTGGCCAAGAGCGATACGGACGATCCCGAAGCGGAAGCACTGTTTGAAAGAATTGTGAAAGCTATGCAGTTTAAATACACATCGCCGAGCTGAAATTCCTTGTAATTGTACTATTAAATTTGGGATCACAATCGGATAGTCGAATGAATTGTGATGGTCATTTTTTGTGAATCTGAATGCTCCTGGTTGATTAATTTTATTTTTTTTACAGTATGTCATTTTGTGGAATAATTTTCATTTGGCATTTGGGATTCTTATGTGATTTTCTTTTGAAATTTTGCAGTGTAATTTGTACAAATACTGACGGTGCTTGAAGTAAAACTACCGGATACTAACTACCGGACAGATATAGCAAGAAAATGGTTAATTGGCATCTGTCTTTACAGCTAGCTATCACTCACTAATTTTAAATGCCTATCCGAAGGCTAATGTCAAAATGTTGAAAGGTTTTTGCCGTTCGGTCTCAAGTCTCAACAAACGAAACAGTTCGGCCGTGCCCAGCCAAAAATTACAGATTGTTGTTTGCGATGAATAACTGAGTTCACAACAAAATCATCAAATGTATACTTTCTTCTGTATACATAACAGAACCATTACATTAAATTAATGTTAAAATTCTGGAGTTATATTGACCTGAGGCCGAGCCTCGATCTGTCTGAAGTCTTTTTTCAGCTAATGAAAAATCGCTGCTCACTATTGCCAGGTGTTCATTTAAGTACTGAAGGGTTCAAATCTATGGACGGATCAGCGCCTCTGCTGAGTGCTGACATCTGAGTCGCCCGCAAGTGACACAACTTCACAACGTTGGTTTGGGAATTTATCAAAATTTATCAAAGTAGTACTCAACAATCAATCCCAATTGCTGTCGTCGACGATAAAATACAATAAGGGATAATCAATGCGCGTCATGTAGGTATATAAAAGCAGCTATTTATAATAATAACAAACACCACAAGTCGAACTCGTAGCAAACAGCAAATAAGTATACCAGGCGATCCAGAAAACGAGGTCATACCAGAGATATAATATATGAATGAAAACCGATGCACTTAGATACATAGGTTACGACGACAAAAACCCAATGGCTGGTAATTCCCCCAATCAATGCTCATTTCTTCTCGATATACAGGCTGAGGTCCAACTCATCCGGAAGTTCAGATACGCTGATGTCGAAACGATCTTGAACTTGATTCATTACTTTAGAATCGCTGTCATCGCTGACGAAAGTGATGGCCAGACCTTTGGTTCCGAAACGACCCGCACGGGCCACACGATGCAGATACGTATCCGAATCCGGAGGACAATCGTAGTTTATGACGATGTTGACACGCTCAATGTCCATACCTTCAAAGAAAAGGCTGACTTATGGTATTTCCACACTCTTCAAACGATAACAGAAGCCCAAACTAACGACGCAATTAAAGCAGATAAACAAAGAAACAGACCTCTTCCAAAGAGATCGGTGGCCACAAGCAAGCGCTTCTCGAAATCTTTGAACTGTTGATAACGGCTGAGACGCTCTTCCTGGGTCATCGCGGAATGGATGGCAATGGCGGGGAAATTTTGCTCAACCAGTAAAGCAGACAAACCCATACACCGTTGTACGGATTTTGTGAAGATGATACTACAGAAACAAAAATAGTTAATTCAGTGACATGTATGGTAAGTAAATCGGAGTAAATGAGTACTAAAACTCTTACACTTGGTTGAATTCCAACAGATCCAACAACTCAAACAACCGTTTGCTCTTCTCGCTCTCCTTCAGTTTCAGGTAGTGCTGCTGAAGGCCATGGAGTGTGAGCTTGGTATCATCGTCCACCATCACTTCCAGGGGATCCTGATGAAAATAACGCGATTTTCCTTAACATGAACGAACAACACCGGTGCTGACACTGCTGGCAGTCCAGTTTTCGCTCGCGTCTCACTTGAAGTTTGGGAATATTGGCTCTCGAGTTTCATGCTTCAAAATACAGTCTTCCGCACAGCACATACGAATACCGAACTTACACTTATGCATCTTACATTCTAAATGAAAAAATCTAGCCGGAGTTCTAATAATCAAAATTTTCTACGCAAAAATCTTTTAATTTGGAAAAAAAGAAGCATCTTTCTTTTAGCCTAGGCCCGATCGTGAAAACGTCTGCGTGGAAACATTCCTGTGGAAGGAAAATTCAATGTTAGCCGCTGACATACAAACGGCAAAACACCACTTTAACTTACAGAAATTTAAACCCCGATAAGAGGCGATGCAGCAGAACCCATCGCTTTGCATCCAGATAATGGATCCATATAATCCGTATACGCTTATTCACGTACAGTGTAACAAGGCATATCGGACTACAGGGACGGTGCAAAGTCAAAGATGGAACCGAATGTTCTCCCCCACACTTCAGTAACGACGCTTGCGCACATTTTGGTGATTCTCTCTCTCAAAACCCCCTCTCAAGCGATCACACCACCACACAATGGAAGCACCGCTCCATTCAGTCTCTGGACAGCAGGTCTGCACTGGAAGAACGGCGCTACGGCATGTTCGTGCTTGTGACTAATACGAACCTGCATGAATTTCCGGCACACTGGACGAATGTCTTTGGGCAGCGTGGCGCTGAACATCATCACCTGTTTCTCACGCGGTGTCAGCTTGAAGATTTCCTGAATGTCTTTGCGCATGTCCAACTGTGACAACACTTTGTCGCACTCATCCAAAATGAAGTGCTTCACGTGATTGAGGTTCAAAGCTTTTTCACGGATCAGCGCTAAAATTCTGCCCGGTGTGCCCACGACGATGTGAGGATAGGCTTTCTTGATGTTATCCTTATCCGTAGTGATGGGCAATCCGCCGAAGTACACGCCCAGCTTCACGGTGCGCATGTACTTCTTGAAACGCTCGTATTCTTTGGCAATCTGGTAGGCCAGCTCCCGTGTGTGGCACAGCACCAGGACCGAAACTTGATTGTCGACAGGGTCGATTTGTTGCAGCGTGGAGAGCACGAAGACCGCTACATTGATATACGAAGCATAACGCACCAGAATAAAATTCTCAGAAATGTACTTCTGAATCTGAATTTTCAAAAAATGTGCTTACCAGTCTTTCCCATTCCAGATTTGGCCTGGCACAAGACGTCCATACCTAAATTGGCCTGCGGAATACATTCGTGTTGAACCTCTGTAAACAGAAAAATCATGATTGCGTCTCATATTTTTGCAGGTCTTAGGCAAAAGGAGGAGAGGTAAAATAGTAAAAATGAAAGTCAAGATAGTAAAATGAAATGAAAATCAAAAATAACGCTAAACTAGCAATAGACCGCCACTTACACTAACTGCATAGCGTTAGAACTTAGAGGTTTTCCATATTACGTAAGAACTAAGAACTCTTTAAAATAGCTAGCGGAACATATGCGTACCTGAAGGATGCTCGAAGCCAGCATCGAAAATAGCCTTCAGGAGCTCAGGCTTCAGCAGGAAATCTTTAAATCCCGAGGAATGGATACTAACGTATCCCTGGGTCGGTCGAGCGCCAGCCTTCTTGACGTCCACTGTTACATCTTCCTCGGTGGCCTGGGCGCCAGTGTCGGTCACCTCCTCCACTTCCTCATCGTAATCGAGAAGCTCCACATTTTCATCAGCCATTTCTACACACACAAGATTTCTGCTGTAGATTTAAAAGTACCTTGTGATATAATCGTAATACTCATATTATCGCACGTCACTGTAACATTTCACGGTCTGTAGACTTTTATCCTGAATCATTTTGATCGATAGACATACTGATTCTTCACGTGAAACTCGTTTGTAACAAAAATGTTTTAAGAACTGTCAGGCTCAAACAACGAAAATCAAACCCATGGAGTCTCACAGTGAAAGCTGGAAAACCTGGTACCCGCTAACAACTACCAAACTTAAACATCAATATTAAACGGTGTGATTTCCAGTGATTCCCATCAATCCTGTGCTACAGCTTATTCAAAACATCATACCTGAGTTATAGTGGGCAAAAATGGAAACGAAGAAATCTGGTAAATGATACCTAAAAGTGTAAACCTAAAAAGTACCTCTTCAAACGACAAAAACTCAAGGTCTCCTCGGATTTTCCGCTATGAATCAACGATCCAAAATGCCCGTAAAATGACGTCGTTAAAAACACGGGCCGGAATCTTTTGAGTCAGACTGAGATCAATGAACGGCGAATGAACGCTGAACAGCGCTGGTAGCCAATAAGGCAAGTCTAGCCCGCCTTTGGCTTGTCACCGGCTTAATCACCATCAACCAATCAGATCTTCTCACGGGCGGTATCGTCTCTATTGATTTTGAAATCTTCTTGCGCTTCCGCGCATGTTTTGTTTTCTAAACGGAAACACAAATCGTTTCATTTTATTGTGATCTATTGTAATGCCAGGTAACCCATGGAAGCATGGTTCCACGATTTTTCGTGATTATGCCAAAACTTTCGGCCAAAAATTCGCGGAAGCCACTATTGAAGGTCTGAACGGGCTTAGCGTTGGCATCGATGTTATTCCTTTAAAAGCAAAAAAATCAGGTGAGCATGCTGCAAGCCTTTGCAGGAATAAAGTTATGGTTTTTGCTTGCATCATTTGGTTTTTGGATTTGTTTCAAACACTTTTCAGAAAAAATGTATCGCGCCATTAGCCCGGAGGACGACCGGATGCGAGTGAATTTTCGATTTGCTGGCCAGCGAGGCAACCGGCGAGCAGCTAGCAGTGCTTCGTCTAACCAACATTTCGGAAGATCTCATACGCAGCCAAACCAGGCATTTCCAGGAGATTCACGGAGATCTGCGGCTGGTGATCACTATTCTCACAACTACGGACAGCCGAGATTTGGAGGAAGCCACCGTGGAGGCTCAAGCAATGTACGTTAAATGGTTCAAACTGAGTCATTGACTGTTAGTTACTCTGGTACAACATAAATTGCACTTCTTTCTTACTTTTAGTTAGCTATACTTACCATTAGCACGATCTTGTTTATTATTTTTATTTCAATAATCTTGTTTATACTCGTAGTAAACTTTGCTTGTTTGGTAGGATATTCTGTAAATTTGGTACTGATTGTCAACTTAGAGGATACAAATGCATATAGATATTACCTTGTTAAACTTGTTTACTTTTTGCACACTGACATTTTTATGCATGTTTGTGTCATTATGTACGTTTGGTGTTATATGTTGCTCTATGGATAGGTATTCGAGTATGGACCGTCTGGTGGAAGCGACTTTTCTTCTCCTTCGACATCTGGGCATCAAGAACGTGGCCATGCTCCGCAGCATCCAAAAGGGCTGCGTGGCAAAGCTGCCGCTGATTACTGGAGAAACTATGGTCGCATGAAGAAGGCTGAAAAAATTGCCAATGGGACATGTACGAAAAATCCGAAAAAGGACAGGAGTGCTGAAGTAAGTGTTGAAGGCAGGATTGCTGAAGTGCTGTGAAAATGCATGGTTACTTACTTGTGTAATTTGTTGATTTGGGGAAAACCTTACTTTCAAAATTTTGTCGAGCATTGTGACTACAAGTACAGTATTTCTAGGTTGTTGTAGGGTTTGTTGTAGTGAGCCTCGAATGTTGCAGGCTGTATTTAATTAAGTGACTGTAGGCTGTAGCTCACTGAATTCACTGATGTTGGCTTACCATATCTGTAGCTTCTTCGAATGCAAATTCCTAGCAAGGATGTAGGGAGTCTGAAGCGAATTTTGAAAGCTTTTCGTGAAAATCCTTTACCCGTTCTAAACAAACCAAAGATGCAACCTAAACCAAAGCCTGCATGCATAACAATTGACGAAACGGACGACGGAGACGTTATTACCAGCTGGCAAGAAGAGGAGGTCGAAGAACTGGAAGAAATTTTTGATATTGCCGATGCTAAAGGCGAAGAAGAAAATTTGAATTCTGTGACACCCCTTTCTGCTGAAGTTCTCAGTAGCCTCAGCGCGGATATCTATCACGACTGGCAGAAAAAGCAGCGCACTGATGCGTATCATAATATGCTGAGCTTCCGAAAAAAGCTACCAGCTTATATAGCGAAAGAGGTACGTCGTTTATCTCTTGCTTTCTAAATAAGTATAACTAAAAATTTTGTTTTCTGATGATCACGGCTGACCAGTACATAATGCTGTTGAGCGAAGTAAGTAATATTTGTTTGTGCGTTGTGCCTTATAGCATTTGCTGAAGACTGTTCAGGATAACCAGGTCTGCGTTGTAAGTGGGGAAACGGGATGTGGGAAAACTACGCAAGTAAGTTCTTCAATCTATTTGATCTGCCTGCTACAACCAATAACCTCCACAATCCTTTTGAATATTGTTTACAGCTGCCTCAGTTAATATTGGATGATTATATCTCGCGCCATGAGGGGGCTTCATGCAGGGTTGTATGTACGCAACCGCGGCGAATCAGTGCGATTTCGGTAACTCAAAACTCAAAACAGTAACTCAAAATTTAAGTTTAAATCTTGTTCCTCATATTAATACTGGGATTTATTATTTTTGAATTAGGCTGGTGTGATTTTGGTACTGTCGAACTGGTCTTACTATGACAATTCAGAATTGTTGGGGAAGAGCACATAAGCTAGACTTTCAGGTCATGAATTTGATTTTCAGGTATCGGAGCGTATTGCCAAAGAGCGTGCAGAGAATCTTGGCGAGTCAGTTGGCTACCAGATTCGCTTAGAAAAGTAAGGTTTTGAATTTTTGCGGCTCTTTAAATTCATTCCCATTGTTCCAAGAATGTCATGTAAATTTTACTAATAATTAGGAGATTATCTCGGGAGCGTGGATCCATTTTGATGTGTACCACGGGGATACTGTTGCAGTGGCTGAGCAGTAATCGGTTCGTAAATATTTTTTCTTGGTTCGACTTTATTAAAGTCGTTAGTTATTCTCAAATCTTGCAAACAGAAATCTCGAAGGGATTTCCCACATCATTGTCGATGAAATCCACGAGCAGGACGTTCTGTCTGATTTTTTGCTGATCATTTTGAAAGATCTCCTTCCGATCCGGCCTACCTTGAAAATTATTCTGATGTCTGCTACTATTAACGCTCAAAAATTCAGCGATTACTTTGGTAAATACTAAATCACATTCGAACCGAAGTGCGTATCTGGTGTTGAATTCATTTTTATTGTTATTCTATAGGCGGATGCCCATTGGTAGAGATTCCTGGGCGAATTTTTCCGGTTCAAGAACATTTTCTGGAAGATGTGCTGGCTCTGACGAAGTCTGTGTCAAAGAAAACTTCATTTTAAAACGGTGTTCACTATTTTTCATTCTAGTTATCACCCCCCTCAGGACAGAAGAGATTATCGTCGTCGGCATGCGAATTATGACCACACTAAGGAGGAATTTTTGTGTAAAATAAGGTGAGAAAAATCTTACATGTACGGTAGTTAAATGGTAGTTGCATTCAACGGAAAACGACCGTTTTAGACAAACGCACCCCCGACATGTTTACGACGCCATACAGGATTTTTCGGATCGCCAAATCGACTACGAGTTAATCAACACTCTTGTGCGGCACATCCATCGCAAGTTTCCTTTGGTATGATAATACGTGCAACGTTGCTTGCCTATTGATAGATCCAGTTTTTCGTCCTAGTTTTTTTTTATTTTTTTGGTGACTGTCGAACTTTTATCAAGTCGAGCTTCCGTTCGCCAGTGCATTCAGTATGCATTTTCTTTTTATGAAGAACGGCGCTAAATTTTAATGAAGATTATGGTCCCTTTAATACTTACTGGTTTTTAGCATTAACTTTTATTTTTCAGGATGAAGCAGTTTTGATTTTTCTACCCGGCTGGGAAGATATTCGGAAAATGAATACTTTGCTGGAAAGCTGTTTTAGTGCTAACTCAATGCTGATTATTCCGCTGCATTCGATGATTCCCACGGTTGATCAGCGAGTCGTATTTGACCGCCCAGTTGGTCGTCGAAAGGTCGTTGTGGCTACATCCATTGCGGAAACTAGGTATCGTAAATTTTCGAAACTTTCTGTGCGCCCTTTTCCTACCGGTTCCTATTTTAGTATCACGATCGATGATGTCGTACATGTGATTGACACTGGAAAAATAAAAGCGAAGCATTTCGACGTGGAGAAAAATATCAGCACATTGACCCCTCAGTGGGTGTCTGTATCTAATGCCAGACAACGAAAAGGGAGAGCGGGAAGGTACGTACTCATGTTTTGCTTTTACGTTAAAATAATTACGTAAATACCATTAGTGTTCTTTTTCTTTTTTCCGTTGTGCGAGATTTCTGTTGAATATTACTAAAAATGTGTTTCACAGAGTGACGAGTGGCCATTGCTATCGGCTGTACACTTCTCACCAATTTGGGAAGTTTTCGCCCTATCCTCTTCCGGAAATTCAGCGCACACCATTGGAAGAGCTGTGTCTTCAATTGAAGGTTTGAAACATGAATGTTACTAATTAGCAGATTTTACAAGTTTTAATTTTACATTGGATATGCTCGTATACCTCCAACATATGTGCTGGTATGTACTGTGGTCATCAAATTACATTTTGCAGCTCCTTCGCTTGGGTAAGGTTAGCCCATTTCTGCAGAAGGCGATGGAACCTCCGTCTGAACAGGCCATTCAGAACGCCCTGGATCTACTGATGCACATTGTATGCGCGCATATTTTACTGATTTGTTAACTTGTAGTTATGCCTTCGTCTTGTTACCAGGAAGCTTTGGATGACAAAGAACAATTAACATCACTTGGAAATCTTTTGGCGCGCATGCCGGTTCCTCCGCAGTTGGGAAAAATGATGTACTTGGCGTGCATTTTTGGGTGTCTTAATCCGGTGTTGAATATCTGTGCGGCATTGAGCTATCGTGATCCATTTACTGCTCCTTTGGGGAAGGAACAAGAGGCTCAAGCGGCAAAGAATGCATTCGGTGAAAATTGTAACGGCGATCATCTATTAGTGCACAATGCTTTGGAGGTAAGTTTCCACCTTTGGAAATAGCCGGTTTTTATTTCATGCCTTTTGACAGCAAGCGAGTTTTACCTTCAGGCTTATAAGGCGGCAGTGGATCGAAGAGAGGATTTGCGGGATTTTTGCTGGGATAATTATATGTTTCCATCAACCTGCAGGGTATTAGTATTTGAATCAATTTGTGTAATCAGATCTTCAGTGTTCGTATGTTGTTTTAGCAAATTTTAAAAATGAAAGGCCAGTTCGCCCGCATTCTCCATGAGTCGGGATTTTTGCGGTCATTTGATTTGTACGATCCGCACGCCAATCGAAATTCTGGTGAGCTGCAGAACTTTTCAGAACTATTTAAGGTCGAAAGCTCTGTGGTTAAGTGTAACCCTTTTTTTGTAACTGATTCGTAAAATTTCGAGGCAAAGCGTTTCTTTTTTTAGATAACTATGCGGTTGTTCGTTCTGTCATTGCCGGTGGACTGTATCCCAATCTGGGTAGGCTCCGACCAGTTAAACATAAGAAGCAGACGTAAGTTAAACGGAGGATATTGAATATGACTGTATAAGTGGAGCTGTTACTCCATGGCCGGGGCCCGGGAGTGTAATCAGTAGAAATGATATCTTCCCTTTTGATTGTTCATCTTTTTCAGACCACGGATTATGGTGTCGGAGGAGGAAATCGTTAGCGTACATCCAAAAAGTTGTTTTTCCCCTGGAGGAGTCGCCAATGGAGTTTATGGACCGGCAGTCTTCTTTGAAAAGATGAAAACAACATCACTCTTCGCTTACGATTTGAGTGTGGTGTCGCCTGTGGCAGCCTTTCTCTTCGCCAAAGCTGTACTTTTGGTAGCACGTGAGGTGCGTATTTAATCTGGATGAAAGTAGAGCAAACTGTAATTCGGCGTAGTGCCACTAAATTTAAGCCTGGTGTTTTTTTTTCAGAAAAGGGATGCGAACGATATGACGGTAGTCATCGACGAGCGATTGGAAATAGGCAAAACCAATCAGGAAACGTTCGAGCTTTTATGCGAACTGAAAACAGCGTTCCATGATGTCTTGCTGCATATTTTTGAATCTCCTGCTCGGACGGAGGTGATGAATGCCGAAGCGCGAGCGTTGGTGGAGACAGTCTCTGGTCTCATGGAAAATATGTGAAGCTTGCCCAATTTGCATGATTGGGTGTAATAATGAAAGTTTGGGGTTTTTTATGCAATTTTTTGCAGTAGTTTATAATTGTGAGTGCTTCAGTTGTGTACCAGCCCTCTTTGTACCGGTATGATTGGACTGAGGATCATTGCTGTGCCACATTGTGATCTTTCTGCGATGTTACTGTACTGAATTTGATGTAATGCTATCCGAGCTGAAGACAATTAACGAAAGAAAATTATGGTGAATTTACCAAAAGGCAATCTTATGCATTTCCAACTAGTAAATGCAGAGTGGTAATCGATAATCTAAAAGATCACAGTAGAAGATCACAACAATGCAAAATATTTAAGGCCAGAAAAAGAAATTATAATAAATGCAATCATAATAACATTTAGTAAAAAAATCGCTTACAATTATTTCACCGGAGTCTAAAAATTCGAGTAGCAAGCTTTCCAAATACAAACTACTCGCGCTTTTAATGAAAAAAGCAGTGCTCAAAACAAATCACATCGAATCGGTAGCAGGCTTCTTCAGCGTCATGGTCCATAGCAGTGGCTTATCCGTTTCGATAAACACGACATCCGCCACAATTTCATTGCTGGTACTGATCAGTTCACCAAACTCCATAATCTGGTCCGACAAATCCCACTTCAAGCCCTTCGTGGTGACGCGTGTCGGTCCACTCAGTGGAATGAGTCCACAGTACGGCCCCTCCAACCCGACATCCACCATCAGTTCACAGCGTCCCGGCTGCACCACACACTGCATATCCGCTCCGGAGACCATAAACACCGGCAGATTGGTGATGGTCTGCGCCCGGATCAGAGTATTCACCCCGGCCATCAGATGATCAAACCGACCCGTTCCGCTGTAGAACGCCACGATGGCCTCAGCAGGCAGACTGCGGGCCGTGATCTCTTTGGCGGCGATGCGCAGGGCTTTGGTGAAATCCGTCTCATTCTGGTCTTCCGTGTAGATCACGCGGGTGGGGGGATGCGCGCGGTAGAAGGCCAGCACCTCGGGCCGGATCGAATCGAAATCCCCCGAGACAATATCGGGATGGATGGCGTCAGTGGGCTGGCTGTGGTCGCCGGCGCTGAGTGATGATGTCGTGAGATCGTAGAAGAAATTGGCGCCGCTATCGGCGGCGCAACGCAGCACGGAGTTGCGCAGTAGGGAATGGATGGCGGATTTCTGTGTGGATTGGTCTTCGGGTGAATAGACCGTGTGGAGGACGATGAGGGCGATCTTGGAGTGGGATGGCAGGAGGCAGTTTAGTAAACGCATGCGCTTAGCTGCAGGAATGGATGCTGCGGTAGACATGTGTGCTAGTGGTATTGCAAGCAGAGAAAGGACTCGATGCGCCAGTGTGCGGTATGATAAGAATTAAGAGCTGCTGAATTCAAGCAGCTACGAAGCCCATGCTAACCATAAGCTGCTAACGCGTGCATGCTCCGAAAATTTCATACAAACAGAAGACATTTAAGTTTTAACATATGCCCCTTACTATATGCCCCGATAGCTTTTCGGGTGCGGAAAATGTGTGTGCCAAATGTCCTGCGCACTGGGCAACCCCTGCAGGTTCGGTATTTTTCGAAGCCTTCAGTTTCATTCAATCTGTTCAACCTATAGCTAAAAAAATGCAGAAAATACTTTTATTATGGAAAATAAAAAGTTTGAAAGTAAAAAGTTTTCGGAGAAACGAGATATCAACGTCTTAAATAAATTGCAGTTAGCATACAAATTACAAGTCTATGGCAAACTGCCCCGTAGAGGCGTATGTTAAACGCAAAAAGCGTTAATCGTTGATATCTCGCTTCTCCGAAAACGTTTTACAAACTTTCTATTTTCCTATTATTTTTTCCTGCATTTTTAAGCTATAGCCTCTACAGATTGGACGTAACTAAAGGCTTTCTAGAGGGCAGTAGTATTACAGTAAAAAAATTCTTTAAAATTGCAAAGAGTGAAGCGAACAGCAAGATTTTTGAATCTGGCGCAGCACCCGTGGGTGGCATGCGATAGCGACAACTTCGGCACGCAAACCGAGCGCGCACCTGCTTCGCACATCGATTTTAAAATGCTAAAAAGCTGTCACGGCATAGGTAAGGGGCATATATTTAACTGCGCACAACAGTGACAACACATCCACAGTCTGCACCAACAATTTTTGCAAATTAAGTGCGTTTTTAAAGAGATCGCATGCGGTTATGCAAAATACACATTCTGCAATCAAGTTTTTGCAAGTAATGCTTGCTGATAAATAATGCTAGCTCATCGTCAGTAGTCAATATAAAACAGATACGATATATAGTGCACTTCAGCACACGTACAGATAACAATATTTTATTTAAATAACAATGTTATTTTTCGGGATGATGCAATTCTTCCCGCCGGTTGCTGGTATGTTAATCCTGGGAAAAACAACAGAAGCTTTTTATGAAGTGCCGTACTTACTGTTGTTCAAACACAGGAGATTGTAGTTGTACAAGTAAGAAATTCGTTTATTTTACACTTCGTTTATTCGTTTATTTGAAGTTCGTTTATTTTACGCTTTCCACGCGGAATGGAAATCCGAAATCAGTTTTGCAAAACTGCAAGCAGGGTGACAAAATCATTCGACGTCGATCAGCTGCTTTATTATACTAAAAAATTTTGTTCGCAGATCTGAATTATCCAAATAAAATTATATTGGAGCTTGCCGGCAAAAGCGTTATCCGCGTGCTCCTCACAGAGTGCAAAATAATCCTGATTTTGGCCATATTTTTAAAGACCAGTGTTATTAAAAGGGCGAAATAGTTGAGCCGCTCATAGTGCTGACGGTATCATCAAAAGGATTGTCACCAAAATCAGACATACCTGAAATAAAACAAATTTTTTTAAAATAAAAATATGGACGGTCAGAGTTTTTATATCTTACTCTCATTTCAGTATTCAGTACGTATTATTGCTTACCATCGATCATCTGACATTTGACCTTTCTTTTAAAATTGCATGCCTTGATTTTGACATCGTAGATCATATTTCCTGGGCAATCCAGCTCCGTGAATGAGCCTTTGTCACACTAGTAACAAATTACGAGAACAATAAGCATTCGAATATTTCCAAACACAGTTCAGTCTTTTCAAACAAAAGGCAAATGTCTTTAGGAGTTGGTAAATCGCCGTGGAGAAAGCCGCAACATTAAAAAATGTACAACATATAGATATGCTCTATACCGGCCGCGAACTGAATTTATATCGTGCAGTAGTACAGTAAACAAAATCATACTATGGATACAGTATCGTATTTTTTCGTATTCATATCCCTAACAAAACTTGGACAAAATTAGATGCGTATTAAGCTGCTATCAGAAAAAGTGTCCAAGCGCTGGCACAAACATATCGATTTCGGATTTGATGAACTTACTATAAGGTATGAACTGCAGGAAAAAGGATGCCGAAAAGTGTAGTCCCCGATTGCACAAATTTGCCGTAATAGTAGTTCTTTACCGCTAATCTGACGCTTGCTTCGTAGAGAATTTGGGAATGCAATAGCTGAAAAGAAACGTTATTGACTGATGTTCATCGCGGATACTTCATGAATTTACTAAGGAAAAACTGCAATCTTTTCTTATAGCTTCCAAAAAGTATTATGTAGTTGCTTTAAGGTAAATGTTAGCTGAACCAAAAATAAAAATTATTGTTTGACTAATTTTATTTACGTTTGACTGTTTACCAAATGCAATCCTAGGTAGCAATTTGATAGTAACATTAGAAGTCATTGCGAAAGCGGTATGTAAAATATATTTATTGGGAAGATCGCATATTTATGTACAGCAAACGTTGGAACCGTATATAGATATGTTGCTCGTGTTACAGTAATTGTTATTTTTGTCATAACCCTTAGCAAAATCAGCAGAAAATTAAAGTATTTCTCAGTTTTATTTGCAAAATATTTTACCTGAATGTAGAATAGCTGCGATTATTAGTAAGGAAAGCCATAATGAAACAAGTAATTTGGCCATTGTCCAGTTACAACTGGTAAAGGATCATCAAGAAACTGTATTTTATTAGCCAGGAAAGCAACGTGTTTATAGTCAAGATAATCGCTAACAAGTAACAACCGGTAATAACACCGGTGCTGTTTGTCAGATGAAAAGTAGTTATCTGGGTATATAAGTCAGTAAGTTCAAGCTGGTTGTATGTAATCCAAGAAAAGTATGTGTTGTGTTAATCGCTTAATAAGCATCAGATTGCTTCAGGACAAACTAATGAGTAACACACATACAATCTGCAAATTAACGTACGAATAAAACGTACGGGTACATTTCATAGTCGAATTTTATGCCGTGGCTTTCAAATTCCAAACCGCATGATAAAAACTATTCAAGAGTAATTATTGTTTAGCGATTTCACTGGCATTTACAGTATGAATGCTAGGCAGTTCTGCAAGCTGGAAGAAAATGACTTGGCTAAAACAATCCAAAATGATTACAATAAGCAACAGTTGTGGCTGGCCGTGAAAGCACGAAGCCCTGGAGGAATTTGACATTAACCCACTTGCCAGTAAAACCAAATAATGTTGCATACAATGAGCTCCAATACTGCAGTCGCATCTTTTGCCAGAAAAGCTCGAGAAGAGCCGCTTTGTGGATCCCTTTGCCGACAGATTAGCGGAAAAAAGCAACTAAACATGCATAAATTTTTTTGGAGTTTTCTAGCCGTCACGGGATTCGGTAAGTTTATCTAAATTGCATATGCCGGTGCGTGATACAGTTATTCTACAGATAATAACTTCGATATTTTTACTAGCAAAAACGCCCAATCACTGCGCTTATTATTTCCTTGTCTACTGCAGTTATGATTGTTTACGCAGTTTATTTTTCTAGCTATCGTTTTTTCTTTACCGCTATCAAAGGATGTCAATCATTCGAGACAAAAACGACAAGGGAGTCAGATGGATCCGCTGATGCGACGAGCATGCGATAATGTCGGAAACGATACGAAAGGAATAGCACCTCATCCTTATGCTTGCGGATCGTATTTACAAGTAGGATGTTGTACAACTTTACGCAATCTTATCGATGATATATTCGTCTTATTTTGCAGTGTTTTAATGGAACCTACTCAGAGATTGACTGTCCAGGAAATATGTTATTTAACATTAAAAAGAATACCTGCGATTTCCGCCGACTCGTCAAGTGTGCGGTAATAGACGGTAAGAAAACAGCGATAACAGTTGTTTAGTACATACAAAAATTAATTCTACTTCCTTGCTGCCGAAAATGTCTCTTTGACCTTGATACTCTCCTCCTCTCCTCCTGTGATAATCAATGTAATTGCATCAAAATTAATAATCGGCATTCTTAATTTAGAGCTGCCCGAGGTTATGCATGTTTGTTAATTTTGTTGTGATGTTTTCACAATGAATTGCCACCAAACTAGCTTAGTACATACATATTCATATATTTATGTCGCACGATTCATTACAGTACGAGTGCGTTTGTTTCACTGCAGGAGTAGTCGGTGATCCTAACGATCCTAACTTTGGACCGGAAACACCTGTCCAAGTGGATCATCCGCCTTTGACCAAATCCAAATAAAGATAAGAATTGCTAAATACATCTAAAGCGGGTTGGCCATTTATTCACAATCTCACACGATACGGGATTGTTGTGATGGGAATTATTTTTACTTTTTTCAGTGATTTTCTTAGCGCTGATGTATCTTATGTTGTGCAGCAAGCTACTCCCAGCTCCCAAGTGCAAAAGCTAAGTTTCTAGAAATGGTTTAATAAACTGTGGATGCAAGACCTTCATCACCTGTTGATTGACGACACTAAAACTTTTGTAAATTCGTGTCGATAGGCATTATCGGTTTGAATAAAGCAAGCAAGGTATATAAAGCAATGTGCATAATTTATTTATTAGTTCGACGATTCACGCTATCGCTACATTCCCGTTGGAATTCGCAACAATCCAGTCTAAATAACGGATTACGTTCGTGTATCTTGATCCATCCCCACTTCCGCATTCAACTGCAACCAATGCTGTAGTTAGACAATTACACGGATCAGTTAAACGTCGACAGCGTCGGTAGCGCCACTATATTTTAATAAGGAACACAATATATCATCAAAAAACCGACGCACATTGCCCGTACGAGACCAATCCAACTTGATAATAGGTGTTTGATGTCTGGCTATGACAAACAAGAGGACCTCCACTATCCCCTAAAAACTACAAAAACTTAGCGCTTTTTAATACAAATGATTCGGGCTCGGTTTCCAGTTATTATCATTAGGAACCGGTACTCTTGTTAGCATTTGTGTAATACGAATCTAGTGCACAGTGATATGCATTGTAATTGTAAATACCGTATACGAAAACTGACACCATCTACGTAGGACTTTACCATAATTATCGCAACAAGGAATATTTAGTGTTTACCATAGCAGTTGTCAATTCCGGCCACACCGCCGGCGCACACGAAATCGTTTCCGTCCGTACTGGAGTCGTACTGACATCTTGGGTCTTCGTAATTTTGTAGGATTTGTTGATAAATGTATTTAAACGGCAAAGGATTGTTGTCTCCTAATGAAAAAAGGGGCCCAGTCCGTTTGCACAATGCATTTGCTGGATAATTTTTATGCGCATTCGGTATTTTTATTTCGCACGCGTAGCTATATGGTGTTAGAAGCAGTAATAATTACTGGCAGCGTTATCTACTCTCAGTTAGCTGCATACTCATTGTCAGTAACTTCGTCAGGGCTTATTATGGGATCACGCTTAAGGTCACCGAGAAACGCGCAAGAAATGCATCGTAATTGTAAACTGTTTTTATATACTACAAATAAGTATATGAAGCAATCACGGCAATGGCCTGTTTAATTACACACAAACCTTCTCCGGACTCTGACTCCTGTCCGAAACCACTGTTTATGCACCATTCTCCCGGCACCGGATTGCGTCGTTGCAAACAAACCGGGCAGGCACAGGTGGAGTCCAGGTTAATGTCGTCCGTTAGCACAAGCAGGGCGATGTCATTATTCAGTGTTGTCTTGCTGTAATCGGGATGACGAATAATCTTGGCCACGTCGAATTTGCGTGCACAGTTAGCCGCACCGTGCTGCGGATTGCTTCCGTTGTACGCCTCATCCAGAGCACCCACCATGATTTCCATCATACTGGCTGGAAATATTGCCCCGCCCGGGCCGCTTCCACGGCTGCTCAGGAAAGTGCGCAATAAATTCAATACTTTGTAACAGGCATTCACAAAAAAGTCGTATATTAATAAGAGGAGATTAGCATATTACTTGGTACTAACGCAGTGCGCTGCCGTTAAAATTGTTCTTGAACCAATAATACTCCCGCCACATCGAACCGATCCCAAGCGTCCGTTTAGCTGCATCATCACCTATGCATAGGTTTGTTTCAATCAGCACCATAGATTTCCAGTTGTGGAAACCATGTAGAACTTGGTAAAACTGTGAACTGTAATTGTATATTTCATCAGATTTTATCAAAAACAGTGACAAACCATAACTGCTTAAACTGTTACCAAGATATTGTTTTTCATCCTGTATACCGGCTAAAGGGATTCGCACACTTCGAAACCGGTAAAATTACCTGCCAGCACAATCGTCCACCAGTTGGATCGTTTACATCCGAACCCCCAACAATTCTGTTACTCTTCCCGTTACCTCGCAAAATTCAGTTATTATTAGAATCTTAATTACAATTCATGTCCAGTTTGCTATAATTGTAGATACTTAAAAAACGAAGAGTAGCATGCCACTGCAAATGAAGCGCAACCCAAATCTATTAAACTATAATACCTTTAAGTAACCTTTGCAAGTTACAGATTGCACGTTCTTATATTGCTATAAACTTATAGTTATTGCAAGTCAAGTACTCCGACCCGTACACGTTATAATTAACAACATACGATCACCGTGCGCGCTTGATTACAGTGATGCTGTATATCGTCTATCGACCGCTGTTTTACAAAATTTAAAATACATCAAACTGATTAAAGCACTTACCCAGCTAGCACTGACCTTTTTTCCGTTTTTCTTTTTGGATGTCCATCGCTAGATTGCCCAGTGCCGTCTGTAGCGACGATCCAAGCGCATGTTTATGATGGGAGTGTTTTTGATCTTTGATATGGTAAATGTCCTTGGCCGATCTTTCTTGCCCACAAATTGCTGAGCTAACATCCTTACTAAGGAGAGCCACAAATACCCAAAGTATGCTGAACAAATACCGAGTCACCTTTTCCATCTGATTAATTTTACTTCCAGTTTGCAACAGTATAATCATACCAGAGAGAACAAAAAACGTCGTTAATAACGTTATAGATAAATTAAAATTTTCACTCTTGATGCACACTGGTATGGCTATAAACGTGCAAGAAAAGCCTCACAATCAGATACAGTATGTGCAATTGTACGATACCGGTACTGTTTGTACCATGCTTAATACCCCGGCTAGCTTATTAGAACAAAACAAGACATTGCTAAGAAATACACTTAATTTCTTGCGAATTTGATAATATGCATGAAAGCCGAATCTCTGCACCTGTACAGAAAACGGTTTAGAGAAAATTTTAGTACGTAATAAGTTTTTAATTATGAATGTCACCGCACGTTCGCGGGTTCGTTCGGCCACGTGCTTCCATTTATGCTGCGCATTTAGCAACAAACTGAATATCGTATTTAATTAAATTTCCCAAATGAATATGGCAGCTTTCTCGATCCACACTTTAGCGTTCGCAAAAGCGCAACTTGAACCGGTCGTGGGTTTGCTAATATCTTACTGCGATCGCGCACCCTTTAAGTAAAGTTTAGAGCTAAAATGGCTGGAAAAATGTTTTTCCCAGGCTAACCTTGCATCTGATTTTTATCATGCTAGTACCGTCCATGCAGAATCGTGTTGTTCATGAATATGGGCATTCAGATGTTACGCACGCGTGACGTGATTCGGGATAATAATATACATGTGTGAATCGCAAATATTTCCAAAACGCTCATCGCTTCATAATAATTAAGTAATAAATATTGCAAATTTTGTGTATTTGAACTTTGAACAGAAACCGGTGCCCTAGTATCCTCGCATCCTAATACGGTAAAATCTTTTTTATCTTATTAAAAAGTTGCCAACCGCTTCGCACAACGTTCCAGAAGTTCATCGGTTCCTTAAACGCGCACAAAATAATAAGTATAGTAACAGCGGTCAGCGACTCGTGTATCTACAATGCTCTACATTGCTATTATTAATAAAGTCCTCAGTACGGACAGACGGTACTTGTACAAACCTCCGGAAGCGCATTGTTCAATTGACCCTGGCTGCGCTATCTGGGCGGTTACCTTGGCGTCTGTCTGCACTACAATCGGACCTTAGCAGGCTGGCACACGACAGACGTTGCGCTTGCACGAGACCGTACAGTACGCTGGTTGCACTGGAAGAGACATCGCATACAAAATTTAGAAACCGGAACGCACTTTTCGATTTTTGTCTTCTAATTCACTAACTGGAACGTGTCAATCCTACGTACCTATTTAAATTTTGATTTTCTATAGAAACCTTTGTTTGTATTGTATGGCGCTTTTGTCTTCGGTAGATTTAAATTTTCCCTAATGTTATGGATTATCAGTGACACTTTCAACACGAGTCCTTTGCACAGTTTGTGACTACTCGTATTGTCAGTGTTGACTGCTGAGTGGTGACTGCTCTAGTAGTCTAGTTTTGCAAATTTTCTTGTTTACAACTTTACTGTTTACAGTTGTTCATGCCACAGTAGCTTTTTACCTTCTCAAATTTCCTAGCACCTCGACTGATCTGAAATATCTGTTTACTGGATGAGCATTTCCCGATTGCATCCTAATATACAGTCATGGATGAATATGATCCAATTGAACGTGCGAAGGAGCCATCCAATGCACGTATTTACCGAAGGAAAGGTGCAGGCCCGACCATCATGACTGCTGTTGGTGTGCGTAGACCGCTCGCGCAGGGAGAAGATGATTGGGATAAATTAAAAAGCAACTGGAATTCGAAGGTACTTTTTTTTCCGATTATCTCCCTGTTAATCAGTTGGGTATGACGTTCGTTTTTCAGCCTGGGGACAAAGAAGAACTGGTCCTCCTCAAACAGACCTCTCTAGCGAAACCTGCTGTTCCTCGGCGATCGCTCTCGGAAGGACAGCCGTCTACGTCGAAGACCGCGGTGATGGAGAAAGATGTTTTTGATTTTGACGATTTTGATTCATTATCCATCTCCAAGACCGCGATGAACCTCGTTGGAAAGCCCGTTGCAGATACCGTGAAGCATTCTAATCCGTATGATTTTGATCAGGAAACCGATCTGCCGCGCTCGTCACAGTCTTCGTCAGGGAGCTCCTCATATCCCAGCTCTCAGGTACAAAATGCAGTTTTTTATCTTTGCAGTTCCATTCGTAATTTGATTGGTGTTTGGTTTTTTTGGATGAATTTTAATTTAGGAAGTTACATTTTTTAGATAATTCCTGCTTGGTTCCGTTGTATTTTGATATGTATAAATTTTTAAGGAATCCAATAAATCCACGGGCTCGTTAAAACGAGTATCGCCCAATTCTCTGGACGATGAAGTGGTATTTAGAAAGCCTCTGCAACCGGCAGGCAAGAGTAAAACAGCACCGGTTCCCGTTACGAAAGGCGATTCCTTTCCTCCCAGCCGCAAGCGGCCTGCTCCGAAAGGCGGAGTGGAGGCACGGCCGAAAAAAATATCTCCAGACAAAGTGCGAATTAACACTGATTTTAATCCATTTTTAATTTATCGTTTGCAGTGGAATCCGATTGCACTCTTCTCGAAGTTGCTTTTCGAACCGTAGTAACGTAAATTCACAAAAAAACTAGCTTCTGTTGATTTCTGAAATTTGGTTTACCTTATTGTTAAGTAGTATAATGCCGAACGATTACCTGCATACTTAGAATGGGTAAAAAAGATACATTTTCACTTCTACAATTTTTTCCTCAGATTCCCAACCAATCTCAAGATCCCGTTCCATCGTCGTCGCGAGGTCCAACGTCAGCGTCGTCTAGTAATCCGAAACCTGTAGTCAAAGCTGTGATACAACCTGTCAGAAAACCCGTGGAGAATCATCCAGCACCGATCCAGGACGAAAGTGATGCCGGGCGGATTTCAACCGAAACTGTTGGGGATCAACAGTTTGCTGACGTTGAAAGCGAAATTGATTATCTTTTGAATAATCTGGACCTGCGTAAAAACAGCCCAATGGTGCGCTGTTCGACTGCCATTAAATTATCCAGAAAATTATTGGATCCCACTTTCCGTGTGCATTTTTTCACGCTGGCGCATGGAAGAATCTTTGATTTGTTAAAAGATGCCGCTCGTGACGCTAATCTACGGCTTTGTGCTGCCGTTATTGTTTTGGTGATGAGCACCGACAGCTTAAAGATGAACATTGATCAGAATGGAATGGAACTCCTGTCCGATATTGTTAAAAGAGATGACGAGAAGAGTGAGAAAGTCGATCCGCAAATTATGAACGGCGTTGCTGCAGTGGTTGCCACAAGCAAGTTTAAGGATGATTTGGAAAGGAATAAAATAACAGTAAGTTCTGTGGAGTAACTCCCACTAACGCACGAAAGAGTTGTTTCGGTAGAAGTACACTGCAAAGTTCTGAAAAACCTAGATTGTTCGGTGGGGACTTGTACTTGCAGTTTTTTGTTGTTGTGATTCCGCTTTAATATGCTTTGTGATTCTTTTCCATTTGTTTATTTTCTTTCGTGTGCATTATGTGATTTTAGTAACACATTTAGTATTACCGTTTGTAGACTACCCGTCTCGTACTGGAAGCCCTCATGAGGATGAAATTAGGCTCTCAGTGGCCGTGGTTTATGGATGAAATACGGCACCAAGGATTTTTGGACCATTTGATTAAGCATTTACGAATTTTATTGCCGGAGCTCGAAGCCAGAATGACTCTATCAAATATTAATGCTCTTACTCGTTTAATGGATTTTTTCTTTAAGGTATGTAGCGGTTGGCTTCTTCTCCAGCGAATCCTTTTTAAGTGTAAAGGGCTTATCTGGGTTCTTTACAGATTTCTCATCGAAGTAAGGAGAATTCCGAATATTTGGTATCGGGATGCCGGTCTGCCGGGCTTAAAGCTCTCGTACAGCTCGGAAAATTCTGCAACAAGCAGCTGTTATCGAAAAAGACCCCCGGTGATATTAAAGCAGCTCTGGCGTCGCTGTTGCAGTTAGTATTTTTGGTCATGGCCAACGCGAGCTTTCATGCAGGTATGCAGTTATCGTTTTATTGTAAAGAAATCGTTAGTATTCTCTTGTTCATTTTTCGCAGAACTTTGGCGAGATAAGATGGGGTCGGAGACGAGTCTTCTTGAATTAAGCGTCAATTGCTGCATTAGTTTGGCTCCCGTGACTACTCGGGAAAAATACCAGGAGATTTTACTGCAAGCAGTTCCCTGCTTGGTTAATCTGACCCATAATTGCGAATCGAACTGCCAGAGGTTTGTCGATATTGTCCCGGCGAATGCTGAAGGAAAAGACAAAATAACGTCTGTGTCCGGATTTGTTCGGGTATTGTGAAACGGATATATTAAAATAATAATGATGTATTCTTACATTATTAAAGTCTTGTAAATCTATAGAAAAGCGTAGAGCGTTGTCTAGTTCATTGTTAGAGCCAGAGGCCGTGGTAGATAACATTTCCTTCGTTGTAATTTTAGCTGGCAAAGAACACCCATGAGGCAGCAGAAAGTTCGGGAGACGATCTGGAACGGTGTACCGATCGTTTGATAAATAAGATGGACACAACCGCTGTCTGTAAGATTTTCATTTTGGTGCCTTGTGCGTCATTAAAAAACGGGCTATCTATGCCTGCTGGATATATGCATACATAATTATTTATCTCATGGTCGCTCCGTGTAAAGTGACTGCTTACTTTTGTGGTAGGTACTTTAATGGATATTTTTTGTAGATACCGATTTGATGGAGAAAGCTGGCGAAAATCTTGAACAGTTTTCCATTATGTCCTACATAGGAATTCTCCTTTCTCATTTAATAACATACAATGAAGTATGTTTGGAAAAAATGCTTGCCGGAAATACAGTACCTGTCTTTAATGATTTCCTTTTGTTTGCACATAGGTCGCGCGCAGTAGTTTACACGAAGAATTAAAAGCTACCTTTGGGACCGTTTCGACGGGAACTGAAATCCTCACAGGAGCCATCCGTAGCGTGGCGGATATGCTTGCTAATGTTGTCAACGTAAGTTATGAATACGTAATCTTTTTTGTGAGATAAATATGAAAACAGTGCTTTTTACTTTTATGAAAATAGATAAAAGTTTGTTTGAGAACTTGAAACAGTTTGTATTGAAAATTTGTTTGTTAATGGTTTACATTGAAGACGATTTTTTATACTTCTGTATGCTTCTCTTTAGTTTAATCGTATTTCTCTTTCGCTTTAGCACGATGGAAATAACCTCCCAGTTCACGATATGCATACGGCAATTGATATCCTAGAAGCTTACGGATTGAACCATAAGCCTTCGTAAATGCGCTTGTATTACCAAAGTCAGTGATGTTTTTTTTACATTTTACCCAATTGATTTGTGGTGGTTGGGTTGAGTGAGCCGTAAGTGGTTTTAACGTGCAAATTTCTTTAAAGTATCTGTATGATGTGCTTTAAGGCATTTTTTGCGTACATTTGCCCACTTTTTCTTTGTTGAATTCCGTCTGCGGCATTATATTACGTGTGTTCAAATTTATTTGTTGGGTATCCTAATATCTTTTATTACGAAAAGAGGGTGAAAGGGTGAAGATTACGAAAAGAGGACGAAGATGCAATAAATCTTAATCTGAGTAATGGTGGAGTGATGGAACCAGAGGAAGCGAACCGTGAAGCCGGCTCCTAAGCTCTCGTAATGAGAGTTAATAGAATGATTGCAAATTAACTACTCTACTGGTAGGCAAAAAACAGGCGAGTCTAATTGATTGCCTCCGTGTTTACAATTAGCACAAGGCGACAAGCAGTCCGTACAGTACCAGTGTACCTGATATGGTGTATGGGTATAAAGAAATTTTAGTTGATGTATAAAGTTCTGGAAAAAAATGTTATTACAGAACAAATTTTACACTGGAAAACACATTGGCACTGAAAACTGTATGACGAAAACGTGAGTGTGCCGCTGATCACATAATCCCTTAAGCGTCGGAGGATGAAATTTCCATCAGTCGCCGAGCCGGTAGATGTTGGTGTGGTGCTGTAGCGTCTTAGATTTGTTTCCCTTCAAGAATAGAAATTTCCTGTTAGGACCGCTTATCGGAGAACTGGAGAAATGGGAACCGAGTCACAGCAAGCCGGAAGTGTCACTACGGTGTAAGTGAACGAAACTATCATTCCATAGTAATTATGTTTCTTTTTTGGCATTTGTTTTATGATTTTTTTCCTTTTTCTGGTTGCAGGTTTTCGCTGTGGTAAGGCTTAAAAGCCCCGTTCTTATGGACGTTCACTTAATGAAGATATGTGAAAGCGCAAAATTCATTGCAGGAACGCTATGATGGGAACAACGATGCTGGCCATACCATGGGCTATCCAACAAGTACGTTTAGTGATTAGTCACAGTATAAAATTATCACTACTCGAGTAGTTATTACCGAATGCCACCTTAACCAAATTTACCGGATTGCTTTTTTCATAGGCTGGATTTACGTTGGGAATATTTCTAACCCTGTTTATTGCGGGATTATCATATTATACCATCACTCTGGTGCTCTCGATGGCCGATGAGATGCGCTTCCGTCAGGTGGACGGCAGTGTGCCGATTCAGGATTTCTCCGAGGTGTGCGCCTATTTTGTGGGGCGTCGTTTTGGACAGATTACCGTGTGTATTTCCCTCTTCACCATGATAACGGCCGGCATTGGTACAATATTTCACGACTGTATATTGCAGTTATGCTAAAAGAAATATAAAAGGTTAATGGATGTTGATGTTTTTAAAGCATATTGGATTTTGATGTCGGATTTTCTTTTCGAGATGGGACATTCAATAGCAGGTACGAAGAAAACGTTACTGATAACTGAAATGAAAATAAAAGTAAATTAACATATATAATATGCAGGTTTCTTGAACACCACATCCAACGGCACGAAATCCCATCATCTGTATATGACCCATGGCCCGATGTATGTTAAGCATTTCCGAGCGACTGAAGACACACCGAGCGCTACAGGCGGTATCTTTTCTCAAATTTGGACGCAGTCGTTTATTCCACTGTTCCTGGTCGTGGCGATCTTCCCGCTGACCTTGATCCGGACACCGGTCATTTTTACCAAGATCAGTTCGTTGGGCGTGATAAGTGTATTTTACCTCATCGCCTTGGTCGGCGTCAAGGCCGGCATTCTCGGTTTGAATTTTGATTTCTGTGCTGATCCCACTTTACGAGGTAGGCTTTTCTCAAACGTTGTAATGAAAATGAACTTGAAATTTTTGATATATATTAATTTATTTGATAAGCACAGTTCCCGTGTGCATAATGATGATGCTGTAGGGTTTCGTGTCACTAAATTAAAAAATAATACGTATATATTAATTTTTATTGGTTTTTGTAGATTTTCGTTCGGGGTTTCCAGCTCTTACCGGCACGATGGTTATGGCGTTTTTCCTGCATAATACCGTGGTGGCCATGACCACGGCCAGTAATCCTAACACGCGCAGCAGAGATACCGGCATTGCCTACATTTTGGCGTGCATTACGTATCTTTACATCGGAATCACCGTCTATGTTACATTCCCTGAAAATAAAGGCACAATTCAAGATGTAAGCGAGCACCACTGGGCTTTGGTATTAGGTCTTATACCCGGGCAGAAATTAACTGACCTTTTCCGTACCGAATTTTTTAACCGGACATTTCGTTTTGTTTAACCCCGGCTGTTATTGCAGAATTTTTTGAAGAATTTTGCCAGTAGTGACGTTTTGGGGCTTGTAGCGCGAGCGCTGCTCTTGCTGCAAATGATCTCCATTTTCCCTCTTTTGGTGTACGTTACGCGTATCCAGCTGGTTCGTCAACTCCTGCGACGTGACCCACAAAAGTAAACGCGACCTTACTGGGCTTTCCTTAATTTATTGGTGGCAGTGTGGAACATGTTCTGATTTCCAGTTTCAAATGGATTCTAATCACCAGTGTCACCCTCATCAGCGCTGGAACGTTAATGGCGATATTCTTCCCCAAAATTGGCACAGTGTTGAGGTATCGTGCACTGATAAAACCGATAAAATGCATAAAAAACTGAAAATAAAGTAATTTTCCCAATGCATAAAATTTGTTTTGTAGCTTGAAATTTGCATGAAATGAAACCCATACGCCGAAATGTTCTGGCGCCGATTATGTTAGTACAACTCAGATAACGACGTCGTTTTCATTAAGCACTTGAGAAATTTTTTGGATTATTGTAGTTAATAAGGGATTTTTAATGCGAGCGCAAAGCGTCATAAAGCTCTGAATGCATATAAGAGAAATGTGCCGTTTTTTGATATTACGCACATAAAATGTTTGTTTTAAAAAAATGAATGGCTGTTTTACAGAGTGACGGGATCTTTGGCAGGATTGGCATTCTCCTTCACTCTGCCCTGCATCGTCTATCTGACGTATCTGCGGCAAGAAGGCAAAACCACGCACGCCATCGTATGGACGCACCTGCTGATAATTCTCCTCGGCTTAATCAATTTCATTTCGCAATTTCTAATTTAATGCCCCGAACCGATCCGGCTGACGCGTATATGCCGCCGTTACGGTCGACATGTAGCCATTAATAAGCATTCCACTATTGTCAATATGCGGAACACGGTAATTTCTCATTTTTACTTAATGGAAGATTTATGGCTGCTGCGACATGCTTCGCAAAACGGCTTCACAGCAGCTGGACGAGGCCAGTACGTGTAATGGTTGCGCAAACACATATATCTGCGCGACGGTAAATGTCGAATGATGGCATTTCCAGTGCACGTTTATTATCATTATCGTTATTTCGCTTTTGGCCCTAATCAGTTGGGTGCGCCAAAAATGTATCTTTTTTGTTTTTACTTGTGGATGTATAGTGATTGCAAGGGAATGGTTAATGATTTGGCGCCAGGTTTTGTCCGTTTTTTGATAAATGTGCTTTCATGGTTTCTGCCATATTTTTATAGACTTCACGGAGATAAATCAAAAATAAAATGACAAGTCTGGAATTGTGTGCTTCCTCTCATGAAAAATGTTTGCGAGGAGTTAAACAATAGACCATGCTGAAACAATAGACCCGCGGGAGTTTTTTTGTAGTAGCACTCTGCGTAATTGTTAAGTTTGCTTTCTAAAAATGGCTTATTTTCGATTAAAACAGTTTCCTTAAAGAATTCACATATAATTATGTAGATGACAAACTGCATGGCGTACAGTATTCGTAACGTTATTGATACACCGCGGGAAATTGTTTTCAACCAGCTAGCGCAAAACCCACGACGTTTACGTTATTATTTTCAAAAAAATACTGAAGTTATATTTGTCCGTTGACCGTTGCCAGAGTCAAAGAATAGTCTTTTATTTTAAAATGCGGGGATATTTTCAGAAAAATTTTGCATGGAATATTAACAATCATGTGCCATAGTTAAACATGCAGATTTTATTTTATTACCACAATGTCTAGATGGAACTGGAAAGAAACTTTGGGTGAGCGCCTACAAGTCACAATCAGCTAAATGAGTAATGATGAATAGTGGCGCTTGTGTCATGCGTACATTGAGTGCCCATAAGAATTCTATCGTTCACATTGCATTGTGCGGTGATTTGTAAGATTTATCGGCTATAAATCGTCTATTTATGGCAGTAATCAACCAAATGTTTTGCCAGAAGTTCCGGAGTACTTGAGTATGTCGGGTAAAAAGCGTAAATCTTCCTGTTTTATGCGACGTATGGCTCGAAGGGTCAATACGCGCTAATCACGGAGCGGGCTTTATGCACCATTATAATGCTTGTGTAAACATATCATTACCGTCCGATATGGAAATGATATCCGTAGTAAATTAAAATCTAGCGGTAATTAAAGCTGCACCCTTTTGAAAAAGCCTCGTCCGTACTGCAGGAAAATAATATGTTATTAGAAGCTATACACCCGGTATCTAATTTTTACCGGTAATAGTAAGCATAGGCTTACTCAACAACAAAAATTAATCAAGACTGGGTACGAGAATAATGTTAGAAATGCTATAATCAAATAATTTTAAATAAGTTTATCATGTTTACAGCCAGACTTTCTTAAAATTTCGAATAGCGTTTTTATTATAGTATTATGATAGGACCCTTTGACCATGACACAGTGATTCCTCCTGTTTGTGTATATATGTAGATATAAGCAAGTACAAGTACGAAAGGACGCAAGCGCACTGTAAAACTCGTGTACAGAGTATGGAATACCAGATAAATATATGCCGCAATCTCGATTTCATAGGGGTGTAAAGTTGATGGGAGATATATATCAGCAGCTCCTGTTAATAATGTCGCAGCTTGTTAACGCTCGACTTCCTTCTCCCAGTCGTCAGGGATGGTCTACAGAACGGAAGTGCGATTAGGTCGCTGCCGGCACATGTACAGTAGTGTGCATGTCAGACGCATTGAAACATGGCTGCCAGCCAAGACGCTGCATGCAGTGATAAAAGAGCGGCTGCGATTCTTAGCCGCGATATCTGTCCGTCTAACAGCATCCTCCATCATCCGTTGTCACTGCTGATTGTGTTAATGCGTGGAATGTTTGGTCTCAAAAAGCAATTTCCTATTTTGCTATGCTTCCGCCAGTTATCATTAATATCGGGCTAACCGGAAACAAGGTCTACTGCAGACACTGATGACCGGCCCCGTCAACATGCTCCCAAAATACCCGACAATCATCCATATCACGTTATGTTATCGTTTTTCTGCAAACAAAGATTTTATTTACGAGGCTAAATGATATTTGCTTAACATTATTTACCGCATGAGATGTGATGTGGTGCATAAAGTGTTTCTATCGGTAGAAATACAGTTAAATCCCAAGGTTTTTGAAACTTAATAGTTTAGATTGATGAGATGACTTCATAGGTCAGGTACCAAATATGTTACAAGAAGGCACGCATAACTATGTATTACATATCATTAAGTAAATGTCAAATCGTGATTTTACAGTGCATTGTCCTGACACATCGTATGAATACCATCGAGACAGCATCCTGGCAAGCATTACGAATAAATTTAAGTGTTATTTTGTTTTTCCGATTTCTGAAACGTAATTCCGCTTTCAGTATTATACTGTCAGCGCTGTTGTAAGTATTTTAGAGTTCTGGTTTATCGATTTCGAGAAACTGTGCATTTTTATTTGAATTTAGACTATCTAATGCAAAGGTTTAATATTAAGTGCGAGATGCTGCGCCGCATGTCTTTATTTGTGTTGTGTACCTTGTGCGCAGTCAGCGCTGTCCTCTTGAATAGAGGATGGATTTTTATTTTTGGGTTGTTACATTATTTTAAAATATCAAGGTTATAATAGCTTTAGTGATAGTAACAGCACTGCATAGTGCCGTGCTGGGCAAGCCAACATACTCGCAGTATCGCATCATAATACTCGTATAAACCTCAAGAATCATGGCTCATGACGATGGCTGCATTCGAGCCGTTACAAAAAAGCACGGCTGCGGAAATTCCTTCGTACAGTGTCAAGGTATACTTTATACAGTTCTTGCGGTTACTTGTTCTAAATGTGATGAAGCACGAAATCAGTGCACAGATAAGTAGACTGTGCTTCAATAAAAACAAAAATGAATTTGTGCACTTTTATTTGACTGTCGTACAAAAAATAGAGCAGCAAGACATTAAGAAAATTGGTAGAAGGAAAACTGCGCGCCACGTTCATTAAATAAAAGATGCGGCTCAGTATTGGGTATTGGTACGGTATATTGTTTTATTAATATTTTGTGAGCATTAAATTATTTATTGACAAGAAATCAGCTGAAAAATAACAGCAAGGTCACGACAAAATATCCACGGTCAACTTTACTGAGCTGTGGTCAGTTTTTTGCATGGTCGCAGTGGCGCATTGCAGACGTTCACAAGCTGCGCAATCCGCTGTGCATGAGAAACTGAAAAGACAATGATGACACAGTCGGAAAGGATATCGATGAGGGAAATATTGCCGCATCTACGGGAATTTTTGTTGCTTATAATGATCATGATGGATGATGTCATTCATGCGAGGTAATGATGCGAATATTCACAACACGCTGTTGACATCCATCATGCACAAGATCATATGCATGCTGCATGACTGAGCTACATATGCATGCGCAATGTTGTAACTAAATTTCCTGTACAAATAAAATAAAATTGATGTTCAGAATCCTAACGTCGCCGGTAAGTGTAAAGGAAGAAGAAGTGCGTAAGCTTTAGCTACTTGCTTCTCAAGATTCTGTTGATTTACATACTTCCTGTACGGGTTAAAGTTATGTGCAACTGTTAAAGGATAAAAACACCGGCCCATAAAATATTTCCGCTAGAGTAGCCATTATGTTAGTCGTATATTTACGGATACAATATAGGGTCTATCTGAAGCTTTAAGCAATGCAAATGCTCGAAAAACCTTTTTTTAAATTTCGTAGCAACATTCATGTTTGAAACCTTAGAATAAATAATTATTAAGATCCAAGGTGGTCAGAAACTTGCAGTTGCATATTTTGAACTACTCTTTCCAGTCATGTCACATTTTTGCTTTTCCCAGGCGAGATTTACTTTTAATTACTGTAAGTAGAACTCGTGATACGGTGCAGCTTAACAATTCTCGAATACGCTGAAAGCATTCCTTTTCGGTGCTAATTATGATTTATGATGATTACACCAATAAATTAAATCTAACAGCGTAAGCCTACGCAGAACACAAGCATTATGTAAGGCGGTATGATTACTATTTCTGTGGCACTAGCTTAACGAATCTCTTAATGAATGCAATTAACGTCGTTTCAAACGTCGTGTTGCAACAGAGGTACCGTATACTGCTGCAAAAGTGACTGTGCTTCTGTTTTCTAAAGATAGCAAATGTTTTAAATAAAATTATACGCCGCGAACCGGCTTCGCAGCAAGTAGGCTTAGCAATTACACCGTCAGATGCAATTGATTTAATTCTGTTATAGCCTATGGTCGAGAAACTATAGCGCCCATGAATAATTACATGAATTAATTTTTTCCTGTATCTCATTCTGGCTTTTGTTTGCACGACCACAGGACAATGTTTTTTGAGCCTGCAGTTCTGTGTGACTTATACACGGTGGCGTTTACGGTAGTAAAATTATAGTGTCTAGTTGACTGTTTAATAACAGTATCCGATAATTACAGACGTCAAAAGCGAAATTATAGCTATATGATGACCGTAATTACGTAGTGGTCCAGCCAGCCGCGATGATTTGGCAGGCAACATAGTTGTCGAAGCGGAAAACGCAAAGGATGGATTATTATTCGGTGTGCTGTTACAAGCCGGCAATTATGCCAGTCAAGAGCCATCGGGTACCACATGCACTATGACATTATAGTCTGTATACCTCCTAATTACCACGCTCAACAAACCTACTGGTAACTTCAACCCGCCATCCTGTTTACCGTGAAATGCTGATGGATTCGGGCGACAATTGTTTAGTCAGTTGTGTTTTTCTAAAATTACCAATCAGCACATAGAATCTTTGCGGAAATATCTTTCAGTTCCAAAATTTTTCAGTAGATCAAGTAGTACAGTAATCCAGTAAGTACGGAAATACTTCTCATCCAGAATGTATCTATATGATAAATGTAATACAGCTGTTTTTGTCTTTAATTTTAATCTTAGTGCTTTTAGGTACGTATGTATCACCTACAAAAAGTGAACAACAAAATTTGCCCAGCTTAAAAAGGTTTGAGCCAAGTGCTTCTAGATCTGTAGCAAGTGGTTTGAGCCAAGTGATTCGTACGTATAGCGGCGCTGTGATAACGCTGCCGGAAACAACTGCATGAAACAAACAGATTTTGCTTTCCGCGGTTCTAAATCAGTTAGAATTATTCAAATTAGACAAAAGCTGGTTAAATAATTTTGGATGTTAGCTACTCGTAGGTAGTTTAGCCAACAGTTGTTATTACTGCCTAACTATAAGACATAAGTTACTGTGTTACTCCCGTCTTGGTTAATTTGAAAGGACATTGTGGATGCATGGACTAAAAGGATAACGCTTTAGCATCATTGCTAAACAATTTGGTTTATTAATTCAGTATTTAGGAGAGCAAAACAGACTAGAATAGTATACTGTGCATATTCGTCTTTCACTACGGTTACAACTGCATGAAACAAACACGCACATGCGACTGCGATGCGCATTGTGAGCTTGGAATATTTTTTACTGCTAAAGTGATAATTATACGACGAAAAGGCCAAGCATATGATTTACGGCGTTCTGCAAAATATAATTGCGGCCAGGTATATCATTTCCTAGTGCACGTGCTGGAGGGTGTGGTGAGTCTGGCAAATAAACAGTGGCAAGTGAGAGTTTTATGGTGACAAACGCTTTGTGATTACTAAATGATAAATGGCTCCCTTCAGTTTTTAGATTATGACGGATCAGTGTTTTGGTGAAATTTAATGATAATTTATGTGGACATCCAACGTTGGTATTACAAGAAATGAGCGCACTGCAGTCTTATACGCGCATTATTTTACTATTTGCGCTTTCGGGCCTCTTTGTGCGGCATTATCGAACACAGTCATACAATCAATCAGCTCGCATTACTCCCGACCGGTCAATTTAGCCAACTATCGAAAATATTAAATACAGAGTGTATATGCACCAGTTATTATAGTGGAGCAAAAAAATGCAGCCACGACTGTACCGCTTATTGATTTAAATATTCGAACGCTATAGGACTGCATAAATAACTATACTACAAGTCATGGTTAAATATCAATCATCGGTCTTGTGATAATTAAAATCTGTCGGATATTTCAGTTGTGAGAGGAGAAAAACAAAAGGATATATCGATCAAATGTCAAAGCTGTCAGATGTAAACATGAAATTTATGCTGATTACAGGTAACAGTCTTCCAATTCAATCCAATATTGGCGCCGGCTCATGGCAGGCTTATTCAGTACAGTATATTTAATCTCGAATAGAGTAGGTCTATATCACTTATTTATGCATAAAAAGTTGCTGTGTTTTATCGTCACCAAGGGGATATCAAAGACAGTCTAAAAAGTGCAACTGGCATAGTTACACCATTCACAGCCACACATTAATAAAGTAAATTTTAAGGAAAATGCATTTCGTTTACATAAACACAGAATTTCTATACGTGTTTAGTAATTATCTCTATTACGTGTTCATTAGTTTTACCAAAAATTTTAAAAGCACATGCTGGTCATACTAAATCCACACAAAAAATTAATCCAAAGTTCCGCAGACTGTAACACAAAGTGAAGTCCATGCACATACCTACCTCTACAACTCTAGATCTACTACAAACATATGTAGTAGATCTTTATGTATTGATGGTTCTTTATGTATTCCACAGAAAATTTCAGAATTATCGGTGTGATAATGGAAGCCACATTAAAAGCAGAAATTTTAACATCATTCTTAAATTTACATGTTTTTGATTTTCTGTATAGGTTTTGGCTTCGCCTGTATAAAGAGCTAATGAGTTCTTTCAACGCTGGAAAACAAAATCATGATCATTTAGTGTGTTTGTATAAACAAACATGAAACAGTTTGGAGAAAGTTAGCCTTGAAACAGAGGCATGGAATATAAAAAGTGAACGTGACCTTTTTCGAACCAGAAACCAGAAACATACCGGCAACTCAAACAATGACAGCGTTCTATGCGTTTTTGCCGGCTGGACCCATCACATTTCAAATTAGAACTCAACACAAGCCGTGTCAAATTCTTAATGTGCTGTTGAAGACGTCATTGGCAGTGGTGCATGCAGCCGGCTGCCGGCGTTCGCAGCATCCCGATGCTTAGTGGCGACGGAAAAAAACAACAGCCGACGGAAGATTTATGAGCATGGCTTTTATGGTTGCTGATGAGAATAGATGAGCGAAATGTCTATAATGTAATAAGCGGATGTATGCGACTGTTTTTCCTTTGACTGCTGCAGAAATCTGACTGATGATCGTAGTGCTGTGTCGATCGGCGCGTTGTCGATCGTGAGGAGGGGAAATTTAATATGAAACACACTGCCTGCCAGTCGGATGATGGCCGGCGTTCCTTGTGTGCCGGCTCGATGCTTTATGTGAGCGAGTCATTGTGAAAGAATTCATGATAAATTGATGCGACATTAAGGAGCGAAGAGCCGGATTTTTCTTGAACATATTGGCCATTTATTATTGTGAAAAGACAACTGAGCATCGTTTGTCATCTTACTGTAAACTTCTGCTCATTTTTCCCAATCTCCATCCCCACAGGATGTTAGGCGAGATGACGGCGCTCGTGACAGTTTGAAAATGCTATCATGTCATGTTTCTTGGCCGTGAGCTTTGTTACTGGGACTTGTAACGCTATTAATGCCGGCGTACAAGTGAAAAATGAGCACGCACTCTGCATCTGGCTTCCACTTCCACATCCACAAGGGCACCAACCACAAGTTCATCGGAAATATTCTGGAAACCTACATTAGTGTTATCAATTAAAGTTTATTTGGGATTCAATTTTAAATGCATGACTTTTTCTGCAACACCGATTTTTGAATTATGGGTTCACAATCAGTAACCCGATTTGATAATTTATCTTTAATTTTTAGAATTGATTACAGTGTACATCTTACCAAAAGTTTTAACATTTATCCGTTACTACACTGTAATTATGAGTAAGAATGACATAAGCTGCCTTAAAAGTAAAGGCCGAAAACTCGTCGTGCGTGTTATACAGCAAATGTTATTTTTCCTTTGTAACATGCGATCGCATATATCATATCCTCTTATAAACATTACCTTACAACGTCTGTAAAAGTACAAATAGTCAGATTACCTATCCCGATATTTGTGGAATTTATTAAAAGTTTATTTCCAGTCATTAGAAGCACCATATTAGGCATCTACATGATAAGCGGCACGTTATAATAATAAAAGATTTGCTTGTCTGGGTTCGTCAGGTGACCGGAAGTGGCGCTTTCGTTTTCTGATGTGCAGAATCTTAAGTCACAAACGAACCACAATTAATTTAAATATTTATGTCTTAGTGTACAACACCCCAAAAAACTAATGGCATGTACAATATGTATACTTGCCTTGTTCCATTTTGCCAGATTGCATTTTTCTCCTGGTTTCTGTAAATTCGGAATGATCGCTGCACTTGTTCAGTACTCTGTATGTCGAACGCGGTGTTTTAATTACGCTTTTGATATATTTTCTTTTAGCTGACTGGTGAGTGTTTACCGCAGGACAGCGCAGGTTCACCTCTAACCCGCTTGCGCTTTTTGAAAAATTGACACACGGTTTACAATTAACGAAAGTGCATAATTATAATCCAATAGCGAAAATTATCCTCGGCTTCTAATTTGATCCGTGTACAGCTGATTAACCAATTTCCTATTGACGTTCACGCAAGAACTAACGATACATCATTGCTAATTTGTTGATGCCGCGCATTCAGATATAAAAACGCTGGCCTCAGGAACGTTAAGACTATCTTAACTGGTCAGTGTAGATGCCGGCTAAATCGGATATTAATGAAATTTCTCATTTAATTGATGGTATTTATCTAGGGTAAACTGGCTTAATGCAATGGGCACTAAAAGAGAATATTGATATGCTATTCCAGTGCACACGATGTCTTCAATCGACATTAGTTGTTCAATGCGGAATGTCGAGTAAATTTGTTAAATGATTAATCTGTGTGGGTAACGGCTTGTTTTTAATTGCTAGATAAGCACAGTCGATATTGGCCGGCCGCCGCCGACGGCAGCTCTCTCTTGATCGCTCGACAGTCTGTGCACCGCATGAATCGACTTATCAAGAAAAGTGTTACTTGTATTCTTGGAGAATCATACAATTTGTTCTAATCGACTGACTGTTAATGGATCAGAATTCCCTTGATTGAAAATCAATATTCCCAAGACTGGCGTGTTATGTTGATCCAGAAATGTCAAGGGAATTAATGTCGACACTATCTCTCGTCGACCACGGCATGCAACACCGGTGCCGGGTGCAGTAACCGTCAACTACAGGCGGGAGGTTGAATTTAAAGATAAAATGGCTCGAAGAGTTCGAAGCTCTTTTTCTGAAACTATAATGTTCTGAATTTAATTTAATAGTTCAGCTTCTTGCCTTCGTAGTCTTTCTTATAATACTGCAGAAAGAAAAATAGAAATTCAAGCGAAGTGTCGTAATATTACAGAATAACAAACGGTCGCTATCGGCATCAAACGAACCGGAAGTAGTTTTCTCAACTGTTTATCTCGTTCTATATTGCATTTCTTATTCGATATCAACTGCAGCCTTTTCCACAACATTTGTACATAACTATAAGTTCCATAAAACAAACAGCAACAAAAAAACAACATGTAAATTTTTGATTCGGCATTCACAGTCTTCAAGACAACAGTAAATTTAGTATAACAGTAGTAGTTTGTAGGTTGTACAAATCTCATACCGTGAGCCACATAAACACACAGCAATGCCGTTTAATGTGGCACAAACCATAAAAGCCTCATTTCCACTACGAAACTGTCATACTTCCTCCGGTCCATCTGGTGACCCCGAGAAAACCAGGCGTGAATTCCTTTACACACCAGTCCATAATTCCGGCAGATACCGAACCTCCTTAGAACGGAGGCCGGTAGTACGAGTACGGCGAAGGCGAGAAGAAGCCGGGTGTTGGTCCGTTGGCGGCGTTAGGCCACAGACTGGAGTAGGGTGAGCCCAGGCCGGGTACGGCGGTCGGCTTATAAGGATTGTAGCGGGAAGCGGCAGCCGCTGCCGCCGCGGCGGCGGTCGGGTTCAGACCCGCCAGGGAAGGGAACCGGCTAAGATAGGAGGCATAGGAGGCGTAGGCGCTCTGCAGGGGATCGGTAGCGCCGCTGGCCGCCGTGAGACTCGGGACTGAGAGATTCGTATGGGTGCGGAGATGAGCAAATAATTCTTCACTGGTCAGAAACTGCTTTCCGCAGCAACGCTCCGGCATGCCGGGCGTCACCCAGCCACACACGAGATTCTTGTTGGATGGGAGTCCATTGGCGAGGGATGAATATGAACCTACGATATCAAAACGATTTGTCAGTTTGAAATTCTCGCTGACAAATACTGCAGCAAATTAAAGACTGCACGAGACACAATCGTAGTGGACAGACACACATACTTCTTTATCTCTGTTTTCATATGCTCTACGCCGCAATCCACATAGTCTATTATTAGCTGGAAAACAAACTTACGTTATTTACATTATTACATTATTTAGGTATGTTCAAAAATCGCAAAAAATAAATTATGCATGGTGAAGTTGAGAGAACACAATTTTAAAACGTTGCTAATAAATTCGAAGCCCTGTGTGATAAATTTTAGTTGAAAAACTGTTGCAAATCTTAGTTAACAAGTAAGAAGAATGCACAGTAACTGCCCAGAACTTTTTCATTTCGATCGGTACAATTTACAGCACTTGAGATCTTTCGTATAAAAGTATTACGACAACAATACTACGTATCGATAATATGGCAGTCCTTTAGTGTGGGATAACAATAGAAATATTATTATTAGTAGCATAAAATACAACATTCATAAAGTGCAACATTTTTCGATGCGTTGAGCTAAGGTAGTTGTACACTGCTCACTAAAATTGACGTTTCTGTGGCTTTGCGGCGCGGCGTTCTTTACTTTGGCCCGTATACAGCGGCCATAAACATAAAACATAGTTATATCGACAGAGGCCTGCCAAAAAGATTTACAGCCGCTGCAAAGTCATCTGCATTTTTACGTCCTAATCAACCACTTTTTACGGGCACATAAAGATTAGACCAGTGGTAATATACCGGCCTAGCATGGAAACAAAAACCCGTTCCGCCACGAATCCAAGCCCATTAAGTGAGTGGAAAAATAGTCACTTAAAAAGATTTTGATTGGTAATGTATAACGAGTGGTCTGTACATCTTTCCCGGGCATTGGGTTTTTATATACAACGGTCAATAATAAAATCTCACAATTGCTGAAATGAGCATTCAGTTACGGTAGGCGCGTTCTCGACAAGACACTTTGGTAGTTGTACACACAACCTTGTCGCTGGTGCAGAGAAGCGCATAAAGAGCAAATTATTTCCCCGGCGTTGATACATTATGACAGGGTAGTAATGATGAGCATGGTGTGGTGATCATGAAAAGCGGCACTGCAGTACTTACTTAATGCGCTATAATCCATGGGAACAGTGGGATTAGTTCCGCAGTGCATCGACGGCGAACAGCCATAACAGAAGGGATCACGGCAAGCATACGGCAGCATGCCGGGCATGGGCAGGCCGGCGGGCGTTTTCAGTCGTGCCGCCGCGGCGAAGTTCAGTGGATCACTCAGCGGTGAACTCGAGCCCGGGATAGGGTGCCGGGATGGAGGCGGATAGTGGTAAATTACTGCTGGATTTAGCCGGTGAGGGGCTCTGCTTGGCCGATGGACTCTTGGATTTGCGATCATCGCGCTCGGGCGGCGGCTTGGTGTCGGCAGTGTCGACGGTGTCGGCTTTGGAGGATTTGTCTTTGTCTTTGCGGTCTTTGGTCGTAGTGTCGCGGTCGGGTTTGGACTCCTTCGGTGGCTCGTCGGACTTATCGCGAGATTCTTTTACTTTCTTCTCAGATTTTTCAACGGCGTCCGGGCTACGGCGGGGCCGCTTGTTCTCACTACCGCCACTGGAGTTTGGTGGGGATTTTTTAGATGACGGCGGAAGTTCGACGGCTTTGATGCTCTTCGACATGTCCGGTGCGCCGATACTGTTGCAGGTGGCAGCCAGCATGGCTAATGGACTTTTTTGCGCATCGAGCTAAACGAGTACAGGAAATATTAACTTAAAAGTCAACAAAGTACTGTAATCAAATCAAAATTACGGATAGTACCGATAACTAAAGTTAGACAACTGCAATACCGAGCGTACGAGTATATTATGAGACTGTGGTAATACTGAATAAAAAACTTCAAATATCTATATTAAATACTTGAGCTCTTATGCATCGAGAACAAATGCAAATATACAAATTAAAACACTTCAGTGCACTGCTTTCGTAAAAGAACAAATTCTTGTTAAGCAGGTGGTAAAGCACAATAACGCTTCGTGATAAAAATAAACAACTGTCAATTATTTAAGTTTGCTAAAATACCAGACAGTAGGCATTACTATGGTATTGATTGTATAAGTTGTACTATAACTGCTGAATGGGAATAAAGTACAGCATAGTTAACGGAACGTAATCCAAGTGTACAGTACATAGAATAATCATAATTTACCATTTACAAATATAAATACTCCGCGGGATTTAAAGCGTGAAAACCTGAGTTTCGCATACATATATAAATCAAATAGCAAAATTGTTTGCATAGCAGTAATTAGAGACTTTGCACTGTTAAAGATGCTTACAGGTGTTGGTAGGGGCGATATATAATCCGGTCTAACATATTGATTAGCGGAAGTGGACGCCGTGTGGCTAATCATGATGACAATACAAAGTGTGCAAGACAAAAGCGATCTTCCACGGCGCAAAACAAAAGGTCAGATTATGGATTTTTCATGTACAAGATTCTCGGTGTGTACAAAATATCCGTTGCGCGGTGTGGAGTTAAAGTGTAAATGATACAAGTCAGTCAGTCGGTTATGAATGCACACTTATGGATTGTGCATATACCGTACGGATTTGCGAACAGGCGCTGACAAGCGAAGGGGGCGGAACGGAAATGTATTTCGGCACCCAATGATTGGTGCAGGGAGGCTGGGCCAACTGTCATATCAATTCGGCATCAGCTGTGGCTGTACTGTCCGATATATCAGTGTGCACATAAATATATCGCAACAGAGGAGGAGGCTGCCTATGCGAACCTTCAAAGCGGCTGTCAAAAGCGTCAGTCAAAATGTGATAAATGCCAACAATTGCCATTCTAAGACCCCTGCTTAGTGATCAAAGCTGATGTACCGCATCGCCATTCCCCGGCCCCGAACAACAGTACATTGACTGGTGTTGGCTCTGATCGTGCCCTCTCCACCGGCTCGTTAAGGACAAGGCATTGTGACATGCAATCAGACAATTCCCAGACAATAAACCCATAGAGTAACCGGAATATCCATCACGCACGCATTGACACTGCCCGGCATCGCGCACGTCCCACAACCCGGCTCAGAGCAACTGCTTACCACGGTAATAAATAATAAATTTTAATTGTGTATTGCCTGTTGGCAGGTTAGGGTGCGCTCCACTGACGCAAACGCCCGTGGAATGTGGAATGTTTGGCAGGTAACGGACGGTGAGGATATTAGGGCGGATAAATATATGGATTTGCGAGGGATTGAAGAAAAAATATTTGTATGATATTTGACGCGCCAGTATGCCGGCTGATTGGAACAGCTGTGACATGTAGATCCGCCTTGGTAGCCGCCCTCTCGAAGCGACTGTCGATGGATAATATCAGACGTCGGATAGCTTTTGTGTATCAAAGACAGAAGCGCTGTCGAGTTGCAGTCGGGGCGGGTTTATACCGGCGGAAACCGGCAGCCGGGCATATATACACACAGAGTGCAGACTACAACTGCAAAAATGATTGTGTCAACCCGAAATATTAACGCTCCGCTTGACTGGAAGTCATTCATCATGTCAATCATTAGGAGATTTATGTCAAAGCAAAATGCCGTAATAGAATGACATACAGCACACACAGCAGCAGCAGCCATAGAGAATGCCCCCAACAGCATCATTGCTACACAGAACATTAATCGCCGATATATATGTCCGACAGGTCTTCCAGCTCTCCCACGTCCATCAATTCGCGCGCCCTTGTGCGATGTATTAACATGCACTGCACTGTTGTCTGTCCCAAGGCATCAATCGCTGCCAAGTTGACCGTTATGGATTGACCACGCGTATAACATTTCGGGCTTTCATTTAATTTCCAGATATTTTGCTATAGTTTATCGCAGCGCTGGCGCAATACACCAAAATACATAAGCATTTCGATGGGTTGGATACGCGTTTTCAAGTTATTTTGCATAAGTAATTTCACATGAACACTAATATGCGCCTCCAGTTTTTGGCGAGACAAATTCTGAATATTTATAAAAAAGTACGTAGTACGTACGTGATCGCCAAAAAATGCCCGCAAAGCTATAACCAAATTGTTTCGCGTCCTGACCGGATGAAAAAAATATTCCATTTTGCCCCGCGACGTTGCGCATATCCATTTTGATAATTTAAATTCAAATTTGGATAATAATAGACACTTGCCGAAGGTGTAAGCCGATATATAAATTAATATAGATACTGTAATGTAACCATTTACTTGTGCTATAGCAATGATCGCTGACCACATGCATGAAAATGCTCTCTTCATGGTTTGATAAAAGAAATATATTATCCAAAACTGACCTAATATGGCAATTTTTTTCCGGCACTAATTAAGTTAACTGCTTGGTTCTTTAAATAAATACTGCCTTAAAAACGCAGAATACTGCATTTACTCGGGTAGGCATTTATACCCGTACCGGCAACTGGCATCGACCCATCATCACAAACACAATATTGCAAATTTAATCGCTATCGATAAAAAATTTAAAAAAATTAAAATTAAAATTATGTAATTTCGGAAAAAGGCTATATTAGTATCTGCTGTTAAAGAATTAGATAATCAGAATACTAATACAATATAAACGCATTCTTTTTTTCATCGGACTGTATATAGCAACCTTAATAAAATTAAGCATCGAAGTGCTACAAGCCTACAAGCACGTGCACCTAGCCTGTTACTGGAATTAATTGCCCAAGTCAGTTTGCATTGAATATTGGTACCACATTAGGACCTTGCCGTGTGGCGTGTGGCGTCAGTTTTGTGATGTCAAACTGTTCGAACAAATTCACTGAACAAAAAAGTTTAGAAAGAAAATTAAAAGGTTTATGACGTAAATTTCAAGAAAAACATTCATGTCACTATTGCCGGCAAAAACTTTTACTGTACTGAATAACTGAAATATTGTTTCACTGCCAGCGACAGTTTTTTGCAGACGTCGCATGCAAATAGAATTTAATGAGGTTGTTGTGCATGTCATGAGCAGATCTACATTATAGAAGAAATACTTTGGTTAATTCAGTTTGTCGACGTTTTGATGTCATGTTATAGAGTGTGTCCGGTATTTTTGACTGTCATTAGCCGTGCTGAGATAGATGCACATTTTACCACGCTCATCATAACTCATGTGATCCTTATTACCCCGATGTGCCATACACACATCTCGCATCTTGGCTGGCTCATAAACGATAATGTATAATAAACCCAGAAATGTCCCCCACAAGTAGCCCATCAATCATGTCGCTATCTGTTCACACAGCAATATTTTCTCCGAGAAATTATCAACTGGTTCCATTATTATTTATGGTATGCTATATCGGGGGTAGTCACAGCCGCACTATACCGCACAGAGTGTTATTATACAGATGAACATGCGCGATAAGGAAGCGCGTCCACTGGAATCTGGCAGTTTTTTTCCACGTCATTTACAAGGACAAAAAATAAGCTTCCGTTTACACGCGTTGTGAAATTAATTATGCAACATTTTTTCTCGCTCAGCGCGCTGCTCATATGGTGATAAATGCATAATTCACTGGAATTCACTGCATTACCCGACAAAGCTCAACAAGCATATTATGGTTGTTGAGCTTTGTCGGGTAATTTCGTTTTAAGAAAATACGCGGGTCGTGTTTTTTGGGCTGTCTCAGTAGGGTAGAGTGCACAACGGGTCAGGCTCCTGATGCAATAAATCGACAGAGATGGTGCCATAAACATGCCAGGCTAATTTTGAATGTACCAACAGATTCCATAAATTTCACCGTGGCAGAGTCCACCAAACGCGCGCGTCAGAGTTCTTTAATTCTTTGCACTTCCGGCGCCGACCATGGCATTTAGTTCAAAATCCAGAGACAGTTCTTAATGAATGATAAGTTGATTATTAACTGTTGATAAAACTTAAACGATATTTCTTCACAAATACAGTACAATAAATACAGTACAATATAAGGCATAAAAAAAATTTTAAAAAAATATTTCACAAATAGTCTAAATTTTCGTTTAATGACAAAGTACGTTTTGATTAATAATTATCTATGAACACAATAAATTTGCTTAGATTTTTCGATGCTGCAGTACGCATTTCAATATTGCAGACGTCGATAAATTTGAGTTCATTTCACAAAATTCTGCACAAAACAGTTTGATAACCTCATGGCAAAACACTTTTGCCTAGCACACTAATTTAATTACCATACAATCGAACAAATAGATACAACTTTATACATGTAGGTGCAGTGATGCGAATTCTGCTCGCTTAATTAGAGTCAGAAAGCAATATTCAATTTATAGGTGTACGCATATTTTATCATGAATTATCGTTCCATCTACACAGAAGGTCAAAAACAAAACTGACTAAAAGCAAAACATAATGTGTTCGGTGCCATTCATAAGCGTAATGAAACGATGCATTGGTTCTACGTCAATCTTCAGCATAGAAAAATTCGGAATTATGCATCAGCTATTATGATGCGCCTTTGCGTACGGTTGTATAGTGATTTTCGTTAATCTCTGCATTGACTTGCGCACGCCAAAAGAGGTGCCATGCAAAGGTGGACACATAAAGCTTCATTATAATGATAATAATGAACTAGCCTGACAAACGTTTTAATTAGGTATGTTTAGGTTACGAACAATCACTTCATTGCAAACCCATTCACATCCGCCAGAGTGATGTGACGCCGACTAGTTAAGTGCATGATTATATTAATAAAACTGAATACCGTTACGCCTGCACTGCGGCTAAGCAATATTGTTTACTGCACCACGTTGTCACGGTTAAAGAAGAAAAATCATTAATACGCAACTAAACATTTAAAGTTACATTTTGAGTTTTCATAAAGTAAACCGAATTCGATACTGCATAAATAACGTAAGAGTTGCAGTATTTGTGCAACATTTTTTCAATGAAAATGCAGCTTTTTAAACAGTAATTTGCATAATGTTGTATCTGTTACTTCGATGATCGGTTTTTTTGTGCATTTAATATTATTGCACTCTGCCGATAAATTTTATCACAGAGAAAACCAGATCTGTAGCAAGAAATAGCGTCGTAGATAGTTAAGTCAAAAATTACATAATATAATTTTGTGCTATCAATTAAAATCATCATCGTATATCAGACAGTAAAGCTGTCGAGTCAGGAAGGATGTAGTGCCAGTTTTGAGTGTTTAATACACAGTGAACCATTTGTTCGGTGTACCGCTGTGCCGGCATTGAACCTGACTCTTGATATGGAAATCGTATTGGACGAAAATGTACTTGATTATGATCGAGTGTTTCTGATGGAGGAAATTCTCAAACAATAACAAATCTTCGAAACAGGTCCCGGAGCTGTCGTCAGTGTATGTTGTGCACACCGTCGTCGCCGAATGCCGTCTCTATATGCAGCGGAATCCATTATATATGCACAACAACAATGCCAATACGTCGGCGCAATATATCGAGTAGGAAAGGATCGATTTATTACATTAGCTCATGTTATATCAAAAGATGAAATCGCATTAGCACGAGCTGATTAATGGTCAATCAAGAATGGTGGAGCCGATCGCCCTCACCTGCTGTTTACGCCGGTTGAAGTTTGAAGGGAAACTGTACGGTCACGACCTGTATGATTAACGATTTTGTTTATAATCGCCCATCGGTAGCGAATCTCTGTAATTAAGTCAGCGAATCGCATTCCATTTTGTTGGCTACTGTTCCTCTGAAAGAGTGTTTCATCGGGAACGGTTTAATTAATTAAGAACTTCAATTTGTGCTTGAAATCACACCTACCGTAGAATCAAACCACACAGCCCCATTTGGTTGTTTTTTTTTTATTTCTTAAGTGGATTTGCGCTATTATATTATGCATTGGGGCAGTGAAGTGTGTGCGTTTGTATTGTACAGTATATGTACATGCGTGCACTATACTGCAGTATTTATGTTGGAAATATAGTAAGCGGCTGAAATATCCCTCTTGGCGCAAATGACGAGACGCGTGTCAATCCTAATTAGCCGGGGTATTCAGTCGTAAAAAAAGACTCGCAGCATGTGAAGGATACATTAAAATCAATCATAATGGAATAGATCGTAAATCCATACCTTGTCTGACAAGCGTATCTGTTCCAGGTTTTTGTTGTCTTTGTACATTTCTCCACGAACCG